GTTCTGTTCTTGGCCAAGCAATGGGAAGGACATGAAGGGGCATACCCCTCCCTGAGACTGTCAGCCCCAGTTCCTGTCCCTCACCTACACTAGCCTCATTCTTGGCACTTTATCCCCTCGAATCCACTGAAGGGCAGAATGGTTTATAGGATTTTAGGTTTAGAGTCGGAAGCGACCTTAGAGGCCATCAAATCTAATACCCACATTTTATAAATGAGAAAGTGAGGCATAGAGCTTAAATAAAAAGATTTGAACCTGATTCTTCCTAATTCTAGGTGGCATAGAAGATTGAGTGTTGGTTTTGGAGTTAGGAAGACCTGAATTGGAATCTTGCCTCAGACATTTAACAGCTTTGTGACCAAGGATGGACCCCTTAGCCTTTATCTACTTCATTTTTCTCATTTGTAAAATGAGGATAATAATAGCTACCAAATGCTACCTATTTCTGCCTTTTTACATTTGTTTGCAATACCTTTATCCCCTAGTACATGGTCAATTTTTGTAAAAGCTCTATGTGGTACTGAGAAATATGTACATTCTTTTGTAGTCTCATTTAGAAGGCATCATACATCTTTTAACTCTAATTTCTCCAGAATATTGTCCAGTTCCATATTTCCCCCATTGTTTATCTTTGCTAGATTTATCCAAAACTGAGAGTGATATTAAAGTCTCCTTTCATTATTGTGTTACTAAGTCTTCTTGTAGCTCAGGTAACGTTTATTAATTTGGATGCTAAGGCATTTGGAATGTTTATTATTGATATTGGTTTGTTGTCTATGGCTCTGTGGGGATTAAAATTGTGCAGCCTACAATAAAAGAGACAGAGGCACAGCTCTGAGCCAATGGTTGAGCTGAGTTATCTCCATCTCAGTGGGAGAACTCCTTCGTTCTGTATTGTCTGGTATATATTCTCCTATAAATTCCTTCTCTGATTTGTTTTGCTATGATTTGGATAAATGGGCTTCTGCGCTATTCACTATGTGCATTCATTGTGGAATTGGTATTAGGTGAGGAAGAGGTCAAGCCTTGGATATAGAGCTTGAGGTCTTCCCCCAATAATGATGACAGGTTCAATTGAACCTGATCATATCCTGTAGACTAATAATATTTAAGGAAGCAGAGAGATATACTCCTAGTCTGGTACCTCCTTTCTCTAAGGACAGCAGAGTGGGCCCCAGCTTCCTGTTTCTCCTCCTGACAGGAATTAAAGTCTTCTTTGGACAAGGGTAGGGGAAGAAGAAGCTAGAGATGTCTACCCTGCCTGCCTTTGAGTCACACAACAGCTCTCTTTCTTAATAGTATTTTATTTTTTTCCCACTTACACGTCAAGACAATTTTTAGCATTCATTTTTACAAGATTTTGAGTTCCAAATTTTTCTCCCTCTCCCTCCTCTCTCCTCTTCTGAAAATGGTAGGCAATCTGATATAGGTTATACATGTGCTATCATGTAGAACATATTTTCATATTAGTCACAATTGTGAAAGAAGAAACATCAAAAAGAAAAAAAACATGAAAAAGAATAAAGTAGGTGAAAAAAATATGCTTCAATCTGTATTCAGAGTCCATTTCTTCATCTATATATGGATAGCATTTTCTTTCATGAGTCCCTTGTACTTGTCTTGGATCATTGTGTTGCTGAGAAGAGCAGAGTCATTCATAGTTGATCATCATACAGTGTTGCTGATACTGTGTACAATGTTTTCCTGGTCTGTTCATTTCACTTTGCATCAGTTCAGACAAGTCTTTCCAGGTTTTTCCTGAAATGTGCCTGCACCACAGCCCTCTTTACACAGATGACCCTTCTTTATATTCATGCCCTGTGAGCCAAAGCTATCCAGACTGGAAAGCCAGGAATAGAGAATGTCCCCTAGCCAGGAGTATCTGGTTATCTCAAGGAAACTTATCCTGGTATAACCTCCCACTCCCACTACCTCAGGAGCCAAGACCTTCTAGACAGGTTTGGGGACTAGGTACTGAGGTGTGTTAAGGTGCCTGCTCAGCGGAATGAGGTGCTAAGGAACTGGACTCCTAAGTCCCCCTTCCCCCTCCTATAATGTAGAATTTCCCATCGCAGCTCTGGGCCACCTCCAGCAGTGTAGGTGGGGAATCTGCCTGGTTTCCTTGTCCTTATAGAAGTGAGAACTGGCTTTCTTCTCCTGGGACTCCCTAATTCCTCTTGCCATTTTGCTAGAAGCCCAGCAGCCAGGACTCAGATCCTGGCCATCACCGCCACCGCCACCGCCACCGCCACCGCCACCGCCACCACCACCACCACCACCATCCTCCCTGACTTGTGGAGAAATCCATAGGGTAGACAGTTGCAATCCTGCAACCCTACCAACACTGGGGGTGCTTAGCCCCTCCCTCTTCAGCCAGACCCCAGTGGGCTGCTCCCCTAATCCCCTGGAGCTGAGCCACTGATACTGCTGCGTCTCTGGCCCCCACCCCAGCTAATCTGAGGTAGGGAGATGGAGAGAAAAGGGTGGAGTGGACTTCAACTCCCAGCACCCCATCCCCATTCCCCCTTCCCTCGTCCTCAAACTTTCTTCCTTAAGATTGACCACAGCTTTCCCCACCTGTTTCTCTGATCCTTCTTGGGCTGGTCAATCTTATTCTTCCCCACCATTAGCCCTCTCTCTTGCCCTCAATCTCTTGCTTCCTTCCCAGACCCCCTCCATCAGATAAGCAGGGGCAACTTGGCCATTCTCCCTTAATCGCCAAGAACACCCCACTCCCGCCCCAGGTGACCTGTACTCACTCATCTTCTTCAGAGTGGACTTGGGTCTCTGAACTAAGGTGCCTGCCTCCCAGTATAGCTTCTTCTCTGCATGACCCTCACAGCCCAGAGCTCAGGACCCACCTGGACATGTTCCTTGGTACCTCACTCACCACTTCAGATCTAAACCCTCTCATTTCCTTATAATCACTGGGCTTCCCTCAGCAGGGTCGATTTGAGGGAGGGCCAAGAATGAGAAGATTGAGAGGAAGGCACAGATCCAATCTGAATGAGACTCTAGAACTAGATCTCAAACTAAATCTAGACTCCAGATAATCCCAAACCTCCCAGTGTGGCGCTGCCTACGAAGGGCAGGGAACCCTGGTTCAGCACCATGGAGAGGGAAAGACTGATTTAAAATCCCTTGATCTAGATCCAATTTGTAAACTCTCAAAGCCTGGGATGGGATGTGTGTCAGAAATCATGAACAAAAGGATCACAGATCTAGAAAAGGACCCAAGAGGTCACTTGATACCACCCATATCTAAGGCAAGAGTCCCCCCTACAACATACCCAACTAGTCATCCATTCTGATGTCCACTTTCAGGGTCTGTCCTTCCTTAAAGCCAGAATTTGCTCTTCTCCCCATTGCTCCACGTTCTGCCCAGGGGAGCCCAGCAGAACAAAACTCATTTTCTGTTACAGACCTCCAAATACTTATTGAGATCATGTCACACCCACTTATTCTCTCGCCTTCTCTTCTCTCACCTGAACAACTCCTAGGGTTTATTATTGTATGGTATCAAGCTCCTGCCTAATAAGAAAATCAGGTCCTTGAGGGCAGTGTCCTTATTTTTGTCTGTATTCCCAGAGCCTCAAATTGCTTGGCACGAAATAGACAGTTAACCTCGTCAAACAAGAATCTGTTGGAAGAACCGGGAATATAGAAGCCAGAGATGAGAGGGTTCAGAGAAGAGCTTAGTAGTTGTCTTCACATCCTCGGAGGGTTATCACGAGTGAGGAATCACTTGTAACTATGTGCAGAAATGGTTTGAGCAGGACATCGAGGAAAACCACCTAACAACTAGTGAGGTAAATGGTGCTTCCCAACCCCTAAAGGTTTTTAAGCAGAGGTTAGCTGACCACTCATTGGGCATGTTGTAGAGGGGATTCTGGGTCAGGAACCCTCGAGGATGTTTGTTCCATTTCTCTGTGGGATGGGCTAGAAGGCCCATGACACCAAATCAGATTCCAGTAGCTGCCCTCATTTCCCCCCTCCCAACTCCACACACCCACCCTGACCCCGAGTCTGGCAGCCCCTTCCATTCCTAGCCAATGAGAAGGGTCAATGGCCGATACCCCTTTCTTTTCTTTGCTCTGGTGGCAGACCCTGAGAGCAGGTCTTAGAATTCAAAGCCAAGCTTAAGCCTCTGTGAAGCCTCTCAGGGCAGGATCAGCTCATCCCTCTCCAGTCTGAGCCCCAAGAGCCTTTGAATTTGGCCTCCGCTGCCTGACTAAACGAGTCTCAAGGGGCTTACTTTCTAGTAAGTTTCAATGTCTCTTCCACCTAGGACTCTTGGGAGAAGAAAGCTCTTGCTTTCAGAGAGCTTACACAATGTATATGCTACAGACTTTAAACATTGCTTCTTACCCTTCCCTTCCCTGTATGACCCTGGGCAAGTCACTGCTCCTTTAGAAGCCCTGGTCTCTGGAAAGGACTATTTAAATAGGGTCCATTAGAATTAGCACTGGTTTAGCAGGCATGTTGGAGAACTAGTTCAACCTGACAGTTCATTCTGACAGATGAGGAACCATCAGGCGACAGATTTAGAACTGGAGGGTCTTTGAAGCCAAGCTTCATTTGGAGGTCTCAAGACTTTATCAAGGTGACCCCCTGCCTAGCCTCGACTGCCAAGGGAAGGGGAAAGCCTCCAGTCAGTAGTATCAGTGGAAACTTCATGGAAAACTCTCTGTTTGAGGTAGAGCCTGAGGGTTTGAAACAGAGACACAGACAAGCCACTCAGTTATAAATACACTGTTTGGTGAAGGGGCTTGTTAGAGGTGAGAAGGAGCGTTCTGTACACAGATGATCAATATTAAGAGATGCTAATTGACCAGACTGGACAGAGACAGAGACAGACAGACATCTTGTACTCCCCCCCCCACCCGCCCAGCAGAGCATGGCACGGGGAGCCCCTCGATCATGGCCTGGGTTCGATAACACTTGGTCAACGGGCGGGATGGCTGGCGAGGGGCAGGTCCTCAGTCGGGAGGGGGTGCCGAGTGCCAGTCGCTGCCCTCAGAGCAGGAAGAGGGGCATCCTGGAATGGGCGCTTGTGGCTTGAAGTCCCTGGGAGAGGCCGAGGTGGGCACACTGGTCTCCTCACACATCGCTCAGGGCCTGGAGGAAGACAGCAAGGAGGGTCGTCAGATCGTAGAGGGGTGAAGAACCACAGGGTTGGAAAGGCCCCTGGGGGAAGGAGATGGGCACTTTTGCATCTTTCCTGCTGAGGTACAGTAACTCGAATTTGGAGCTAGAAGGTACTTGAAAAGGCACCTGTCCAGTCCAGAAGGGTTAACTGGAGCAGAAGTCACTGGCCCAACGCCACACAAGGAAGTCAATGGCAGAGCCCAGAATTTGAACTCAGACCCTGTGACTGGGCACCTAGTTATTACCTTGCGGGCAAACTCGGGCAGCACGAAGGCCGCGCGGTGGATGTCTGAGTTGTAGTATTTGAGGTTCATTTTCTCTACTTGCTCCTGGGTCAGCTGCTGCACTGGTTCTCGGAAGTTAGTGCTCTGAGTGGGGAACAGAGAATGGGGGCGTTCAGGGCCGCAGGCCTCTGTCTCCGGAACCAACCCCACACTGCCTAGTCTAGCTCCTCACATTTTGAGGAAACGAAGACCTGACACTTGGGAGGTACCAGGGAAGGGCCAGACTAAATGTCTAATCCAGTCCCTTCATTTTTGGAGATGAGGAAACTGAGGAAATCAGTATCTCCCAGGCATTACAGAAGCGGACTCCAGAGTAGAGGTCTATGTAGCTCTAGTAGGTCAAGGAGCTCAGGCTAATTGGGAAGGGAATGGGAGAATCAGGTGAGGGAGGGGGTGTTAGGAAAATGTCAAGCACCAAAGGATTCTGGGGATGACCTGTGGCCAGAGAGTGTCAGGGATGAGAACAGGGAGTGCCAGAACCAGGCTGCCTGCCCAAGCTCCTCATTTTATAGAGGAAATGAGAGCTTAAAGCAATTTACTCAAGATCATACAGGATTCTGGGCCAGGTTCCAACCCAGCTGGATTCCCGTGCTCTTCTGCACTTCAAGCTGTGTGTCCAGCTTCCTAGCTTCAACACGGAGGCCCAGAGAAAGCAGGCAACTCACCCAAAGTCACCCAGATAGTTAGTGATTGATACCCAGGCCCCCTCTTCTCTCCACTGAACTACCCTGCCTTTCCATACCCAGGCCCCAAGGACAGCAGGCTTTCTTCTACTGGTTGACCTCCTGAAGAGACCCTGGGAAGGGGAGAGGAAAGAGAGGTGCCTCGGGGCTCACCGGGGTCTTGCTACAGAGCATGAAGCCAATCTGGCCGCTGGGGTAGGTGGGGATGGTGCAGTAGGCATACTCCACCACAGGGAACAGAGACTTGCAGAAGTGACGCATCTCCTTGATGAGGTCCAGATGCAACCATTGGCACTCACCTGGGGGATGGTGGGGGGGGGAGTGAGATGGGCTCCCCTGGGGGGTGAGGAGGGGAGGGGATGTTAGGGGTGGTCACCTGGGGGATGGTGGGGGGGAAGTAGGAGAGGAGGGGATGTTAGGAGTGGTCACCTGGGGATGGTGGGGAAGGGGAGGTCATCTGGTGATGGGGAAGAGTGGGGGGAGGATGAGATGTCACCTTGTCAGGGAGAGAACTCACCCAGGCCATCCCACCACTGCCTCCCTCTCCCCCAACACCGGGACTTCCTTAGGGATCCCAGGTTTCGAACTGGAAGAAACCTTAGAGTCCAACCCCCTCATTTTACAAAGGGGAAACTGAGGCACATGGCTACTAGGGTCCTGAGGTAGAATTTGAACCCAGGTTTTCCTGCTTCGAAGGCCAGCCCCTCATCCACTGCACTGAACATTGACTTTGCCCACAGGGATGTACTTTGCAGGGAGGGAGGTTTTTGTGGAGTAGCGCCTGTTGTGTCAAAACAAAACTTACAAGGAGGGTGACTGGTGGCCAACCCTCCTGGAGCTCACCCTGACAGCAGAGGATCCCGTCATCTTTCAGCGCCGTCTTCATCAGCTGGTAATAGGACTCTTTGAACAAACTCTCAGCGGGACCTGAGCAAAGGAAGAAGCCACAGAGATGGGATTGGGGGAGATGGGGAGACAAGGGGCTGCACTCCGGGACCCTGGCTGCCAAGACTTCACATCTTCACCGCACCCTCCTCTCACTGTGGAAGCAAAGAGGACTGGAGGAGAGAGGGATGGGGAGGTCTGCTCCGGCCTGAGGTTGGAGAATGGGTGGGGAGGAGGCCAAGAACAGGACACCACCTGGGAGTGCTTCTCTGGGCCTCAGCTTCCCCATCCACAAAACGGGGCTGAGCTCTTGGCCAGGGATCACCCTGACCACTCCTGCCCCTTCTCTGGGTTGTTAGGAGTCCTGTGGGAGGTGACAAATCCAGGGTACTGCCATTCCCGGACAAACTCCTCAGCTGGGAGGAGAAACAAGGCTTGCTTCCGCTCACCCATGGGGTCCGAGGAGTCGGTGATGATGACGTCAAAGGCATCCTGGTTCTGCTGCATGAATTCAAATCCATCTCTAACGTGCAAGGTCAGCTTCGGGCTGGAGTAGCCCACAGCCATGCCCGGCAAGTATTTCTTAGAGACCTGGATCACATCCTGAGACAGAGGGCAGGGACTGAGTGCCCCACAGTGCTCAGGTCCCCAGCACCCCGCTCGCTCCTCCCTCCTCGCCACCTCAAAGGACTCCAGTCAGCTAGCACTGGTCAAGCTACTCCTCTGTGCCAACGATGCGTGGGCAACACAAGGACCCCAAGGGAAGAGGGAGTCCCTCCCCGTGACATGCTGCTGCATGTGTGTATACATGCACGCATGAGCCCCCCCAGCTGACATACAGCTGCACGTGTGCATACGTGTACACACAAGCCCCCTGTGACATGCTTCTGCACATTGTGCATGCACGTACCCCTGAGCCCCACCATGTCATGCTTCTGTACATTGTGCATACATGTACACACGAGGCCCCCCACACCCCGTGACATGCTGCTACACGTGTGCACACACGGACACACAAGTCAATACAAAAACAAACACAAAGTGATTTCTGAGGGAGGAGAACTCACACCTGGGGTCAGGATTAACCAGTTACTCAATAAGCGTTATGTGCGCACTGTGGGCCCGGCTCTACGGGATTCAGACATCAAAGGGAACCAGTCCCTGCCCACAAGGACCTTACATGCTACGGGGAGCTGTGTACATATATAAGGACACACAGACAAAGTGATCCTCGTAACAGCTCTCACACGTCTGTGGGACTCTCAAGATTACGTCATTCCTTGCTCCTTGGATCTTCACCATAACCCTCTAAGGCAGGTGCTATGATCTCCATTTTATAGATGAGGAAACTGAGGCTCAGGTAGGCGAAGCTACTTGCCCAGGGTGTGAGGCAGGATTCAAACTCAGCTCTTTTCCGGTTCCAAGTCTGGCACCAGGACCCCTGGTTGCCTCTAGTGAATACAAGCTTGCTTTGGAAGGGGGTGGTTGTGCTAGTAGCCAGGGAGGGGGGTGGGAAATCCCAGAAGGCAGAGAACAGCCCAGGGGCTGGTGTTTGGAATGTTCAGCGAGCAGGTCAGTCTGGCTGGAACCTGGATGGCGGAGTTGCTGAGCTGGTAAGGAGTGGGACCAGGGTGGGATACCTGGGCTTTTGACCCTAAACCCAGCATGTTCTCAGCTCTCAAACCCAAGGCAGAGGAGACGGTAAACAGACTGATCTTCTGCTCTCTGCACCCAGCAATGGGCTGGGCACTGGGCAGGGCTCATCGATCAGCTCCATAGGCCCAGCCCAGGCTTAGATGAGCAAGATTCAGAGAAAGGGATTGGAGCTGACTCATCTTCCCCAGCTCCCAAGGCACCAAAGATCTAGCCAAGCTGGTTTCTTGGGAGGGAAAATCTCAGGGAATTCAGAGGCCCAAATTCAAGTTGCCCCCAACCCAAACCCTAGGTCAAGGGTGGGGAACCTCCAGCCTCAAGGCCACACGTGGTCCTTTAGGTTCTCAAGAGCAACTGAAGTCAAAGGGCCACACTTGAGGACCTAGAGGGCCCTATGTAGCCTCGAGGCCACAGGCTCCCAGACCTCTGACCTAGGTGATCCCGCGCAAGTCATTTCTCTTTGCTTCAATCTCAGACTTGGGAGAGAGGTCGGGGGAGTGGGAGACCAGATGCTTCACCTCTGCCATTTATCAGTTGGGTGGCCATGGGCAAATCTCTCTAAGCTTCCAGGCCTCAAGAGGGTCAAGAATCCCTGGGTCAATAACTCATAGGGTAGTAGCAAGGATCAAAGGAGATAAAACCCTTTGCAACCTTGAGGGCAAGAGATAAAGCATCAGTTATCAGCATCCCCAGGTTCTTAGCTCCCTGAGGGCAGGGAGCAGGTGGAATCCAGTCTGGTATCTGCCTCTTCAGCCTCCACCACCACTAAGCTCCCCGGCCGCTAGCTCCACAGACATCCCAGATTACCTTGTACTTTGGGGAAGGGTAAAAAAAACCTTTCTAGCTCAGCTGAGAGGTATTCAGAAATAGAGATTTCTCTAAAAAAGTTTAGGCATTTCCCTTTTTTGGCAAATGTGTAAAAGGTCTTGGGGAAAATGCATCAAGGAAGGTAAACAAACAAAACAGATATCTCTGGCCCTGAAGGGATTAGGGACACAAAGGGTCACAAGGGAGATTCTTCTGATTACTCCAGGGTGGAATGGTCAAAGAAGGAAGTGGGTAACCTTAAGGTTGCTTAGTGGTTTTTAAAAATTTTTTCATTTTATTATTATTTTTTATGTGTGATGACTCAGGAGGACCCGAGTTCAAATCTAGTCTCAGGCACTTACTAGCTGTGTGACCTTAGACAAGTCATTTCACTGTTTGCCTCAGTTTCCTTATTTGTAAAATGAGCTGGAGAAACAAACGGCAAACCACTCCAGTATCTTTGCCAAAAAAACCCCCAAAGAGTCAGACAGGACTGAAACAATGAATGACAACACTTCCTGACTCGGGGACTGGCTCCCCTATCCACTGAGCCACCTACCTGCCCCTAATCATAAGATTATTGAACTTAAAAGGCAGACTACTGTGTTACACTTGATTGTGCAAATCTTTAATTTGTCTTACCTGGTCTCCCCTAATGGAATGTAAGTTTATTTTAGTCTTTGTTTTTCTCTTTGTATCCTATGACCTGGCACACAGACACACACAGACTTTGTGGACTGATTGAAAAGTTGTTGATCCCAGGGAGAAGCCTGGGGGAAGTCCTGTGGCTAAAGTGATTCGGTACCCCAAGGGATATGCTAAGGGAGGGGGGAAGGCTACATGGACTTGTGATTGGCCACCTTCTCTTCCGGGAAGACCACTTACCTCATCAATCTCACACTGGATCACAGACTCCACGGACGGGTGCTTCACCACTTCCCGAAGGACGCCCCCATCCCCACCACCGATGATTAGCACCTGGTGGGAGAAGCATAAAAATAGGAGGGGAAGGGTACGAGTATGTGTCTCCCTGGGCCTAAAAGGACTTGGCCTTCCTGTACCCAGTGGGCCAGGCGCCTTATGTTAACAGGAAGACTCACTTGGCTATCCAGGACCCAGGGGTTCAGAGAAGCAACTCAGGGCCTGCAACCCCAGCCCACACCCAGAACATATGGAAATGGAGTGGGTGAGGCTGGCCTCTCCAATTGGCCAGGATCTTTTTTTATTTTACTGACTCACCTCCCTACCAGGCAATGAGTCAGGGGTGCCCCGGAAGCAGCAACCTACCCCTGGAGCAAGGGTGCTGATGCTTTTAGTAGGTGTGAGGGAGCCCTGCCAGGCCAGGGCATCCCTCCCATTCATTCAGTTGTGGTGGAGAAGCATTGGCCTGGGGATATGTGGGCTTCTGTTCTGGTCCCCATCCCATCTCTGCCACTTCCTACCCAGGTGACTATGGGCACATCTCTTAACCTTGAATTTCAGTTTCCTCACCTGTGTCTGGCAGAGAGGCGATGGACGTAGGGTACAGACTGAGACAATATCTCTTGGCCATGGCCAGGGCATGACTTGACTAGGTTTATTTGTGACCAGGGCTCAGCTTTTCTCTTTTTCTCCTCCAAGGAGGTGGGAGGAAAGAGATTTGTTCATTGAAAACAAACAAACAAACCCAAAAAAGCCCAGGAGGTGATAGATGGCCTTTCCCGTCCCTTCCTGGTCTAGATCTGTGTGCCTGTTAGAGAGGGGATTCCTTTCATGTGGCCCTTCCAGTTCTCAGGTTCTGGGAAGTCCAACTCTGTTCATTTTACAGGGGAAGAAAACGAGGCCCACAGAGGAGGGTGAGTGGCTTTTGCCAAGCACCTTGAAGCACTGGGTCTTGATCTTAGCTGGGGTTCCTCGGTACCAATAGCCGCTTGTGGAAATCAGTTTTCCCTCCTGAGGCTCAGTTTCCTCGAGTGTAAAAGGGGGGGTGGTTCCCAAGGTCCCTCCTGTGACTCTGGTCTCCTGACCCCAGGCTCTGTGCACCACACCTGCTGTCAGGCCTCGGCCACATTCCCAGAGGAAGGGGGCAGGAGAGGAACATGGGGGACGGCCCAATGTTTTCCTTCTCACTGGTGGTTCTAGTGTGGCAGTTGGCCTCCCTCCCTGCAGCCATAGCCTTGGGGTGGAAATGGAATGGAATGCAGCTCTTAAACCTTCTACAGGTTTGCCCCCCCCCAGCTGCCTTTTATGTGTGGTCTTCCCGGTTAGAAGGTAAGCTCCTTGAGGGCAGGGTCTCTCTTTTTTCCTCCTTATCTTTGTATTCCCAACACTCAGTACAGGGCCAGACACACAGTAAACACTTAATAAAGAAATGCTTGTTGGCAGGCCTGGCATAGCCCCCCACCTCTTTCCCTCCACATTCTTTCTCCCTGGTCTCAATACAATCTTTCTTGATCTTCAAGAACAGCCGAGTCACGCACGGGCAGAGGACAGAAATGCTTCTAGAGGCCCTGGAGCTCTGAAACAAGGCAAGGAGGAGGCCAGCTTGATGGCCCCACAGTTTGATGGGCGGCATCCCCTCCTCCCCAAATAAAAAAAGCTACCATGATCTCCAGCTGCATTAAGAGGTAGAGAATTCAGAAACAAGGAGGCAAGTGTCCCCTCTGCCCCAGTCCCACAGGGCTAGGGTAGGGCTTTCATTTCTGGGCGCCACCCCCCTTGGAAGGAAGGACATTGGTGGCACCCAGAGGAAAGTGATCACAAGCATTAATTAAGCTGCTGAAGGGAGCTGACTGAGACCGTGTCAAGTGACAGGAGCTGGGGATGTTGATCCTGGAGAAGAAAGGACTGTGGGAGGCCACCTTCAAGGATTTGGGAAGGGCTGTTACAGGGAAGAGGAATTTCTTTTGACCTCTCTGGACCCCATGGAGCAGATGCAGGCTGCACACACCAATTTAAGCTTGATGCTAGGTGGTTTTTTTTTTCCCCCAACAGTGGAATTTGATGCCTCAGGAGATAGCTAGTTCTCCTTTCCCAGCTAAAATGGGCCACAAAGCCCATTTCATTTCAACAAGATGAAGCTGAAGTCCAGAAAGATTAAGCAATTAATTAGCCCAACATCACACACACAATTAAGCAGCAGACAAGATCTGAACTAGGGGTTGGTTCACTAATTCCCAAGCCAGCGTTTTCTCCCCTGCACAAGCAGAGGCGGCCAGGCACAGATTGGCCAAGATGGGGTGGCTCAATTTTTGTGCAGCTCTGAGATCCCAAACCCTGGGGACACATCTACTTCTGATGTCCAGGATGGCCCAGAAGGAAGCCAAACCTTGAGCCAAGGACAGACATCAAAGATCCAGGAGAAGGCAGAGCTCTTAAGTAAACACAGAGCAGGGACTGTCCCACAATGTTTGCTGAATGAGAAACTGGTAAATTCAGACCATGGCCCTGCCACTTTCTACCTGTGTGACACGAGGCAAGTCACTTAAAACTGTTCTGGGCCTCAGTTTCCTTATCTGTCAAAGATGGTCTCTGAGATCCCTTCCAGCTCTAAATCAAGGACCTATGACCTGTCATTCAGAACTGACTCAACCATGAGGCTAAACTCTCCTTTCCCTTTGGATCATGTATTCAGATCTGGAAAGAACATTTTGAAAAGTGGGGAACAGAGTGCCTCTTTCCACTCTACCATAAGGTGTCCCCCCTTCTTAAGCTCATCAGGAGGGTCTCTCTGAGAGGGCCTAGGAGCTCAGAGAAATGCTTGTACCTGCCTGGACTCTCAGTACCCCAGATCTCTTCTAGATGTTGGCCTTTCTCTTCTGCCTGGAGGACAGGGTGAGTGGCCCCAGAAATCAGTTAGGTCCTGGGCAAACTGCTGAGTTCCTGGGGCAGTAAACCAGGGTTTTATGCTCTCCCTAATAGGTTCAAAACCACCCAGAGCTGGTTGGTGAGAAGTTCATAAGATCATGGAATCACATGTTAGAGTAGGAAGAAACTTTAGACATACTCTAGTCTAATCCAATCAAGGAAACTGAGGCCCAGTATGATGAAGTGATTTGCTGAAAAGCACACTGGTAGAGAGGAGCTGAGAAAGAACTAGAGAGCCAGTCCTTGAGTCCAGATTCAGTCCTTTTCCTGTTAACTTCGTTGATGGTGACACCCTCACTCCCCACCTCCCCAAAGACCTCACGCACACTCGCCCATTACCTTTCGTGGGCTGGGATGGCTGCAGAGAGGCAGGTTGGCAATCATCTCCTGGTATGAGAATTCATCCCTCTCTGTGCACTGGATGACTCCATCCAGCACCAGAACGTTGCCGTAGGACTTACTGCAGAAGCCCCCCCAAGGAGAGAGTGTGTCAGGGACCATGGGGGCACCTTAGTGACACACAGAAAGCAGACCCATCCCCCTTCTCCCCCAAGACAATTAATTTACTTCCCTAGGAGAGTTTTGATAAACAGCTGCCAGCTGGTCCCTGGGCCAGACTAGCAAACGTGGCAAGTCTCAAAGCCGCGTGGGCCTGAGCTACCTACCGCTAGTATAGGAGTTCGATGCCTCAAGCCTCTGGGCTTTCTCCACTTCCTATCTCTTCTGCCTCCTCTATCTTCCCTCCTCCCCCCAGACTGCCTTTCTAGAGAGGCAAACGAGCCCTCAAGGGGGATAGCTTTAAAACCCTGTCCCTGAATGGGAAAAAGATAGGAGATGGACGAAAAACAGGAAAGAAAAAGAAAACGAAGGGATTGTATAGAAAGTATAATATGGAGAGAAATGAGGGAACCAGGATGATGGGAACTGAGGGTACATAGCACCAAGTCAGACTGAGATTCCTGGAAGGGAGACCAGCTGGGGTGAGGGGGTGGTGGTGTAGACAGGGCAGTGTTAGATTAGATCAGAGATGAGGAAGGAGAGTCAGGACCAGTGAGGTCAGAAAATGGGATATGGCTAGGTTAGGGAGGAGAGAACTGGGATGAGGAAGGACCCTGGGGGCAGGGGGAAAAAAAAAACAAACAAAAACCAGAGGCTAAGGAGGAAACCGGGTGAGGACTGGGTTGGGAAGGGGGGTGTAGAGGAAGAAGCACAGCTAGGGAGGTAGGCGATGGAGCAGAACTGGGCAGGGTAGGGTAGTGGGGAGCAGAGCAGGGGGGTAGGGGGAGCAGACCTGGAAGGGCAGGAGGGAGCACCACAGGGAGGAGGTAGCAGAGGGGAGAAGGAGCCAGGTCCTGCAAGGCGGAGGAATGGAACCAGGCCAGAGCCAGGCTTGGGGCTGCGGAAGGTGGGAGCCAGGCCTGGGCAGGACTGAAGAGGAGAGTAGGGCCGTGGTACCTGCGGAAGACCAGGATCTCCTGGTAGCGGGAGCGCTGGTGGTGAAGCAGCTCGTCCACCTGCAGGGACATGGCCTGGCCTGGCCACAGGCTGCACGTCTCCCGGAACCAACCCTCGCGTATGGCTGGGGGCCCAGGCTCCATGGCGGGGCCGGGGGACACACAGGCCGTGGCGGCCGCAGCACAACGGGGCCAGCAGCGCCCGCCCGTCTGCCCTCCCGCCAGCCCGCGCCGCAGCCTAACCCGGGGGCCCGGCCCGGACAGTGTTCGGCAGGGGAGGGGCGGTGTTCGGGCCCAGGGGAGGAGCCGGATTCCACCAATGGTCGCCGGGTAGCCGGCCCGCGGGCCAACCAGCGAGCCCAAAAGTAACCCCAGCCCCACGAACGCTCATTGGTCCGCGGGTCTGCACCTGGGCGCCTAGTGGCTGGAGCGGGCTGTCCGTCATCGCTAGCAGGCTTGTGCGACTCTTCTGTGGGGCCACGTGGGGGCTGGAGGGGAAGGCAGGTGGGCTTGGGGTGCGGGTCCGGCTCTGGGCTTCTGTGTCCCGGGGCAAGGCAGCCGTCCTCCGCTAGCCCCCAGTGCGGGCCTGCGGGCCAGGTGCCCGGGATATGGCCTCGGTGCAGCCACTTGCGGACAGCCCCAGGCTTGTTCAGTGGGTGCAGAGAAGGCACTTGGGAGCGAGCGCTTGGCCGCCTGTTCGGCCTCCCCCGCATCCATTCAAGCCTTGGCCCCAGCCCGGACGAGGAACGCTTAGTGGTGCTTATCGAGGCTGCTGCGGGAAACGTGCCAGAGGAATCTAGCCCGTAAAGCAGTAGCTGGGGTGTGGGTTTGTGCAACTGGGTTTTTTTTTTTTTTCCTGGAACTAGGGAAGGGGGCTTCAGCTTCAATACGCCCTCGGCTTGCCATTTCCTAGTGTAGTGGGGCTGAGGGTGGGAATCGGAGGTCCGTCTCTTAAGACAGACCATCTAGGCTCAAACGTTCCGATGCCCTCTTTTCTCAGTCCGGACTTTGAGAAACTGACAAGTCCCTAAGGGCCTTTGAAATTCTTAAAAACCAAGAAGAAATTAATCCAGTTACATTGTTGGGAGGACGATTACTTTGTTGCCGAAGCCTAGATTGTATCACTGATGGAGCCTGGGCTGCAATAGTGTGGCTTGCTAGGAGCTCTGGTTCTCTATCTTTTTTAAACATATAATCACAGCAACACAACTTAAACGGAACATAATTCGAAGATAAATTCAGCATACTTTTCCCTCCTCCCACCTCCACCCGTTTGGATTCGTTGAGAGCTTAGCACACTGCTGGGGATGTGACAGTAATAAGAGGAAAATGCTGTTTTGCCTCTGAATTGAAATGATGCTCAAGTCCCCTAAATGAGCGTTTCTAATTTTACCATCGGTATTTTGGAAGAGGCAAAATACACGCATACATATTCAACACCAAAGAGAGACTGGCATATCATTTTTTGATAAACCGGGCTTTGCTCTCTGGGTGTGAATATGCTTTCTGCTTTTATGAAAATGTCAAATAACTTCTCAGAAACAGAATCACATTAAGCATGTTAATTACAGAATATTAGATGCTAATTACCCTGCATGTGGTTACAATGCTGAGGACCTGAAGGCCTCTGCCATGGAAGTTTGTCGAGCTCTTGTCAGCCTTGCCTACTTTGAGCCATGTGGAGAAGGCTGCTGGGTGCCACCCCTCCCCCCCATGCCCCTCTTCCAAATAAGCGTTCAGTGATGTAAACATTCTGTACGTGAACCAGACTCAGTGCTGCACAAATGGTAACTCGCGAGTCTAGGCTCTCTCCTTTAAAGACAAGAAACGGGCTTTAAGGCTGAAAAGATTATTGCTAGAGAGCAATGGCAGAGCAGTCCCCAGACTCCAGAAGGTTAAGTTTTAATTTAGCAAATGAGATGAGTTTAATTCAAAAAAATGTTTTATTAAATGGTGGAACCAACGTGGTTCCAGCTGCTCATCCGAGCACGGCAGCCAGCACGGCAGCCAGCTACGTGGCTGGCTCCAGCCCAGGGCTTAATAAAGTCAGTGAGTGTGGGAGTCGGGAACAGCAGGGGCTGGTGAGCGGATGTCCTGGGATCATCTCCCGGCCACCTCCACCTATCGCCTTCCCATAGAAAGGACAGCAGACCGTGTCCAGAAAAGGACAACAGCCCTGAACAAGACTTGGGACACACGGCCTACAGGAGGACGGCTGGAGGGGCCCCTCGCCCTCTCCGGTAACACCGGCTGGCAAACAGCGGCTCTGGGGGTAACGATGTACACCGACCATCGGCTGGGAAGCAGCAACACAGGCTCTTCTGATCAGGGCGAGGTGTCTGCCAACTCGGGGCGCTCTCCGCGGTCTGGGGGAGCGTGGCCACTGCCTGAAGTGAGGGCATGCTGCAGAGCTCCAGCCAGGCAGCGACAGATGTGACTACTCCATAGTGGGCCTAACGCCCGAGAATAGAGGTGGGGTCAGGCACTGCCCCAGGCAGGGCTTCAGAGGGCAATGGCCCGTGTGCTGGCAGTGCCCCCCCCCGCCCCCTTCCCAGGCAGCCCTGCATGCCTCAGTGGTGGTGATCTGGGCTATGACAGATAATTTCCAAAATTCTCTGCTGACAAGGAAAGGAAAAGACCTGGCTTCCTTCCAGTAAGAATTCTTTGTTTAATATTTCAACAAGAGGTCCATACAGAAGAGCACCTCCGTGACCCGCCCAAAGCTCTCTCGCTGTCCCAGGTGCTCCTCTCCCATCTCTGGGCCGCAAACACTATCTCTTTGGCCAGCTGTACCTGAAGCCTCTGCAGAGAATGTTGGGAAACAAAGAAAAATCACTTTTTGTCTCTGGGCTTCACGGGCATTCTCAGTTCTCATGAAAAAGGCCGCCCTCTAGGGTCAAGAAGCCTGAGCCCTCGTGACCTCACACCTGGCTGACCTCACGCAGTCCCTCACCCTCTGGAAGCCTCAGGCAGTGGGCTCCATCTGATCCAGGACTCAGAGGAGGACGCCCCTCCAGAAGGAAGTGACCCACTTTTCTGGCTCTGGCCCAGCTCCCCCAGGGTAAGAGCTGCCTGTGGGCTGGGGGTGCAGGAGGGATGCCTCCACAAGAGGCTGCTAAGAAACTAGGGCAGCTTCACTGTGTGCCATCCTTCAGCATTTACTCTGTGGGGATCCTGGGCTCTGTCATTTAAAAACCCACCCACACTCAAGCAAACACACTCACACACGCTACCTGTACACATACCACATTAACACACACACACACACAGACACACACCCACCCACCTTCAACCCCACCTGGAGCCTTCTCAAAGCCCTAAGAGGTGCCCTAAGGCAGCCAGAGCCTCATAGACCCAGGAGCCAAGAGGGCCCAGCCCAGCTCTGCCATAGCCATCGAGGCGTCCATCAGGCAAGTGCCTTCACTTTCTGGATCACGGGTGTAAAATTAGTCACTTCCCCCAAGCATTCATTTAGCCAGCAAACACCATAAGGCACTCGCTTTGTACTGGGCCCTGTGGACACAGACAAAGCGAGCCAACCCTGGCCCCCTTGCCCCTGCTTCCAGGAGTTCATCTGAAATTTTTCTCTCAGGCACAGCCTAGAGGCCCCCCACTCCCGGGTTAAGTCTGGCTTTCTACATTATTAGCGGCCCCCCTACCCCCATCGCCTTCCAGGGTCTTGAGTGGCCTTGTCTTGGGCCTGGGAGGAACACGCGGGCACACCAACACACCTCTCTGATTTTCCAGACACGAAAGATTTGCTTCTGTTTCCCGCTGGCTGCTTCAGTTTGCCTACTGCAGCACATTTCTGAAAAGATAAGGATGCCATGCCATGAGTAACTTCACACAGCTTCAACACTTGTAGGAAACTGTATTTGGGCTAACTGTGCTGCCCAATTGCTCAGGCCTTCGAGCATCAAGAAGTGATTGCAATGGCACCCACGCCCCTCCCTCTTCCCTTGCACCAAGTACAGAATCGCCAAACACCCTGGCAGCCCCTAAAGAGAAGAGACGCCGGCGTGCCGGGGTGGGCCTCACCCAGCCCCCCGGCCGTGCCTTGCCCCCCACACTTCCTGCCACAGCCCTCTCTGCCTGGCGCTGATGCCTGGCGGTGGCATGTGCTGGCTTGTGGTAACACTGATGGCAGTGTTCTCAGTCTTGCCAAAAGCTAAAATTCCCAGGGTAGCGAAATACAGAACAATTCATCCCCTTTCAAATCGTGTATCAGCTGTTAACAACTTCTTTTACTACTGGAATGGCTGGCAAGCATTGTTCCAAAGTCCAGAAGAAATAAGAAAGGAGAGAGAAGACATTCCAAGGGAAAGGACTACCAGCATTTCTTCCCTGAGGCTCACACCCCATGGCCCGGAGCACTGGGAACACAGTCACGAGTCCAAAGAAGGCTCCTTACCTTGCCGGGTGGGTCCTGCACGTTTGGATCAAACTGGGACGACTGTTTGGGTTTGCTGTTTGCTGAAAAGACGTGAAAAGGTCATCAGAATCGGCCTCTCGCTCCCTGCCCAGGGGATAAGCAGCAGCTGCTTGCTGACGCAGCTGCGCTCCCCAGAGGCGCAGACAAGGAGGGACGGCTGGGGTCGCACCCTCCACCCATCCTGCCCTTAGATCTATCTGTTCCTCCCATCTGGACTCTCGGAGCTAAGGGCACGTGACTGTCACAAGAGTTGCCTGGAGATCAGTCGGGAGTGTCCTCTGTTACCCCAAATCTAAATGATGGAGGCAAGGATGGAGACCACCAGCTGGGTCTCAGCACCGAGTTCTAATTCAAACTATGGAAGCCTCCTTATCAGACAGGCTTCAAAATGCTTGAGGGCACAGAGGGCCCACGGAGCTGTCTGTGCCTAACAGGTTAGTGTGTGCATAAGTGGGATCACTGGTGAGGATGGGCTGTGCCCAGAAAAACATTCTGAGCAAGAAGGAAAAATTGCCACATTGCTATTCTCTCTTCCTGCTATGCATTCTGTTGTCTTATTCTCCGAATTCTTGGATGTTGCAACATCTTGGACACAGGCAGTGCCTTCTCTAAGCCGAGGCCAGGGCCTCCCGGATGGGCTGGGTCCCAGACACTCCCCGCAGGAGGTTTCGTCCTTACCAGCAAAGGCTTTGAAGTCTGACTTGCTGTAGTCGTAGGGGGTGAATTTCACGTCCTGGGGCGGCTCCTGCTCTGGGGGCTGCTGGGAAGCTCTGAGCTTCTTCTTATCTTGTATAGAGTCCAGGCTCCCTGGCTCGCTTCCCATCCTTTCCCTCTTCTTAGCATTTTCTAGCTGCATGTTTCACAAGCCCATGAAGAAAGCTCGTCAGCACACAAAGGGAGATCTAGGAGTCTTTCCTCCCTTTACCCACAGGCAACATGTTATGGATCCAGCTGCTAACAGCAGGCCAAAAGAAGAATGAATCCTGGGGAAAGCAGGAGTCACTCGGGCGACTGGAGGGGGGGAGGCAGCCACACTGTGGCGCTGCCGAGCAGATCCCACGGATCCCGCTGGGGAATCTGACACATGGCCGAGGGAAGGAGCGGGAGAGCCCTGGGGTGGGGACGGAGGACTCTGGGCAGGCTACAGTAACAGATGGAGCAGGGCATACCATCAAGTGAACCGCTGCCCAGGTGGAAAACGGCATGTAACTCACTCGCTAGCATCCAAGGCTGAATGTTTTCCAGGCCAGTTTAGTTTCTTAAAAGTAGCAGCAGAAGGAGCGGGTGCTTACCAAAGCTTGCTGCCGGACCGAGATGATCTGCTGGGCGGTGGCTTTGTACTCTTCCTTTGCCTGTTCTCGGGCAGCTGAAAGACAAGCGGCGGAAGGAATGCTGGTGGAAGAGGCCCGGCGCCAAGGAGCCCCAAGAACCCATTCTTGTGCTGGCCCCCGAGAGTCTGGGTGCGAGGACAGCTGTGAGTTCGGGGCTCCAAGCAAGATCCCCAGGACAACAGCGACTTACCTGTCTGCTCAGCTTTCTTTCTCAATGCTTCTTGGGCCTCCTTCTTAATCTGTACCTGGCTTGCCAGCTTCCAGCGATTGCTGATCTGTAATTGAAAATAAAAGGAACCACAGTATTTGAAAATGCCTCATGTCTGGGTAAGGCAGGCTAAGGAGAGGTGGTCCACTACCTCTCTCTCCCTCTCTGAGACACAGCAGGAACACAGATAAATATAAAGCAAGGCAGGAGTCAGATTTGGTAAAAGCATGCTCTGCAGGGAGCTGGGAAGCTTCAAAAAACAAACCAACTGCAAACCATTGCAACTGATGGACTGGACTCAGGGAAGACCCCTCCCATCCTTCTCCATCCCCTAGTGAGGATCAAACGAGATAAAGTGCTTTGAAAAGTATTAAGGGCTAACAAGTTTGAGGCATTATTATTAAGAGGCTTAATCTAAAGTGATTATTGCAGAGCAGCATTCAGATTGTGGGACCTCCCAGAAGATATCTGACCCAAAGGATTCAGAACACAAACGTCCCCCTTTTTTCATTCTTCCCACAGGGAACTGGGAACCTCAAAAAACTCAGCAGCCAAACTTACTTCATAGATTTTTGACATTGGGTCAAACTTTGCTGACTGTGAGATGTAGGCACGGTTCTCTTCCGGGGGCAGATACTGAGGAAACCAAGAATGTTCTGTTAAATGCAAGACTTCACTGCGGCGGGTTCTGCCAGCAGAAGGTGCCCCCCCACCCCTGCCTTGGCACCTGATCAGTGGAGGCAGCCCAGCTGCCACTCACCATCCTGAATGGATTTTCAAAGGACTCCATGATGCTCTGCGCCTTCTTCTGTGCCACAGTCAGCCTCCCTCCACCTTCGTTAGCACTAGGCTCCTGTGGGCACCAAGAAAGGAAGAGAGGGAGTGAGTGTGAAGCCTGAGAGGTAGAGAAACTGGTCACAGTGTCATTGCCAAAGCGCTTATGGCTACAGTCTAGGTCATGTAACACTGTGGGTCAAGTCATAAAAGTAACTACAAACATTTCAGGGAAGAACTTTAAAATGGAAAAACGCTGACTGGCAAATTTTGAAATAAAGCAAAACAACAACAACAAAAAAACCCCAACCCCCCCCCCAAAAAAAACTGATTCTCTCTTCTTGTGGGCATCTCTTGGTGATCTTTCTGCTGTACCTAGCACACAGCAGATATTCAGTAAACACTTGCTGAACAAATGTTGAAGGAACAGAACAATTCCTAAAAGTGGCAACATCAGAGCCCAAAAAAGTCTCATTATTATACAATGGGGTAAAGGAAAAGTGAAAAGAAACAAACCCCTAGAAGGAAAAAATAAGACTTCAAGAAGGGATATAACTCCAGAGAGAATGGACACACCCAAGAAATTCCAGATGGGGATAGAATGCCAACAGAAGATAAAAAGGAAGAACTGGCATCTATGTGACTGAAATAAGTTCACTGAAGAAAGAATTCAAAATGACAAACACGGTAACTGACAACGTAGCAAAGATGGTGAAAAACTTCAAATGGACAAAAAATCCAACTGCCAGCCAGCTGCCCCTCCCAGGGCTGCAAGGCAGCGGGACACTCAGATCCTGAGGGGGACCATGCAGGATTCCGAACCCCAAAGCCTTGGGGAGAGCAATGCTTCCAGGCCTCTGCCCTCAGCCATCGCCCTGGGAAGCAGCCTGCATGGAGACACAGCTTGGTGACTGCTCCCACAGGCACTACAGCCTACCAAAGACCCAGGACAGAAGGCCTTGGCCCTGTCACATGGTTCAGTATGGAAACTGTTACAATTTTATCAGTGGAAATGACAAAGAAGAGGCATCAATATCTGCTTTGCCACTCCACCCTAAGGACCAGGGGCCTTTTCCACGTGACTTGCAGCTGAAATCATCCATGTGTTGTCTTCCCCATTAGAATGTGAATTCCTTGACGGGAGGGACTGTCTTATTCTTTTACTTATATTCTTGGTACTTTGCACACAGCAAGTGCTTAATAAATGCTTCGTTCATTCATTCATGAAGCAGACTGTCTGAGGAGTCATTAGAGCAGGCAAAACAAAGAAAATGAGAGAGAACAACAAAGAGCAAAATCAAAAAGGACAAAACTGGAAGCCCATCCTATAAAATTGTGCATACCCTGTGACCCAGCAATAGCAGTGCTAGGGCTGTATCCCAAAGAGATCATAAACATGGGAAAAGGACCCACATGTACAGAGATATTTATGGCAGCTCTTTCTGTGGTGGCCAAGAACTGGAAGTTGAGGGGATGCCCATCAGTTGGGGAATGGCTGAACAAGTTGTGGTACATGAATGGAATGGAATACTATTGTGTTATAAGAAATGAGGAGCAGGCAGACTTCAGAAAAAAACCAAAACCTGGAAAGACTTATATGGACTGATGCAGAGTGAAATGAGCAGAACCAGGAGAACACTGTACACAGTAACAACAATACTGTTTGATGAAGAACTGTGAATGACTTAGCTATTCTCAGCAATACAGTGATCCAAGACAATCCCAAGGGACTAATGATGAAGTATACTGTCCGCCTCCAGAGAAAGAACTGCTATTATTTGAATACAGACTGAAGTATACTATTTTTCACTTTCTTTCATTTTTTCCCTTTTGAGTCTTGTACAAAATGACTAATATGGAAATGTTTTACATAATTGCACATGTATAACCTACATGTTATACTGCTTACCATATCAGCGAGGGGGGAGGAGAGGGAGGGATAGAATTTGGAATTCAAAACTTTATATGTTTAAAAAAAAAAATAAAGAAAGAAAAGGTGATGCTCTGGGTCAAGCCTGGTGGTGTACACCTCTAATCTATGCTACTAGACTGTTAAGCTCAGGAGTTCTGAGCTGCAGTAGGACTAAGGACAATTGGGTTTCCACACTGAGTTCAGTACCAATGCAGTAAGCCCCCAGGAAGGCGGGAAGGGGGGATCAACTTGCCCAGGGAGGAGCGAACCAGCCCAGGTCAAAACCAGAGCAGGTCCAAGCTCCTATGTCAACCTACAGTGGGGCTGGCCCACTGCACTTCCACCCGGAGGAGGAGGCCAAGGACAAAGAGCGATGCGTTCACCCAGGCCTATGTTCTTGGTGGCAATGCCAGGCCAGGCAGCAGGGCTCTTATGGGTCTCCTAGAATGGGGCAAAGTTTATAGCCACAGCAAATTCTTTTCAGCTCTCAGCTGCTGAGATAACTAGGATGAAAAATAAGATCTTTAACAGAAAGAAAAAGAAGCAATAGAGAAGACTGTAAAAGTAAAACATATAGTAAAGACCATAAAGCAAAACTTGCTGGAAAACCTGCTCCTGTCTCTCTGTTTGTGGTGAACGTGAATGGGAATGCAAGAAATCCTCTGTGGCTATGGTGGACAGGCAGTCCTGGGACATGAATAAGCCTCTAAGCAAGTCATGTGAAATCACGCTTTAAAGACAAAGATCCCCAAGAAATGAACAAAGCCTGCTGGCATTCTTGGGCCACGATGATGGGTTGTACGCTAAAGAAGGCATTCAAAGATGAATACAGAGTTACTACAGTCAGAGTTCCAGAAATTCCAGTGATCTCTGGAGCCTTCTGCTATGTCATCATTTTGGACAAAACACTTGGTGATCGAATACCAACAACTGAACACTGGTATTCTTTCACAAAGAATGCTGAAGCTTTAATTAACAAAAGTCTTCCATTTGGTACTTCAAAATTGAAGCAAAAGTGGCATTAGAAATCTCCCAACATAACAAATATAAATGCCATTTAAAGGAGACAAAGCATCTCAGGATCCTGAGAGAAAAGGAAAACTCCCCAGATCTAGAGACTTCTAAAATGTTCAGTGAAGGTTTCTTCACTCCAAGGACAAGTATTTGCTTCTTGTATAAAGGAGGCAGCAGTTCAAAATTTCTAGCAGCCCAGTGAGATCATCTACAAGGATTCCAGAGTTGTTTTTAACCAGTTCACCGAAGAAGACATGATACTATCTGGAGAGGTCTCAGAAAATGGTAACAGGGGAAAAGCAGCTGCCAGATCATTTCCCAATTTTGAAGAATATGGATATCAGATTAAATTTTAAAGGAAGAAAAAAGGAATGCATTCATGATGAGGGTGTGATATCCAAACTACAGAAGGAACACAAATGTATAAAATCAAGAGCCATTCCCCAAATGGCAGTCAAAGGATAGGAACAGCCCTCAAAAGAAGAAATGCAAACTATTAACAATCATATGAAAAATGGCTCCAAATCCCTAATAGAGAAATGCAAATTAAAGTAACCTTAAGGTTTCACCACACACCCAGCAAATTGGCAAGGATGACAAAAGGCAGAATAAAGCTGGAGGGGATATAGAAAGATAGGCCCAGTAATATGCTGTTGATAGAGCTATGCTTTGATCTAACCACTCTGAAAATCAATTTTGAGTTACACTGAGAAAATGATTAAGATAGCCATACTTCCCGCCCCCCCACCCCAAGGATGGATAGCTATATAAATACTAGCTATTATTATTCTTATCTTTGATCCAAAGATCTCCTCCTAAGCAGGTACCCCAAAGAGATAGGAACTGTGCCTGTGATTTCACTGGCATGGAGAACTCCCGGAGAAAAGAACTCCCTCTACAATGTGGGGTGGCACCTTTACTGTTTTCTTAGAGAGGTGCTTAACTGAGGTTAAATGCCTGTTTGAACCCAGGTCTTCCTGGCTCCAAGGCCAGCTCTCTATGCACTACATCATGCTGCTTCCCGGGGAGCCCATACGTAGCAAACAATACACAGCAAAATGCTTTGTACTAGCAAAAGACTGGAAACAAAGGAGATGCCCGTCAATCAAAGAAATGGCAAAAACTGTAGTTCATGAATGCAATGGAACAGTAATACTTCAAAAATAATGAATATGAAGACTTCAGAAAAGCATGGGAAGATTTATATGAACTGATGCAAGGTGAAGTAATCACAACATGGAAAGCAACACACACACAATGACAACAATGTACATGGAAAGAACCTGAATACTGTGAAGTAATTAAAATGACCAAGCCTGGCTTCAGAGAAGAGTTAACAAAGTGCGTCTCCTGCCCTGCTTTGCAGAGGGAGGCCTTTGGATATGGAATACTGCAGCATACTGTCAGACTCAGCTGACTGATGTGCTGGTTAGTCTTCCTGAAGTGCTTACCGGCTTTCCTTTTTTATACTTTGTTAGAGGGGATGGTTCTCTGGGGACAGAACAAGGGAGGGATATTTTTAGAAATGAAGATGATGTACCAGGAGAACAATCTACACAATGACCACATTAGTAATCAACAAAAACAATACTGAAAAGTTTCAGAACTCTGATCAGTGTTATGACCAATGGTGACAGGTAAAGCAATCTCCCTGCCACTCAGTAGACAAGTGGTAGACTATAGGTGAGAAATGTTAGAGATGGTCACTGTATTGATCTACTTTGACTTCTTATGAGGGAAGTTTTGTGGAGGGGTAGGGGTGAGGGAAGAGAATTCATTGGAAAATAATAGTGATAACCAAAAAAAGGAGCATCAATGAAATACATTTAAGAAATAAAGATTGTTCTTCAATGTCACACCCACTGGCCATCCTGCCGTGGGCCCAATCCTCTTTTTTTGTCCTATACCATCATGCCTGATGATCTCATCATCCTCCATGGGTTCAATTATTAGCTCTATGCAGATGACTCCCAGATCAATAGTTACCCCTGTGCTAAAATAGTCTCCTATCTCCAAATTCCTTTTGGATATCTCAAACTGGATTTCCTATAGGTATCGCAAATTCAACACGTCCAAAACAGAAGTTATAATTCCCCCACTAAACCCTCAGCCCTATCAAACTTTCTTATTACTGTCCCGATTACATACCAGCATCCTCCTAATCACCCACATTCACAGCCTTGTTGTCAGCCTCAACTCTGCACTCTCATTCCCCGACAAAGCCAGTCCACTGCCAGATCTTGTCTCTTCTACCTTCACATCTCTCATGTATGTGCCCTCATCTTGCATACAGCCCAGAGCAGACCCTCATCACCTCTTGTTTATTACTATTATTGTTGTTGTTGTTATTGCAGTAGGTGGCCAACTAGTGAACTGACAATTAACTTATGGAATTACTGTGACTAAGGGAATGGAACCACAAGGGGGTCCTTCTAGGGTGAGTGGGGAGCAGGCACTCACAGTTCTGTAGACAGTTGCCGAAAGACCAAGAAGGAAAGTGCGAATTAATGCTTCAATCACACTTTAATAAAGCACAGAGAGTACAGAGGTAAATGGCATGAGAGGTGAGAAGAGCAGTATGGAGACAGTGTGCAGACAGGGTGGCGGTAGAAGGAAGGCAGTGTGGGGAAGAGAAGGGAAAAGGGCACAGAGGCAACCCTGGCTCAGAGATGGGGGCATTCAGGCTGCATGGACACATGGCAGATGGAGGAGAGAGTGTGTGTGTGTGTGTGGGGGGGCAGGGAGTTTAGGTTTCATTTTTACAGTGATTTGGTGAGAGATGGACTAACTCTTTATCTGTACCACTTTAAGGTTAATTCACTAACACATTTACACCAGCTAAAAGTTAACAGCAATATATCAAGATTAATTCATTAGCTTAACATTTGCCAGTGTTCTGGTCTTACTGTATTTGTCTGAAGCTTATTGGAGGCTTACAGACCACGGACACTTAGCAGGAGCAAGAGGTCCTTACAATAAGGCCTAGCTGCATCCCCCTAATTCATGAGACAGTTTGCAAGTAATCGTTATGCTCCCTTAATTTATGGGACAGTTTGTAAGTGACTTCTAGGTTCCCCTTTGCAATCTTGCTTCCTACTACTGTTACCTTACACTAGCTACTTATAAACTTACTATATTTACTAGAAGGGGAGGGCAGTGGTCAGGTGGACCAGAACATGATACAGTTTTAACACAACTAACGTTTATTAAGTGTCTACTATGTGTCAGGCATCTTCACAAGCAATAACTTTCTCTAATTGGCCTCCCTGCCTCCACTGTCTACTCATTGCAGTCCCTCCTCCAATAAAATGCCAAGGTGAGGCAGCCCCCTGGCTCAGTGAATTCTCCAATGGCTCCTATCACCTCCAGGATCAAATATAAAATGTTCTGTTGTGCATTTAAAGCTTTTCGTGACTTGGCTCCTTCTTGCGTTCCCTGACTTTTCACACCTTACTCTCCTCCATATAGTCTATAATCCCTGTAGTTCCACGAACATGCCACTCCATCTTCTATCTCTATGTACTGGCTGCCCCCCACACAGAGAGCGCTCTGCCCTCACCCCTACACCTCTGAGGTTCACTGACTTCCCTTCTCAAATCCCACTGTCTGCAGGAGGCCTTTCCCAGTCCGTCTGCCACCTCCCCAACCTCCCTTAGGTGACCTTTATCTACTTTCTACATTACGTACCTGGATGCTGCCTCCCCTGTTAAAGTATGGACCCCTTGAGGATAGGATTCTGGCCTTTCTTTGTGTTCCGAGAGCTCAGTATAACACCAAGCACGTAGAAAGGGCTCAATAAATGCGTGTGGATTGCTTCAATAAGCTCAGAAAATTGAATTATCTCTTAATGAGAAATCTAGCATTGTAAAGGACTTCTGAATTATAAACTGACCAAGCACATGAAAATTACACCAGATGGTCAAGAACTGGATGGAAATAAAGAGCAAAAAATGAATCAATGCCATTGGAGACAGGCATGATACCATGGAAAGTGCAGTGGTTCTAAGTCATAGGACCTGAATTCAAATCCTACCTCTAATACTTCTTTTTGGGGGGAGTTAGGCAATGGGGTTAAGTGACTTGCCCAGGGTCACACAGCTAGTAAGTGTCAAGTGTATGAGGCTGGATTTGAACTCTGATCCTCCTGACTCCAGGACCAGTGCTCTATCCACTGTGCCACCTAGCTGCCCCAACACTACCTCTTTCTGTGTGAACTCGGGCAAGTCATTTAACCTCCACTTCCTCATCTCTAATATAAGGGGCTGGACTACATGGCATCTGGGCTAAGACCAGAGTATTTTAAAGTAATGCCTCATATAAAGGTAAGTAAAAAAAGAATCCCTTGAAAAGGTAACAGAATTAGGTTATCAGGAGAAATGAAAGGAAGGGATGAGGGAGTAGTTAAATATTTAGAGATCACAGCCAAAAGTGAAGGATTATTATAAAGAAACAGAGAATGACAGAAGAGGATGATTCCTAATGATCCAGTACAGATGACCTTGTCTAGGAAGGAAAGGGTTAAAAATATTTGTACTAATAAAAGCTGGATCCTAGAATAGGAAAAGCGCATGCATGTATGTATGTATGTGAGTATGTTTGTGTGTGTGTGTGTGTGTGTGTGTGTGTGTGATTAAGATTACAAAGATAAGTTTTTTACTGGGCACAGACAAGAGGGAGGGTGGCTGTATGGAGACTAATATCAATCTTGTAAAAATAAAACAAGCACTATTGTACCTTGTACTACTGATTTTTAATTAGTTATACCACAAGATCTAATGGAGGGAAAACCAAACTATTATAATCGTGAATATTAATGGCCTGAATTCACCAACAAAAAGGGAGGGACTTAAAGAGCGTATTAATCAATCAATATGCCTACCAAATGCTAGGCAGAAGGGGTACAAAGAAAGGTAAAAGATAGTCTCTGCTCTTAAGGAGCTCATAGCCTCTTGGAGGAAACAACATGAAAGCAACTATGTACACACAAGACATACGAAGAATAAATTGGAGATAATAAACAGAGGGAAGATACTAGCATTAGGGGGCTCAAGATGAGGAAAAGCTTCTTGGAGAAGGTAGAATTTTAGCTGGTGCTTGAAGGAAGCTAGGAAAACTAGGAGGCAGAAAATGAAGAGAGAGTTCCAACCATGGAGGACAGGGAAAATGTCTGGAGTTGCGAGATGGTGTGTCATGCTCAAGGAACAGCCAGGAGGCCAGTGTCACTGAATCCAAGAATACATGGAGGAAAGTATGGTGTAAGAAGATTGCAAAGGGTAGGAGGGGTCTGAGTTATGAAGGGTGTGAAGGGTTCTGAATGCCAAACATAACATTTTATATCTGATCCTGAAGGTGACAGGGAATCTTACTGGAGCTGACTGAATGGTGGGATAGTGGGGATGATGTGATCAGACCTGTGCTTTAGGAAGATCAATTCGACAGCTGAGTAGAGAATGGATTAGAAGGGGGAAAGAACTGAGGTAGGCAGACCCTCCAGCACATTACTGCATTAGTGAAGTGATGGGGGTCTGCCCAGGGTAGTAGCAGTATTAGAGAAAAGAATAAGGCATATGGGAGATACGTTAGGAAGGTAAAACAGACAAGAGTCAGTCACAGATTGGAAAAGGAAGGTGGTGGTGAGAGAGAAGGAGAGGAGTTGAGGATAACACTTAGACTGCAAGCCTGGATGACTAGGAGGATAATCAGCTCCCATTTAGTGCTTATACAAAATATATCTAAAACCTAAAGATTCATACAAATTCAAAGTGAAGGGTCTGGAATAAAATCTATTATACTTCAGCTGCAATTGCAATCATGTTTTCAGATAAGGTAATCGAAATCAGATACAACATTAAGAAAGACAAGTAGGGCAATTTTATGATTAAGAGCATAATGAGATTATATCATTATTCACCTACCAAGTGGCATAAGATCCAGGTTTTTAATAGAAAAAAAAAAGAAGTAAAGATCTAGGTAGTAGGACACTGAGTACAGACAATTTTAACAGTCCTCTAACAAATCCAACAAAGAAAAATAAGAAATACATTGTAAACTTGAAAAGAATGTTGGAAAAACTGGATTTGATGGATCTATGCAGCCTTCTGAATGGCAATCTTTCTAAATTTCTAAATATTTCTCAGGCTCTCATATGATGCACCATTAAAAAGTTGAAGAATGGAAAATTTCTTTCACAGTTGTGGCCAGGAAAGGAATCTGTAACCAATTATGATATAGAGAATCTTATGAAAGAAAAAAGACTTTGATTATATAAAAAAGGTTTTTCATATATAAAGTAAATACAACTAGAATAGGAAAAAAAGACTCGAATTACAATCATTTTTAATTATGTCAGATGACTAAATTGTTCATATGCTTTGATCTAGTGATCCTACTAGTAGGATTATACCAAAAAGAGGTACATGACATAGGATAAGGACTCACATGTACCAATATTACTTGTAATAACAAAAATGTGGAAACAACTTCTACGTCCAATAATATAAGGCTTGTGAATTAACAGAATTATTATTACCATGAGGTACAGGAAAGGGAACAAACATTTATATAGCTCCCCCCCCTCCCCCATGTGCCAGGCACTGCTAAGTGCCTTTTACAAATATTACCTCATTTGATCCTCACAAGCACCCTGGAAGAACAACCCTGAGAGACAGGTGCTGTGATTATCCCCATTTTGCAGTTGAGGAAACTGAGGCAAACACAGTCGGCACTTAAATCCTTCCTCCCTTACCCTGTCTGACATTTGGAATCTGAGAGCCACAGACATCAGACTTGATAATGTAAACTCAATGGCGCGAGGTGTACAACAAACCGTGACGTTACTTACACTGAATAACGTGATGACTGCAGTAGCAACAAGACAGCCCGCATGTGAGAAGTTCTCATCTTCATATCTGTCAGAGAAGAGGGCTGCCCTTTTCTGAAGTGGCACAGGTCCTACAGAAACGGAAGCAATGGAAAGCTTTTAGGTTCAAAATTTTCCTGAAGCTTCATCCAAGTTTCTTAGAAGGACCCAAAATCTGAACTGAAAGCAAAAATTAAGACTACCAGAGCACCCCATGTGATATAAACCAGAGATTTACCTGTGGCTGCGACATTTAGATAATCATCTGGAGGAGCCCGGGAATAGTCATGAGGTCCAAATAGAGCATTTTCTACTCTCTGTATAAAAAAAAAGGCAGACAAAACGAAAGTTGCCATAAATGAATCTGAAACACTCCTGCAGTTTTGCTATGAAGTCAAAAACCCCAGGGTCGGTTCCACCCCAACAGACAGCAGCTGCTTCTGGTAGTCTGCGTCTGTCTGGTCACATGGAGCCCACCCCAGGACGTAGAGCGCTGTAGTACCTCAGGAGCAGGTCGGGGTCTGCTCTTTTTCACTCCAGATGCAAGTTCAGACTAGGAGACAGAAAAAGGAAAGAGTGAGGAAGGAGCAGCTTGGATGGTGAGACCCTACGCATCTTTGCTTCAGGCTCTCCCCGCCACGTTCCACCCTCCACTCGGGGGCCAAAGCGATCTTCTTGAAGGGCAGGTCTGACCATGCCGTCGGCCTGCTCAATAAACTCCAGGGGCTCCGGGACCTCTGCAATCAAGGGTACGCTCCTCAGTCCAGGCTGACTAAGCATTGCTCCTCCCTCATGTGTGCTCCGTGGCCCAGCCACCCTGGACCACGTGCTGTCACTCAGAATGCCTCATCTCTTCTTCGTCACGTTGGCCTCTTCCTGTCCCTATTTTCTCACAAGATTCTGCTAAAACACTACTTCAAAAAAGATTCTTTTTAAAAATTCTGAACTTAAACATCAAGTTAAATAAGTACTTCTACATACAAAAAGAGGATTGTGCATGAAACAGTGACTCCATCACGTACAGCACACTTGTCCTTTCAGGCATATAACAATTCAACGTGTAATTTCCAAAGACATCCTGCTTGTCTGTCAACCACCCCTCTCTACAAGAGGCCAAGTTCAAGGTGCTGCTGAAATCCCAGACCTTCTTCCTGTATCCTGTCTTCACCTCAAACACACTTGACTCATCTTCCCCATAACTTCCTTCTCCTACGCTGCCCTATTTCTTTTCTTTTTTTTTTTTTGGTTAGGCAATGGGGTTAAGTGACTTGCCCAGGGTCACACAGCCAGTAAGTGTCAGGTGTCTGAGGCCAGATGTGAACTCAGGTCCTCCTACCTCCAGGGCTGGTACTCTATCCACTGTACCATCTAGCTGCCCCTGCTGCCCATTTTTCTATGAATTCTGTCAATGCAAGCTCAAACTCTTAGAATGGCCTTTCTCTCCTCCCTTTACTTTGCTCTCCATGGCTGCTCCTGGTCCTAATGATTTTTCCTTTCCAATGCTTCTCACACCCTTTCAATTCTATATAGCAGAACCTCAGGTTAAGGCATTTTCTCCCTCATGTCTGAACTACAGAAATAGCCTGACAGATTTTCTTGACTCAAATTCATTCTGTGTACAGTCACCAACAGGTATTTGAACAGGGTAAAAGAAAAAAATCACATCTTCACTTCAATATAATTGGTTTTCTTTGTATTCTCATGCATTTTATGTTATTCATTTAAAACCACTATTCTGAGAAGAAGTCCACAGGCTTCACCAGACTGTCTGAGGGGTACATGGCACAAAAAAAAGTTAAAGACCCCTCTCAACAGATAAGCAACCTGTTCTAGACACTGCCATTACTAGCTACTGGACTCTCAAAGATCAGAATGAAAGAAGAAAAAACATTTGAGTCACGGTCGTTAAATGAAAGGAAAGAACCCGAGGCCCTCATACCGGTGTAGGTATGGCTAAACCCCAGGAGCAATGCACACTGTAGTCTAATCCCAAACATTTTCCTGATGTCTCCTTGGGCGGGGTAAATCCTAAGGTGACCAGTGGGAAGTAGGTTCTAGAAGTAGGTTCTAGCAGGCCTGTCAGCCTTCAGAGCCTTTAGGCGAATGTCATCCTACCTTGAGCAGAGGCATCTCTCGGGCCTGCTGGATCAGAAGGTGCATTTCATTGATTTGCTGCCGCACCAGAGGAGGTACAGGGTTGCAACAAGCAATAATACCCTGAGGTTCCCTAAAGGCAAACAACGACTTAGTTTATCTTTAAAAAAGCACAGCATTTAAAAATATTCAGATGGGAAGAGTGATCAGTGGATTCAAGCTCAGGTCCAATGACTTCACCAAAGGCCAAAGGTTTATCAGCAGACTGTTGGCCACTATTAACTCAGTGAGGCCAAGGAAACGTTCACTTGAGGTGAGGTTCAGAAAAAGCTAACCTCTGAGTCTTTCCTTCAAGGTCCAATCCAAGGGCTACCTCCTTTATGAATTTTCCTTTCTTCCCTTCCCACCTCCATGCATACCTTTCCTTTCCTTCCCTTTAGATTGTAAGATCTTTGAGGGCAGGGCCTCCCTTGTATCTACCCTCATACTTTCAGCACTTATCACAGGGACATAATTAGTACTGATGGTCTCTGAGCAGAAGAGCAACCTTGACCAACAATCTGGAAAATGGGATTTTGAAGACTATGGGAGCCCTGAGATTGCCATCCTGCCAGCACACAGACTCACTTGGGCAGCTCCTCAGCTATCTTCAGCATCATGTGGTTGGGCAGGACATAGCTGCAACGGAAGCACAGTAGGCTTAGTAAGACCGGGGGTGGCCCCCACAAAGTTCTCTCCAGGAGAGTTAACAAATGTCACAAAATAAACAATGCGGTAACTCGGCAGGAAAGACTCAATTACAGATCTGGGCAGTAAATCCATCTTTCTTTTGCCAGCAGGCTTGCCTTGCTGAAAGTATTAAAATAATTTCTGTTCCACCACTGTCTCACCCATAACTCTCATCCTCCCTCCGGGCTGTTCTGTCCCTCCACGAATAGAGCAACTGGAAGGCTGTGAGCTGCTGGGTGCTAAGATGCTTCTTCTGCTTTCTGTACAGCTCAAGGTACGAATCTTCGGTGAAAATCGGTTTGATGAACCTCTGCAAAGGATGGAGAGAACAAGGGCCAAGATAAGTAGATGTACTTTTGGCCTCTAGCAATGAATGAGAGCAAATGACGGAAACAACCCCCCCCCCCGCCCCCCCCCCCGCCCCCGCCCACCCGCTTTTGTATGGACTCTGGCAAGGCCATACCTTGAGGCAAATGTCCCTGCTCCGCTGCCACACCACCTGCAGCTGAGCTGGCTGCCCGTTTGCTCGTTCCCACAGGTCTGAACGCATCTTATCATAGATGTAGAGGAGGTAATGAGTATCATGGCGTGCGTAGTTAAACATTTCCTCAGGTAAAGGTCTAGAGATGCGACAACAAGGGAAGTTTTGGTGATTTCTTCTAGTGGCAGCTATCTTAACTATTCCGACTACCACCTGGCATAAGGTTTTTACAGGTAATAAATATTTGTTGAATCAATGAATGAATACTCGCCAGGCCCTAAAGCACAATGCATAAGTTACATTATTCACTTCAGCATCTTTTTACTGTAATTCGCAGATTAGCAATTGGATGAAAAGGGTGTCTCACACTGATATGGTGAGCAAGACCTTGCAGAAGTACAAAGTGCTTTTTCTCCCCACAATACCTGCACCACACACAGTGGGAGCAGCATGGGGCACAAAAGGAAGGTTAGATTAGGACCGAGAGGACCTCGATTTAAAGCAGGACTCTGTCACTCACTACCTGTGTGGGTCATAGGTAAGGATACTTCTGCACGCTATGGTTTAAGGAGAAATTTGATAAGCTGGAGAGGGTCCAGAGGAGAGCTACCTGGATGGTTAAAAGTTTGTGAGTTCCTGTCATTTGACAATCAGTCAAAGGAACTGCAGATGTTAAGCATGGAAAAGATGAGACTTAGGAGGGAGAAGACAGTTATCTCAGGTTAACTGAAGGGCTGTTTCACCAATGAGAAATTAGACTTGTTCTGTTTGGTCCTCAAGAACATGATTAGGAGCAATGAGCAAAACTACAGAGGCCAAATGAGGTTTGAAAGCTCGGCTCATCATTAGGGCAACCCCAAGGCGCCTCCTCCATGCAGGTCCCCGCTCCCAGGATGGATGGCCACTTGTGGGAAGGTGCTGGTGGGTGGGGATTCTTAGGCAACAGGGCCTCAGAGGCCCCTTGTTCCGAGAGTCTATCAAATCTCTGAATTTCTCTGGGCTTTAGCTTTATCATCTGGAAAATGAGAGGGCAGGACCAGATGCCCTGTAAAGTCCTCCATCTATGCTCCTCTGATGATCTATTTTGACCCTTAGAACAACACTGGGATCGGTATTAGAAGTTTTTCCATTCCTGTCTTACAGATGAGGAAGCTGAGGCTGAGAGAGGGCAAATGACTTGTCCAGAACTGAGACTCAAACCTGGTCTATGCTGAGCCTTGGTCAGGGATCTTCCCACTGCAGCACAGGGCTTCTCCTGGCTTTCAAAGAAGGCTTTGGTTGTGCCCTCTCTTACACCGGGAGCGCCACAGTGCCCACAAAGAGAGGCCGAGAAGCAGGGACGCCTGACTTACAAGCTGGGGGCCTTTGGGAAAACCACTTGGCTTCTCTGAGGCTCTATTTCCTCCACTGAAAACAGGGACAAGACTTGTACAAACTACCTCCCAGGGCTGTGGTGAGGAAAGCGCTCTGCATGCCATCAAGGCACAGAGAAATGTGAGCTATGACCTTTGTTATTTTGCTAACAGTTTTATTTGATAATGATTTTATTTAGTTGGGTTACTTCTCAATCACCACCAATAAGGAGACACAATGTTTAGTGGTGCTTCCAACTGACAGATGGAACTGTAGTGCTTTGTCCAGCTGCTGGGGAAGGGGAACATGAGCTCCAAGGAAGTCCAAATGCCAAGTTATACTATTACAAAACACCAAGTAAAAAGTCAAAAGAATTACCGCATTGTGCTATCTCAAACATATTATACATGATACACCAGAAAGATGTGAGTTTAAAGCACAAGAAAAGGGAACTGCACAGGCAACCTTAATGACTACAATTCTCCTTTAAGGAGTTACTAAAAATTATTTCCTGCCCATTCTCTCCTTTCACCCACAATAACAAATCCAGCCCATATAAGTGCAAATTATCCCTCTGAAATTCCCTGTGGCTTTTATGCCAATGGCAATCCTTACAGAACAGGCAGAGAACACCTACCTTGTAAATCATATAGGTTATGAACAGAGATATAAACCTGGTGCTCCAAAGACGAGTTCATTTGGGCACCAATTTTAAGCCAATGGAGTCATCAGCAAGAAACATACCGTATCCTCCAGTCAGCCAATTGATATTGCTTGTTTGTTTCCACGTTGCAATAGAGTTTCAGTAAGTGATCCAGTGAGTGCCTGCCAAGGTTGAGGATGCGAGCTGCCTGGTGAGTATCAAACATGTTCACCACATACACCCCAAAGTCTTTCTGCAGCCACTCGATGTCCATATCAGCACCATGGAAGACCTGGAAAGCAAAACCAAAACCATGAAAGGCACTGGAGCTCATTCTGCCCCAGCGACTGAGCCCCACATTGGAAATTCAAATGGAGACTAGGCTGTGGGCTCAGAACTCGTCTCAATCTGTTTAACCCAGGCATACAACAATCATGCCAAGAATTCTGAGGACATTAAAAGAACCACAGAATTGGAAGGGACTTGAGCAGCCTGCCAGTCTAGCTACTCCTACAAAGAGGTTTCCCTTCTACAACAAGTTTAACCAGTGCACCTCCCACCCCTCCAGGAGACCTACCTCTTCCAAGGCAGGGCACAACACTTCTGGATGGCTTCTGGAAAGTTTTTTGTTACATCAAACCTAAATTTCTCTCTCCTCAATTTTGCCCTCTTGCTAAAGCTAGCCTACAACTAGTGTTCTCTCTTCTCTAATCCTTCTGACACAGGACAGAATGGTGGAGAGGAGGGAGTGCTGGACGTGGAGTGACGAAGACCCAGATTTAAATCTTCAGGCACTTCTTAGATGTGTGCCCACGGACAAGCCACTTATTTTAGCTGAATCTCAGTTTCCTCATCTATAAAATGAAGATGATAACATTTGCCAACCCACCTAAAAGAGTTGTTGTGGGGTTCAAATGAGGTATTGTATGTAAAGGGTTTTGTAAACTTCAAAGTAGTATACTGGTACCAACTGTTATAACTATTATCACTACTGACAGTTCTTGAACCACTTGAGGATGGGCTATCACCCCCCCACCCCATCCCATTCTCTTCTCCAGTCCAAACATCTCCCAATTCTTCTAACCAGTGGTAACAAATATAATTGGATCACTGCAGGCTTAGAAAACTATAAATTAGCATTATGTATGTATTTTCATTGATTTTGTTAAACATTTCTCAATTACGCTAATTTGTTTTGGGAAGTGAGTTTGACACCTCTCTGACCTTGTGTTCCTTCACTATCCTGACAGCTGTCCTCTTTGTGGTCTCTAACTCATCAGTGTTCTTCCTGAATAAGCGCATTACTCCAGCTGTCTGGAGCAACGGACAGGACAGTAGACTATCGTTCCTCCCTGCCCCACCCCCCTTCCTCTCCAAAGCTTTGCCTCTCAACACAGCCCAAGATCACAATAACTGTTGGCACACTGCCAATTTAGAGTGAGTTTGCTGTTCACCAATCCCCCAGTTTCTCAAATAAACTATCATCTAGCCATGTCTCTTCGATCTTGTATCTGTGAAGGAGGATTTTTGAACCCAACTATGTGATACTTGTCCCTATTAAATTCCATCTTAGTAGATTCAATGTACTGTTGTAATCTGGCAAGATGCTCCTGGATCTTAATCCTGGCAGCCAGTGTGTGAGCTTTGCGTTCCTTTTGTGTCCCACCCTTCCCGTCTTCTCCAACAAATCACAACCTCCATCATCCCCCCTCTTTACTTTTCCACTAACATACAGCCTTCAAACATGCCCCTGTCTCCCCAAGCCCAACCCTGAAACAATTTTACTAGGCTCTACCCTTGCCTCAAGTTCGATGTACTATTATGATAGGCAACCTCAGAAAACGCCATCTACCCTCACTTGTCTCCACTTCTCCCATCATTCCTGACTGCTTCAGATTCCACCACTCAGCTGCCGCTGCTCTTTCCAAAGTGACTAATTGTCAAACCTGACAATCTTTCTTAGTGCTCATTCTTCTTAAGCTATCTGATGCATGACACTGCTGACCATCGTCTTTTCCTGGACACTCTCTCTTCTCTGGCCTTTCGTTACACTAATCTCTCCTGGTTCTCCTACTTCTGTCGTTTTGATGGTGTCTGATTCTTCATGGCTCCATTTGGGGTTTTCTTGGCAGAGATACTGGAGTGCTTTGCCATTTCCTTTTCCACCTCATTTTACAGGTGAGGAAACTGAGACAAACAGGGTGAACTGACTTGCCCAGGGTCGCACTGCTAGGAAGCGTCTGAGGCGGGACTTGAAGGAGTCTTCTTGACTCCAGACTTGGTGCTCTGTCTTCTCAATCTTCTCGTTGGCTTATCAACCAAGTCACACTCCGTAACTGTGGGTGTGTACTATAGTTCTATCTCAGGCCCTCTTCTGTTCCCTTTTTCCTCTTTTAAACCACATCAGCTACCATGGATTTAATTATTATCTCTATATAGATGCCTTGCAGATCTATACAGCACGTCCCAAAAGTCTTAGGGCTTTAACAGCTTAAATCCGCCCCAGTGTCTCCCAGAGTTTCAATCATACCTCACCAAATGCCTGATATTTCAAAATGATTATCCTGGCGATATCTCAAATTTAACTATGTCCAAAATGGCACACATTATCAGTCCCCCTACCCAACTTATCACCACCCCCTTCTAACTTTCCATTTCTGCAAGGCATCAACACTCTTCCAGTCTCCCAGGTTTGTAACCTTGGCATTACTCCTCACTCTCCTTCACTCCACATACCTAACCAGCTGCCAAATAAATATTGTCACTTCTACAACTGACAACATGTTTCTCAAGCAGGCCCTTCTTTGTACACATATACCACTAGTTCAAACCCTCCTGCTTCTGCCTAGATTAGTGCAGTAGCCTCCTACTGGTCTCCCTGCCTCTGATCTATCCTAACCACTGCTGCCTAAGTAATTTTCCTTAAGTACAGATCTGTTCATGTGACTCCCCTATTTAACCGATTTTGGCGGCTTCCTATTGCCTCTAGGATAAAATGTAAACACTCCTGTTTTGTTTTTATTCCCAACTTATCTTTGGCCATTATTCCCTTTCTGGCTCTCTGCAATATAGGCAAACTGTCCTTCTCTCTATTCCTCACGAATCATGCTCCGTCTCATATTTCTGTCACTTTGGACTGGCTGTCCCAAATGCCTGAAAACCCACTGCCTCCTCAGCTCTGTCTCTTCCTCCATGATTCAGGTTAAACATTACCTTCTTTATGAAGCCTTTCCTGATTCCCTCAACAATGCCCTCCCTCCTAAATAATTTTGTATTTAATTACCTTATATTTGTTTTAGGTATTCTCTTCATATTGATTTGGTACTTAGTTTTCCTCATTAGAATGTAAAGTAAGTGTTGAGATTGTTTCATTCACTGAATCAGTATCCTTTGCACCTAGCACAGCGTCTGATACAGAGCAGGCACATAAGAAATACTGTTTATGAAGGCAGAGTCAAGATGTCAAAGTAGAAGGAAGAAGTTGAGTTGAGTTTTCATCTCTATAATTCCTCCCCAAATATACTGAAAATGTATCAAAGCAAATCCTGATTGTGAAATCCAAGAAAAAAAAATCATGAGCCATTTTTCCAGTGCAGGCTGGGACAGGGAGATAGACAAAGAGGCCTCTGGACACTGGGGATGGGCTCCAGCCAGGACCTGCCGCAAGGAGTCTTCCAGCATAGATGCTTAAAGGAGGACAGAGGCTGTGCACCAGAACAAGAGATTCTAGGGAACCCCCCCCCACACCCTGCACCCCAACCTTGTGCAGGAGGGAGCAATAGGTGCTAACTGGTAACTTTGTCACTCACTACCCAGTTCCAGGAAGCCCTGAGGAGAGGACTAGCACCTAGGGTTGGGGTTTCTGGGTACGGGGCAGTCATGGGCCTTGGCTGTATGCTAAGCAAGGAGCAAGTTCAGAAGCAAATAGCAGCTGTGTGACCTGGGAGCAAAGCAGGATCTCAGTTCCAGGATCCTACATGCTCTAGAATTCCAGGAAGGCTGCAGTTCTGTCCATCTGAACCAGTAGAGCTTCCCAGCAGGCTGGGAGAGGCTGAATCCAGCAGCAGTCTATTCAAATTCAAGCCAGGGGCAAGCCTAAATGTATGTTGCTCAGATGCAAACCCAGGTCAGGAACTTGTAGAGCTCAGACCAGAAGGGCAATAATCAGACTTTTCCCTATAACAGACCACTCTGAGAAAACTGAAAGCTCATGGGTCCCCAACATGAGATGCTTCTGAGATCCTAGAATCAATAGCCTACAACAAACCCTAAGAAAGCAGTCGAAGGATCCATGCTCAGCCCAGACATTCTCTTTAGAAGTGTGCAGAGCCCAGACCTAACAGAAAATCCAAAGTCAGAAAGTAAGCCAGAAGAATGAAAAATAAGAAAAAAAAAGAAAGAAAGAGTCCCACCATAAAGAGCTGTAACAGTGATAAGGACGCTTAAGACACAAATACAGAAGAAGAGAATAACTGCAAAATATCCACAAGGAAAAACACAGCCTGGGAAGAAATTTGACTAGAACACGTGGGAGAGATAAAGCAGGAGTTAAAAAAAAAAGTTTTTATAAATGGAATGAGAATTCTAGAGGGAAAAAAAAGGAAAAGAAATGAGAGCTATGGAAAAAAAAATTGGAAAGAGAATTAACAGCTTCACACAAGAGTTATAAAACCTTGCCCAAGTCAAACGAGAATGGACCAAACAGAAAATAGTGACTCCACGAGACAAAAAAAAAAATACTAAAACAAAGTCAAAAGACTGCAAACTATAGGAAAATAGAAGAGGAAGGGGATAAGGCGGGGGGGGGGGGGGGGGGGGGGGGGGGAGAAGGGAGGGCAGATTGGGGAAGGGGTATTCAGAATGCATGCCATCTTAGGGTGGGGGGAGGGGTGAGATGAAGAGAGAATTTGGAACTCAAAATCTTGTGGAAATGGGAGCAGCTACGTGGGGCAGTGGATAGAGCACCGGCCCTGAAGTCAGGAGAACTTGAGTTCAAATCCAGCCTTTGACCAAACACTGGACACTTACTAGCTGTGACCCTGGGCAAGTCACTTAACCCCAATTGCCTTAAAAAAAAATAGTAAAAAAAAAAAAATCTTGTGGAAATGAATGCTGAAAACTAAAAATAAATAAATAAATTAATAAAAAAAGACTGGCAAAAAAAAATAGACGAAAATGTAAAGTATCTTGTAAAAACAACTAAAAAACAATTGAGCTGGAAACATTATGGAGGAATAATTTAAGAATCACTGAACTACCAGAAATCTATGAACAACAAAAAAAAAGAAAGCCATATTTCAAGAAAACTGTCCTGATCTCTTAGAACCAGAAATAAGAAGAATCTAATGTCATCTACTGAGAGAAACCCAAAAGGGAAAACTCTCAGGAACATCATGGTTAAAATCCAGAGCTCCCAGGTTGAAGAAAAAATACTGTAAGCGGCCAGAAAGAACAGAGTAGTCACAAGTACAGTTCAAGTACAGAGGAACTGGTTAGGATTATACAAGATTTAGCAGAAGAAAGCCTGGAATATGATATTCCAGAAGGTAAAAAATAAGACTTATAACCAAAAATAACTTGCCTAGCAAAACTGAATATAATCCTAAAGGGGAAAAAATGGACTTTTACTGAAATTAAGGATTTCTAAGTATCCTTGATGACAAGACTGGAGCTGTGCAGAAACTCAGGATATAAAGGAGTCTAGAGAACAGAAGTGAAGCAATCATAAGAGACTAAACAAAGATAAACCATTTACATCCCAATATAGGGAGATGATTCATATATCTCATCAGACCTGTATCATAATTGAGGATAATAGTGAGAGTCTAATAAGACAGAGGGCTTGGAAGTGCTTTTGTTATGTTTTAATAATCTCAGACAAAGAATGGGAAGGGAGGGGAAGAACGGGGAAAATGATCATACACAATCAGAGCACACAAGTAGAAGGCTACAGAAACAAGGGTGCAAGGGGGTGCAGGAGACTTCACTTAAACTTCACTTTCATCTGAACTGGTCAAAGTAAGAATATGCAGAGTTGGGTACAGAAATACATTTTACTCAAAAGGGAAGCAGAAGAGAAAGGGGAGAAACAAACTTTCACTAAGGAGGGCAGATCCTGGGGAGAACTTTAAAAGAAAACAAAGGACAAGAACCTGTGACTGGCCTCTGAGTGAGGGAAACAGAAGAGGGTCAGAGAAGAATATACCAGATGCAGGGCACACGCCTCTCTCACCACTGTATTCTTCTTTTAAAAGGGAGAGTAGGAAACAAGAAGAAGAAAAAATGTAAGAGAACAGGACAGAAGGAAATACACAATTAAGGATCATAACTAAGAATGTACAAACAAAACAAAGGTAGCTAAAATTTGAAGAGAAACAGATAATGGGGGGAAAAAAAACCTGTGCAGTAAATTTCTCTAATAAAGGTCTCATTTCTAAGATATATAAGGAACTGATTCAGATTTATAAGAATGACAGTCATTTCTCAATTGATAAGTGGTCAAGAGATTTGAAGAGGCAGATTTCAAAGAAATAAATCCAAGTTATCAGTAGTCGTATAAAAAAGTGCTCTAAATCATTAATAATTAGAGAAATGCAAATTAAAACAACTGAGAAGTACGACCTCACACCTATCAGGTTGGCTAATATGACAGAAAAGGAAAATGAAAAATGCTGGAGGGGATGTGGGAAAACAAGCACACCAATACACTGTGAACTGATCCAGTCATTCCAGAAAGCAATTTGGGGACTATGCCCTTTGACCCTGCAATACCACCACTATGTCTGTACTCCAAAAATATTTACAGCACCTCTTTTTACAGTGGAGGTAAAGAAGCTGAAATTGAGGGGGTGTCCATCAACCGGGGAACAGTTGAAGTTATGGTAATAGGAATGGGATGGGACATTACTGTGCTATAAGAAATAATAAAAGAGGCTTTGAGACGGCAGGTGATTCCTTGGCTATTTGATGTCCTTTGAATAATATCTGCACAGAACTGATAGTTGTGAGATGAAACCTCAGAGGTTTTCTTTGGCCTGCATGACTTATTATTATAGATTTGGAGCCTTCTTTTATAAGGTTGTTAGTTGTTTGCAGTTCTTATTTGGAGAACTTTTTGTGCTTATCTTTTGAGAGAATAATGAATCTAAGTAAAAAAAAGTTTGTAAATTATTTTAAAAAACTAAAAAAAAAAAAGAAATAATAAAAGAGACACCTTCGGAGAAAGGTGGGAAAACTTGTATGAATTGATGCAGAATGAAGTGAGTAAAATCAGGAGAACAATTTATATAATAATAACAATATTGTAAAGACAAACATCCTTGAAAGACTAAGGAACTCTGATCCATATAATTATTGACCATAACTCCAGAGCAGTCAGGATGAAAGAAGCCACCCATCTCCTGATAGAGAGGTGATGGACTAAGAGTATAGATTGAGACATTTTTCTTTGGACAAGGCCAAGGATTTTGCTCTGCTCGTGATGTTCGAAACAAGGGTTTTTCTTTATTTATTTATGGGTGGGGGGGAGGGCAAGAAGGGTGAGTATGTAAAAACGAGAAGAGGATTTTTACTGATAAAAAAAGACAACATTTTTAAAGAAAAAAATGTTCATTACTGATTGATTTTAAATCTGTAATTTGCAATTTTGATAAGAATATTATGTGTGCTTTTTTCCACGTCACTGATACAAATGTGAAACTGCACAAATCCCTAGGCCACTTCACTAGAGATGTTCTAAGTTGACATTGAACGATAACGACTATTACTTGCATCTGGTCATTCAACCATTTCTTTAAAAAAAAAAAAAGTTTTTTTCAATCAGAAAAAATCCACATTGTCTTCCCTCCTTCCCTAACTGAAAAATCAAGAAAAACAAAACCCCTATCACAAACACATACAGTCAATCAAAACAAATATGTACGCTGGTCATGTCAAAAAAAAAAAGTCATGTTCTGCATTATGAGTCTTTCACTTCTCTGTAAGAAGGTGGGTAGCACGTCTCATGGTGAGTCTTCTGGACTCCTGGCTGATCATTACACTGATCAGAGCTCCTAAATCTTTCAAAGTTGTTTTTTACCACATTGTTATTATTGTATAAAATGTTCTCCTGGTTCTGCTTACTTCATTCTGCATCAGTTGACACAAGTCTTCCCAGGATTCTGTGAAACCATGGAACTTGTTCAGTCATTCCCCAATTAATCCCTAGCACCCCCTTAGATTCTAATTCTTTGCCACTACCAAAAGGGGCTACTTCATTTAACCATTTCTAATTTTATTTACTTATACCATCATCTAGCCCACATCTGTGTCAGATTTCCACAAGAATAGCATGAAAGATATTATCAAATGCTGTACTAAAATCCACACAAACTATGTTTATAGCATTCCTCTGAGATCCCAGTTTATTAACTCTGCCAACAAAAGAAATAAGGTGAGTTTGCGACCTGTTCTTTTTGAGGCCATGTAGGTTCTTTTCGATCATCACTTACTTTTCTAGAAGTTTGTACACTGTCTCTTTAAGTATATTCAAACGCTCATATAGTCTTATGCTTTTATCTGTTCAGATGTCCTTTTCACCAAAGTTGCAACCCATCCACACCTGCCTGTGTTGTGCAACTCTTGTCCATGGCCTCCAAAATGTTGGCCACAATGCCTAAGAGACTTTCCTCCCTTTCTCCCTCTCTGATGGAATCTGAGGACACCAGTAGAGTGCTCGGACCATCTACCTGGCTTCCTTCACCTGGATATGGGACCAGCCTGTTTTCTTTTATGCTCACATACTTCTCTGATGATAGCCTTCATTCAAGTGCTCTTCTGACATTCCTCACTGGTCCTGGCCTGGCCCCACCTACAACCATTGATCTTGGTGTGATCCTCATGCCTGACTCCTCAGAGGCTCTCATGTTCCATGAACACAAGAATACTGGTATTAGAAAGATCTGCTTCTGTCTTTGGGAGAAGTTTGGGATTATAAAAAGATCTCTGCTATCTACTGAAGGCAATCCAGCCCTCTTACCTTCTGTTCAACTCTGCGCCCAACTCATATATTTATTGTTTTCTGTCATGTGTGTGTTTACACACACACACACACACACACAAACACACACACACACACTCTCTCTCTCTCTCTTTCTCTCTCAGGTCAAACTCTCTTCCAGGACATTCTGAAATGTTCTGAGGCTTGGTGTAGCCAATACTGCCATTCACAAAGATGAAGTGGAGGGCCCCACTACCTATAGGGGATCCTTCTTCAATTAGGATTCTGCATTGGGTCATCACTGGCGAAATCCTTTAGTGAGTTTGCCTCTCTGTTTTATGCCTTGCCTGTTATTTACGATCAAAGGGTCAAACAAAAGTATATTATTCAATAAATATTGAATAATTAGAATTTGAGAAGGAATAAAAATCAAGCTCACTGGCTTACAGTTGCCTACTAGCTTAATACATTATCAGTATAATCAATGGATTACCACTGTTGGTATTCAGTCAATTGTGAAAATGAACAAATATTCTTCTGAATGGCTACCAGTTAAATGTCGCCTGCTCTGGACCAGAGCCAGAAGTTTAGGTCATCTCGTCTGACCTTCTCATTTTATAGAGGGAAATTAAGGTCTGGAGGGGTTAGCTAAATTACTTGTCCAAGGTCACACAGGTGATAAATAGCAAAGCCTGAATAGGAACACAAGTCTTCTGACTCCAAAGCCAATGTCTCTTTCCCTACATCCATATCATGTTTTTATATAAAAAGTTAAACACAGAGCAATCCCATCTCACTCTAGCCAGAAACACAGCACTAGCTCTTTTACATTAACTGAGTCTGTAGTAAAAAAAAACGGTTAGCAGGCTTAATATGTCACTCAGCTCTCTCAGTCATTACACAACAACAGTTCAAAAGCATAAGCTGACCTTAACAATGGATGGATCTGTGAAGCTCTCATTGAGAATATACAGGTCACATCGAAGTTCCAGGGTATCAATAATGAAGTCCTCTGTTCGGGTGGAAATCTGCATTAGGCATGTCAAACCTAGGAAACTCCTGTAAGAGTGGTGCTAACACAAACAAAAAGAGGAGATGGGGCACAGAGAAAAAGTTGTCACCAGGTTTCATTCTATATTACCTCAAAGTCCAGTTTTTGAATTTTTGAAAAACTTATTTTATGAGAAAATACATGGAAATTACAGTTTAATTGCTTTCCCAATAAGACAACAGCAAATTTTAAATCAAGGGTAAAAAAAATCTACCTCCAAATCTACACCAAAGTCTTTACAACTCAGGAGTTTTTCATTGAGTTCCACAAGTTCATCAAGGGTGGATACAAAATGGCAGGGTGTTTCTTCTACAGGTCTGTAGATCTAGAACAAAAAACTACTGTTAGAAATAGTAAAAGTGACTAATCATCTTCCCCAAAGTCAAAACAAAGTGATGAATTGGAGACAGTCTCCAAAGTTCCTGTCACTTACTACCAACAAACTAAGCCATAAATACAACACTTAAGCATCCCTTCTCTTTAAAAAAAAAAAAACCCTTTCTAGATCCTATTACAAACATCACTATCATCTAATATCTCTCTTCCCTGCTCAGCTAAAACTCCCTGAAAAAGCTGTCTATACTTGGTGCCTCCACTTTTCTCATTCTTTAAAATCTCTACTAACTGGTTTCTGATCTCATCACTCAAATAAAACTGCTCTCCGCAAAGTTACCAAGGATCTCTTATCTGTCGACTTAAATGGCCTTTACTCAATGCCCAACCTTCTGACCTTTCCGTAGCACCTGAGACTGCTGACCACTCTTTCCTCCTCATATTCTCTCTTTTCTGTGGTTTCATGATACTCCCCTCTCTTGATTCTCTCTTTTAACCTCTCCTTCTATCTCCTTTGCTGGGTCTTCATCATGCCATGCCCACTAACTATGGGTACCAGAAGGTTTTGCCTTAGGCCCTCTTTTCTCTCTACATTCTATCACTTGGTGATTTCATCAGCTCCTATGGGTTCAGTCATCATCTCTACAAAGATGAGATATACAGATATATAGAGCCCCCAAACTCACTGGTGACTTGCTGCACCTCCCATCTCTGTACATCTGCACTCACTGGCTAGCCCCATCCCTGGAATACTTTCCCTCCTCACCTAGACCTCTTGGACTCTCTCAGCTTAGATATCACCTGTTGTAGGAGGCCTTTCCAGATGGTAATTTCATACCCTGAGAATATATCTCACATATACCTACATGTTTGTATACATTACGTCCCCATTAGAAGATGTCCTTGCAAACAGGTGCTGGTTAGCTTCGTCTTTATGTCCTTAGCATAGTACCAGGCACATAAAGGGTGATTAATAAATGAATATTGGTAGATTTTCACTCCCTTCCTGCAGGGACCCCATTCTAGAATGTAGGTTGGAGACTAACCTGAATCTGTGGCTTCTGAAGGACTGCCTCTGGTGGAGTAAAGTGATCCAGTTCATACTGGTAGGGATGAGCAAACCTGGATGAAGTGAAAAAGAAATCAGCCAAAGGAAAAATGGCAGCTTTCCTGACCCCGGATCTATTATGATTTGGGGAAAGGGAATGAGAACAAAAGCCTCAGGAGAAATGAAATGAATTTTTAAATGGCACACACATTCTAGAAACCATAAAAACTGCATTATTTCTAACAGCAAAAATCTCAAAAAGCAGGGAGTGCCTGAGCAAGTCATGGTATATTAGTGTGGCAGAGTTCTACTGTTTTACTACTGTAATTCAAGGATCTCTAATTCAGTCATTGCAGGCTCTCTGTCTATTGACAAAAATTACAATTCTCATGTCTTAGGAATAGTTTAGGTGAGTTACTGTGGCAAGAAAAAAAATCATATGGTGGCCAAACTAATGATGATTTTCTCTACACTCAGCTAGGCTGGCCCTCCACTAATGGTCCCCAGGTCCATGACTGCTTGGCAGCACCTGCCAGACACTGGGGCACTCACATAGACACACTCGCACCACAATAAAGGAACCAGAGAATGAATGACACCATTAAGAAAGAGGAGTGTGAGAAAAATAAAGAAATATGGAAAAGGCAGATATAATGGAATAGATGAAATAAAGTAGGACAAAAGGAAGCACATAACACAATAATTACAAATATGTACAAAATGTGTAAGGAAACGTGAATGTAAAACTAGAAGGATCAAAAGGGGACTAGCAAAGAGTTACTGAGAGGTTACTATTGTAAAGTTTTATATATATATATATATATATATATATATATATAAAACATTAGATAGATTATTTTAAAATGTAAAGTGAAAATTCATACCAAAGACTGAAAAAAGGAGAAAAAAGAAAAATATTTATTAAGTGCCTGCTATGAGTGAGGCATCGTGCTAGAGGCTGTGAGACATTTTAAAAAGAAGACCTCCTCCTTGCCCTCTAGCCTACGGGCTTGGGTTTTGGAATATCAAACCAGGGGCTTGACAGTGTGAAGGGAAGGGGGCAGGCGTCACCCTGGTATTCAGGCACATGACCAACTGATGTATTGCAACATTTCTCTACCAATACTTGTATGAAAAGTTATATGCTCACAGAGACTTTCTTAGGCTACACATCAAAAGGCTAATTGATAATTTTCAGCATTTCATTCCTATGAACCGCTTCTCTGATTCTCTAAGGCATAATCTCACATTTACAGGAATGACAAAGAAATGAAAGTGAGAATTAACACGAGAAAACAATGTGATGTGGTAAAAGAGCCCTGGATTTCATCTGAGGCCTTGGGTGGGAACCTCCTATTTGACACTGCTCCAATTGTGAGACTCTGGACTCCACTTACAATCTCTTTTGGGAATATCTAACTAAATGGCAGCTAAGAGTCCATCTCATGCTAAATTTTATAAACCCTCCCAACCATGACTGATCTCTTACATATCCTGTTCAATCTGCTGAGTTCTCTGCTGATAGAGAAAATCTGCTAAGGCAGGCGGCACATCCAAATCCTCAGGGCGTTCTTGTCGCTCACGTCTCTCTTTGGTGAGTGCTGGAGACCAAAGCAGACAAAAGCTGATTTTATACATGTGAGATCAACACTTAAAACCCCAATATTCTGTATTTCTGAAGGGACTGAGACTTCGCGTGACGAAGCAGCCAGATGTGGGACGATTTCACGATTTTCCAGCCTCTCACTCAACATTCCTATTGACCCTAGACCGAAAGGAAAGCTGGCCGAGACGACTCACCCTGAGCCAGAGGTTTCTGAGCATTGGGCTTGATGAAGATTTTGGGGACAAATGGCGTGTTGGAATTATCCACCTTGTCTCGAAACCTTAGCTGAGGCCGAACGACATTCCTGGCATGAAGCAGTCGGAAAGTTTCAGACTGTTTTTTCTTGTTATACTCTCCTGCCTAAGGAGAGAGAGAATTCCTCAATTCGGTCTACACCAATGTCCCTTTCAAAAGGTCTGTTGCATTAAATGAACTAGAAGAGTAACATTCCCATGGATGTCACGATTTTCCCATCAATGAAGACGCATTTAAAGAATGACATGCCTAGGAGCCAGGCAGCTCTGATGGAGGCAGAAAAAAGGACATTAAGGAGGTGGTGTGGTGGTGTGCTGGACAGTAAGCTAAATTAGAAGTTAGTTTTGTCCACAAAACCAGGAGTGAAATTTCAATTACCAAAAGCTCATTTTACAGCTTAAATTAGGAATTACAGTTAACCACTGTCAGAGCAGTCTGGGTAAGGAGGAATTCTCACCTTACGATTCCAGCTGGACACAATCGTTTTAGGGACCTGCATTCCCGCAGGGAGGATAGGCTGCTGATTCTTGTTTACTCCTGATGCTTCATCCAAGAGAATACCCTAAAATCAAGAACCAGAAGTAGACAGATTATAAGGTAAGTCAAGAAGCATTTATGGAACACTCGTTGTGTGCCAGCCACTAAGCTAAAAAGTGCCGGGGATACAAAGAAAGGCAAAAACCAGTCTCTGGTCCCAAGAAGCTCATTGTCTAATGGGGAGACAACATACAAACAACCATGGACAAACAAGTTCTGCCCAGGATAAACTTGGGTTGTCTTGGAGGGAAGGCACTAAGAATATGGAGGACTGGGAAAGGCTTCCTGCAGAAGGTGGGACTTTATCTGAGACCTCAAGGAAGTCAGAGAAGCCAGGAGGTGGGGGTGAAGGGGGAGTTTTCCAGGCATGGAGGCAGCCCCTCCTCATCAAGAAGTCAGGAGATGCAGTGTCCTGTGTGAGGAATAGCAAGGCGGCCAGTGTCAATGGTTTGTAGAATATGTGGAGGGGAAGCAAGGCATAAGAAGACTAGACAGGCAGGAAGCAGCCAGGTTGTGAAGGGACTGAATATGAAACACATGACTTTCTATTTGATCCCAGAGGTAACAGAGAGTCGCTGGAGTTGACTGAATGGTAACATGGTCAGACCTGTGACTTAGAAAGATCGATTTGACAATGAAGTGGAGGATGAACCTAAAGCAAGGAGACACCTGCCCTGGGAGCTATTGCAATAATCCAGATACGAGGTGATGAGGGCCTGCACCAAAGTGGTGGCAGGTGTCAGAGGAAAGATGTTATGAAGGTAAAATCAACAGGACTTAGCAACAGATTAGACATGGGAGTTTTGAAAGAAAGTGAGGCATGTACAAAAACATTTATAGCAGCTCTTTTTGTGGTGGCAAAGAACTGGAAATTGAGAGGATGCCCATCAATTGGGGAATGGCTGAACAAGTTGTGGTATATGAATGTAATCGAATACTACTGTGCTGTAAGAAATGATGTACAGGCTGACTTCAGAAAAACCTGGAAAGACTTGTATGGTCTGATGCTGAGTGAAGTGAGCAGAACCAGGACAACGTTGTACACAATAACAGCCATGTTGTGCGATGACTAATATTGATAAACTTAACCTTTCCCAGCAATACAAGGATCTAAGACATCTCCAGAGGCCCTGTGATGAAAAATGCTATACACATCCAAAAAAAGAACTATGGAAGTTGAATTGCTATTTTTTTTCTCTTCTGTTGAGTTTTGTTTCCTCTTTCTAATGGTTCCTCCTATTGGTTTTAATTTTTTACTTACAACATCACTAATGTGAAAATATGTTTAATAGGAATGTAAATGTACAGCCTATATCAGATTGTGAGCTGTCTTGGGGAGGGTGGTGGGGAGGAAGGGGGAGAAAAATTTTAAACTCAAAAGCATATGGAAGTGATTATTGATAAATCAAAATAAATTAATAAAAAAAAGAAAGTGAGGAATTGAGGATGATACCTATGTAGTTTTCAAATCTGGGTGTCTAGGAGGACGGTGGTGTTCTCAATAGCAACAGGGAATTTAGGAAGAGTAGAAGATTTTTAGGGAAAGATAGTGAGTTTAGCTTTAGACACTGAGTTTGAAACGTTCACATCTAGTTTGAGATGTCCAATAAGCAACTGGAGATGAGAGACTGGAGATCAGGAGAGAGGTTAGGACTAGACAAAAGACCTGAGAATCATCTTCACAGAGGTGATAATTGAATCCATGGGACCCAATGACATCACCAAGCGATAGAGGATAAAGGGAGAAGAGATGATAGCCGAGCACAGAGCCTTGGAGGAAATCTACAGTAAGCAGGAGTGACCTGGATTAGGATCCAGCAAATAAGGAGGGGTCCATCAGGTAGGAGGAGAAAAGTGAGAGAGTAGTATCACAAAAACCTGGAGAGAAGAATGTATCAAGGAGAAGAGAGTGATCTGCAGTTTCAAATGCTGCAGAAGGGTCAAGAAGGATGAGAAATGAGGAAAGGCCATTAGATCTGGCAATTAAGAGATCACTGACTGGTAACTTTGGAGAGAGTGGCTTCAGTTGAATAATGAGGCCAAAAGTCAGTCTGTAGGGAGTTAAGAAGAGAGTGAAGTAGAAGCAGCTATTGAAGATAGCTTTCCCAAGGTTAGCCACCAAAGGGAGAGGTCTCGAGCACACTTGTGTGTGTGTGTGTGTGTGTAGATATATAGATAGATAGGTAATAAGAGAAGTGATATTTCACTGGTAAGTCCTTTGCCTTAAATTCTACAAAGATTGATTTGCAGAATGCAAGACATTTTGTTACAATGTGAAAGATGACTAGGAAATCCTACCAAACAAAGCACTTTTCAGAAACATTCAGGCTCATAACTGAATAACTGTTGCCCTCCCGAGCTCTCTGCTGTGTCCTCATTGAAGATTTCTGAGTTAAGATGAAATGAGTCAAGAACAAATTCTTCAGAGCACCATAGGATGACACTATTTGGAGTCAGAAGGGATTATAGAGGCCCCTTTCTTAGAAATAGGGAAATTAGGGCCCAGAAAGACAGAAATATGCACTGCCAGTGAGAAATACCATAATGTTTTTCTAATGTACTAAGGGTTTTGCTTCATCTACAATAGAAGGCATGTGATGTGATGAAAAAGAGCTCCTGGCTTGGTGTTAGAAGAGACCTGGGTTGAAATACTGCCTCAGAAACTCACTAGCTGTATAACAGAGATGAGTCAATAAGCCTCATTTTCTGCCAACAGGATAATGAGGATAATAATACTTGTGGAGCCTTGGAGGACTGCTGTGATATAATGTCTATAAAGGACTTTGTAAGCTTTACCACAGACATAATCACTTCTTAGTGTATGCTCCCCCAGCAGCATCTCTGGGTATAGGACACTTAACTGTCACAAGACAGTTTCATTTCCTAGCTGATGCAGATCATCAGGCCATGTTACTCACCACTCTTTCAAGAATAACATCATTGGAATCAACCAGCAAATCAAACTTGTCCTCCAACTCAGTCACTTTACTCCGGTCCTTAATGTGGCTACGACAGCCTTGGTACTGCATGACCTTACTCATACTAAGGGAACAAGAAAAAGGTTTATTCATATTAATAAATTCTTTCTCTTTTAAACTGGAGAAGAACACTGGAAAGGAAGGCACCCAAGAGAATTTAACTGTGCTGAGACTTTAACTGTCTGTCATTCTAATAGTAACCCACCAAAACTTGCTAATGGGTCTCAAGCCAAGCCCTGCAATTGCCTGTCGAATGGTCACCCTTCCAGTTGTCCTTCATGCAGCTGCCAAAATAACCTTCCTAACACATCAGTCTGACCAACACATATTGTCATGCCCAAAAGGTTTCAGTGCCTCTTTCCGGTCCATGGCATCGATACAAACTTCTCTGCCTGGCACCAAGGTCTTCCAACTGCCTCAAACCATCCACACTGGAATGGTGGGTTGTAGAGACATTCTTAGCCAGGGAGGGGTTGGATCAGGCAGCCTCTCAAGCCCTGCCCAAATCTGTAATACCCGTCTCCCCTATTTCACATTATTTCCCTTCGCACCATCAACACTGCAGGCTGCACTCTCCCCTTCTGGGCATTTGCCCTGCCTATTCCCTCATGCTTAGAATGCACTCCATTCTAATCTTATCAAGGCTCAGCTCAGATGAAACCTTCCCTGAATCTCTGCTTCCAAATTAATGTATTCTTTCTTTCCTCAAAAGTTCGTAGATCACTGCCGGCCACCTCTTCTTTGACTTCATTTTCATCTATTGTGTACTTTACTTATCTTTGTATTTACTGTACACCTCCCACAAGGCCGCAAATTCCTTTAGGACAGAGACCATGTTGTTTTCAATCTGTGTATTGAATAATCCCTTGCAAGAAGCAGGTGCTTAATAACCTTGTTAATTGCAGTTCTCCCCTTATAAAATTCAGAAGATGGATGAGATTTCTACAGTGCCTGCTAATTCTATGTGTTTCACAGTTCTAAAGAGACAACAGATCTATCTATCTCAGCCTCTTACTCTAGTAAACAGGAAATAGTGTTTCTGACCCTGAGATATAACTATTAAAAAAAAAAAAACTATTAAGATCCAGAGCATTATTCATCTATAGATTTCAAAAGTGTTTAAATTCTCCAGATATATTTATAGTAGTTAGTAAACACTAATATTTGAAATTCTATAACTTATATCAGAAGCCAAATAATGTAAGTGTCTGTTTCCCAGTCCCCTAATTAATCCAAAATGACAAGATCAATTTGGGCTGAACAGTCTTCTAAAGGGTGACTCAAAGTTCATAAGGCAACTGAAACTTCCTCATTTTCATGGTCCCTTTCATAATACAGATACAGCTCTGGAGTATAAAGCAACAAAACCACAACACACATCAGAACTTTCCTGGAAAAAAAATATTTACCATTTTTTTTTAATATTTCCATCACTGATAAGAAAAAATGACAACGAGCATTTACCACTGAAGTAACCTGTCTCCTTGTGTTTCACAGAATGCCCGGAAGCCAGGAAAACTTCGATAAAAATCATACTCATCTCCAGCCTGTGGCAGCCCATTGGAAGCTTTTGTAGCAGCCAGCACAGAACCAAGAGCAAACTGTCAAAAAACAAGTAATAATAATAGTTGGCATTTATACAGGTTTGCAAAGCACTTTATATATCTCATTTGATATTCACAACAACTCGGGGAGGTAGGTAGATACGAGGAGGTACAGATAAGGAAAATGAAGAAGACAGGGATGAAGTGACCTGCCTAGGGTTACACAGCTAGGAAGGCTGGATTTGAACTCAGGTCTTCTTGATTCGAGGCCCAGTTGCTATTCACCATGGTGCCACTGACCTAGCTCCAGTGTGGTACAGTGGAAAAAACATGGGACTTAGAAGGGTAAAATCTGGCTCAGAATCTATGTGACTGCAGACAAACCACCTCATCTCTTGGAGCCTAGTAACATGTGGATAATGATAGCTGCATTGCCTGTCTCATATGGTGGCTGTGAAGAAAGCACTTAATATACCTTTCTGTGGTCCAAACTTGCAAACTGGACACTCTCTCCACCAATGCAGTTTGCCAACTGTCTATAACTTATATATAGTTTTAAATATTTGCCTGAGGCACTGAAAGGCTAAGCAACTTGCCCAGAGTCACAGAGCCAACCTGTTAGGGCTAAGACTTGAACCAAGTCCTGAGTCATGCAATTATTATTGTTGTTAATTATGTGGGAAGGGATCAGGCAGACTTCATGAGAAGGGCAGCATCTAAACCAGGTCCTGAAAGAAGAGAATCCGACAGTTATCGAACACCTAGTAGGTATAAGTTATTGTGCTAGGTGTTAAGGAATATGCAGAGGCACTGCTTTCAAGAAATTTATAATCTAATGGGAAGAAAGATCCCCTTGTGCATATTATTCTACAAGGAAGGAAACATATGAAGACAAAGTGTGATATTGTGGAAAGTACTCTGGATCTACAGTTAAACAGTCTGGGTTTCAATCTCCAAGCTGCTTGTTGCTTTATGGGTGACTCGGGGCATATTTCCTCTTCCTACACCTCAATTTCCTCTTCTGTAAAATGAGGGAAGAGGAATTGCATTAGATCTTAAAAATCTCTTTCAACAACAGATACTCTAACAATAGTAATCATTTATAAAACGCTTCACAATTAAAAAAATAAAATATGAGCTCATTTGAAAAAGGCATTTCAGGTATTATCCCATTTTACTGTCAGGAAAGTTAGATTTGGAAAAGTTACATGACATGTCCAGGCTCACAAAGCCAGTGTCTGAAGACAGGATGTGAGCCCAAATCTTCCTGACTCCAAATCCAAGGCTCTATTCTCCATTTCACATTGACTCTCATTCTATGTTGATGAGGTAGGTAATCAAACAATCAGCATTTATTAAAAGTCTATTATGTCAAATGGAGAATGGTTGAAAATTATGGTATCTGAATATAATGCAATAAAACAGTGCCTAAGAAAGGAGGAAAGGGACAAGTCTCAGAGAAACTTGGAGAGACCAACATGACGTGAGACAGAGTGAAATGAGAAGAACTAGAACAACTTATAAAATAATACTACTGTAAAGACAAACAACTTTCCCAGTGACCAACCACAATTCCAGAGGCTTCATGATAAAACATGCTATCCACCTTCTGACAGAGAGGTGATGGACTCAGGGTGCATAATGAAACACGCATTTTTTGGATATAGCTAATGAAGGAATTTTTTATTACGTGTATTTGTTACAAGCAGGAAGTGTGTGCTAGAGCCAACTGTACAGGCTCAAAAGAGATGATTGTTCAACTCTCGGTGTGAGCGCTTATATCTCGGAAATCAGTAAATACCAAAAATTAGGGCTTGGTTTATTGTTTTGTCGATTATCTAGATTCAAGTGAGGGAGAAAATGTTAATAATGCAGATAAAATTTTAAAATTTGTCATGTATTTCCAAGCTGATCGTTAGACATTTCCCAGCACACTGCTGGTTACAAGAGATTTTTCCTTTTTTTTTTTTTTTCAGTGAGAGTCAGGACAGGTGGTAGTATCATTCTATATCTCTTTTGCCTTTTGTGGCTAAACTTCTAAAAAAGTCTGTCTTAACAGGTGCCTCCATTTTCTCCCCTCTCACTCACTTAAACCCTTATGATCTGGATTCCAACCTTATCATTCCACCTACAACTACTCCCTCCAAAGTTATTGATGATTTCTTAGTTGCCCAATCCAATGGCCTTCTCTCAATCTTCATTCTCCTTGACCTCTCTGCAGCCTCTGACGCTGCTGATCACTCTTCTCTCTGGACTTTCTGGACACTGCTCTCTCCTAGTTCTCTTCCTACTTATCTGATAGCTACTTCTGTCTCCTTTGCTAGATCCTCCCCCAAAACGTGCTCTCTATTAACAGGTATCCCTCAGGTTCTGTCTTGGACCCTTTTCTCTTCTCCCTCTATACTAATTCACTTGGTGATCTCATCAACTCCCATGGATTTAATTACCATCTTTATGCTGATGATTCCTGCCTCAGCCTCTCAGTTGACCTCCAATCTTGAATCTGGAATCTCCAACTACCTTTCAGACATCTTGAACTGAATGTACAGGAGACATCTTAAATTCAACATGTCCAAAAGGAACTCATTACCTTTTCCCTTAACCTCTCCCCACTCCACTTTCCCCATGCCCCATTCAATCAATGCCAGTGACTCCCTAACACCTCTATGATGAAAATACAAAATCTTTTGTTTGGCATTCAAATCCTTGCATACCCTTCATAACCTTGAACTCTCCTACCCTTTGCAATCTTCTTACACCTTACTCTTCCGTACATACTCTTCAATTCAGTGACACTAGCCTCTGGGCTGTTCCTTGAGCATGACACACCATCTCCCAACTCCAAGCATCTTCCCTGTTCCCCATGCCTGGAACTCTCTCCCTCTTCATCTATAGATTTCAAAAGTGTCTTAATTCTACAGATATATTTATAGTAGTTAGTAAACACTAACGTTTGGAATTCTATAACTTATATGACAGGCCAAATTATGTGTCCTGGTTTCCTTCAAGTTCCATTGAAAAATCCCAACTCCTTCAAGGAGCCTTTCTTTCTTCATCATCCCCCTTAATTCTAGTGTCTTCCTTCTCTTGATTCCCTTCAACTTATCCTTCAATATCTTGTTTGCAGGTAGTTGTTTTCATGTTGTCTCCAAGAGTTTGTGAGCTACTTGAGAGCAAAAACTATCTTCTGCCTTTCTTTGTATTCCTAACACTTAGCACAGTGCCTGTGACATAGCAGGCAGTTCAGTTTATTAGATGAGGAAACTATAAAAAAGCTTACTGTGTGCTAGGTAGGTGCTAAGTATTAGGAATACAAAGAGAAATTTAACAGTCCTTCCCTTCAATTGATCAAGAAGTATTTATTTAGTACTTATTAGATAGCAAGCATTCTGCAAAGGCCAGATGGGGCACAGGTTCCCCACCCCTGGACTAGGGGTTCAAAGAGAAGCAAAACAGCTCCCTGCCCTTGAGAAGCTTACAGGCCAGTGAGGAAGGAAACAAGACGGGCATATACAAGTATATTTTAAAAAATATGCAAAATGAATACAATGTTGTTTTGGGAAGGAATGCACTAGGAGCTGGGGAGATGAGGAAAAGCTTCATGCAGGAGGCAAACCAGGGATTCTAAGAGTTGGAGGGGAAGGAGAAAAGCATTCGGGGCATGGAGGACAGGCAAGGCAGAGGCAGGGAGGCAGGAAGGCAGGAGATGGAGTACCCAAGCTTGAAGCAGCAGGTAGAACAGAATCACAGATCACAAAGAGCATGGAGGAAGTAAAACGTTAAGAAGACAGGAAGGGTAGGTCTGTACCAGGCTATGAATGAAGGGCTACAGCAGACAGACTGTTGCTTTTGGAATCAGAGATCCTGGGTTTGGTGATTATTACTAGTGTGACCTTAGGCAAGTGACTTAATCCTCCCTAGCCTCAGTTTCCCCATCTATAAAATATGAGGGCTAGACCAGATGACCTCTAAGGTCTCTTTCAGGCCTAGATCTGGGCTCCTATAAAGACACTGGAGTTTCTCACTTTAGACAGAAGGAATTAATAGAAGTGACAGATGAAGGGAGGGAGAGGGATGGACAGAGTAGGTACAGACATGGAAATGGACAGAGGAGGGGAGATGGATAGAGAGGACGCACAGACAGTGGGTGATGGCCTGAGGGGGGACAGGGGAATGGATAGAGGAGATGCGGGGCATGGACAAAAGGACATGGGCAGAGGGGGAGGAGGAGGAAAAGAGGGGGATGGGCAGAGGATGGATAGAAGGAAAGAAAGATGGATGGATGGGGGTGGACAGAGGAGAAGGATGGACAGAGGAACATGGGCAGAGGGGGGGAGGAGGGAAAGAGGGGGATGGAGAGAGGAGGAAGAGGACGGATAGGAGGGAAGAAGGATGGATGGATGGGGGCTGGACAGAAGGGGAGGATGGACAGAGGAACATGGGCAGAGGGGGACAGAGGGGGACGGGGGAATCCCAGCAACTGTCTCCATAAAGAGGGGGCGGATTCGCGGACCGGGGCGTGTCTCTCTCTTCAGGCGGCGCCGAGGGCAGGCAGGCCCGGCGCACCCCAGGGGGGCGGGGGGGGGGGCTCGGCCCTCCAGGGAGGGGAGGCCCAGGGCAGAGGGCAGGGGCCCTCGGGCTCTCAGGGTCGCGGATCGCTCACCTTCACGAAGCTGTCCGCGTCCTTGAACCCCGGCAGCACCATCATTCCGCCCGGCTCGGCAGCCGCCGCCGCCGCCGCCTGAGGCCCGGGTCTCACGGCTCGAAGGCTGGGAGCCGCCATCTTCCTGCCCCCCCAACCCCAGAGATATCGCGAGAGGACAGCGGCGGGGTAGGGAGTGCTCCTGTGGACGCATGCGCAGAGAAGCTCCTGCAGCTCCCCCGGTTGCCTGTTAGCGACGTGGCTTTGTGAGACGCAGAGAAGCTTAGGGTCAGGCTTCAGTAATGCGGTCCAACCCCTGCGTTTTACAGAGGAGGAAACTGAGGCCGGAAATGTAACATCGAGTACTAAATGGAAAGATAGTCATCTAGTCCAACCTCCCCCCCCCCGTTTTACAGAGGAAGAAACTGAGGCCCGGAGACGTAGAGGATCGAGGATTTACAGGCAGCCACGTGGCTCCGCCGAGCCGAGTTCAGATCGGGCCTCAAACGCCTCACCTCTTTCTGACTCAGTTTCCTTAGCTGTAAAATTGAGGGTAATAATAGCACCTACCTCCCACAGTGATTGTGAGGATGAAATGAGAGGATATTTGTAAAGAGCTTTGCAAACTTTAAAGCACCATGTAAATGCTAGTTATTATTATTATTATTATTTTTATTATTTAGAAATAGTCATCTGGACCAACGTGCCTTATTTTTTACAGATGGGGAAGCTGGGACCCAAAGGAGGGAAATGACTTACCCAAGGTTACACAGTTAGTTCCTGGGATAATAGAATCAAACAAACAAAAAACATGTTAAACACCTACTATGTGCCAGGCACCTTGAATACAAAAAGGGACAAAAGACAGTCCCTGAACCCAGTAGCTCACAGTTTACTAGGTAAGACAACATGCAAACAAGTGTGTACAAACAAGCTGTAAAAAGAATAAATAGGAAATAACTGAGGGAAGGCACTGGAAGTCAGAGGTGTTGGGAAGGTTTCTTGTAGAAGACTCAGTTTTATTTGAGACTTGAAACCAGGGAGGTCAGAAGTCAGATCGGACTAGGGAGAGTGTTCCAGGCATGGGGGACAGCCAGAGAAAATTCCTGAAAACATCAGGATGCCAGTGTTACTGGGTCAAAGAGTATATACATTGGGGAATAAGGTGTAAGAAGGGCAGCTAGGTGGCACAGTGGATAGAGCACCAGACCTGAAGTCAAAAAGACCTGAGTTCAAATTGGGCTTCAGACAATAGATGTGTGACCCTGGGCTAGTCACTTCACCCTGTTTGCCTCAGTTTCCTCATCTGTGAAATGAGCTGGAGAAGGAAATGGCAAACCACTCCAGTATCTCTGCCAAGAAAACCCCAAATGGGGGCATGGAGAGTCAGACATGACTGGATAACAACAAAAAGGTGTAAGAAGCCTGTAAAGGTAAGAGGAGGTTAGGATTTAAAGGGCTTTGAATGCCAAACAGAGGAGTTTATATTGAATCCAGGAGGATAGTAGGGGAGCCTTCTATTGAGGAGGAGGGTGACAGGGTCAGGTGGAAATCACTTGGGCAGCTGAGGATGGATCAGAGTCCGGAGAGACTGGAGGTTGGGAGACCAATCAGAAGGCATTTGCAATAGTCCAGGCATGAGGTGATGAGGGCCTGCACCAAGGGGGCTGCTGAGTGAGTGGAAAGAAGGCAATAAGAGATGTCATGAACATAGAAATCGGAATGGCCAGCAGATTGGATATGGGAAGTGAGAGCCCGAGAACAGTTAAGGAGGACACGGAGATTGTGACATGGGGTGACCCGAAGGTTGCTGGTGTACTTGAGAGTAACAGGGAAGTTTTGAAAGTGAGGAGAGTTTGGGGGAAAGATAATGAGGACTGTTTTGGACATGTTGAATTTGAGATGCCTATGGGACAGTCAGTTCAAGAAGTCCAAAAATCGGTTGCCAGTGATCCCCTACTCAGTATACTCCATCGATTCCCTCTTACCTTCAGGATCAAATATTAAATCCTTTGTTTGGTATTCAACACCCTTAATATGCTCCCCCCTTACTTTAAAAAAAAAGTCAGTGACTAACTTTGATAGACTTAGCCCTTCTCAGCAATGCAAGGATCTAAGACAACTTCAAAAGACTCATGATGGAAAATGCTGTCCACATCCAGAGAAAGAACGATGGAGTTTAAATGCAGATCGAAGCATATTATTTGCTTTCTCTTTTTTTTGTTTCTTCTTTCTCATGGTTTCTCCCATTGGTTCTAATTCTTCTTTAGAACATGACTAATGTGAAAATAGGTTTAATATGAATGTATATGTTGAGCCTATATAAATGTGCATGCCATCTTGGGGTGGGAGGAGGGGACAGATGGGGGGAAAACTTGGAATTCAAAATCTTATGGAAGTAAATGTTGAAAACTAAAAGTAAATAAATATTTTTTTAAAAAAATTCAAATTTATCAGTTTCAAATTCTCTCTCTTGTTACAGATATGTATATTTGTATAATATGTATATGTATATTCATGCAAAACAAATATTCAAATTAGCCATGTCAAAAAAAAAGAGCAAGAAATAGAAAGAAAGAGAAAAAATGTGTTCAGTCTGTATTCTGAGTGCATCAGCTCTCTTTCTAGAGGAGGGTATCATGCTTGATCATAAGTCCTTTGGAATTGTGGTGGGTCATTGTTTTGATCAGTTACTAAGTCTTTCACAGTTGATTATATTGATGTTAGTGTATAACTTGTTCTCCTGGTTCTGCTCACTTCATTTTGCATCAGTTCAAGTCTTCCCAGATTTCTCTGAAACCATCATCTTCATTATTTCTTTTATTTATTTATTTTTGGGTGAGGTAATGGGGTTAAGTGACTTGCCAGGGTCACACAGCTAGTAAGTGTCAAGTGTCTGCCGTCAGATTTGAACTCAGGTCCTCCTGCCTCCAAGGAGCTCTGAGCTCTATCCACTGTGCCACCTAGCAGCCCCTCCTTCATTATTTTTTATAGCTCAGTAGTACTCCATCACAATCATATACTACAACTTGTTCAAGCCATTCCCCAATTGTTGGGCATCCCCTCAGTTTCCAGTTCTTTGTCACCACAAAAAAAAAAAAAAAAAAAAGAGATGCCATAAATATTTTTGTACATATGGGTCTTTTCCCTCTATCTTTGATCTCTTTGGGGGTATAGACCTACTAAGGGTCAAACTTTCTAATCTTACACTTTAAACCACACTGGTTACTCAGTGATGCAGTGATGATTGCCTCCTTGCTGTTCTTTGGACAAGATACTCCGTCTCCTCACTCCAGGCATTTCTCTGGCTGTTCCCCATGCCTTGAAAACCCTCCTTTCTCATTGCCACCTCCTGGCTTCCCTGGCTTCCTTTCAAGTCCCAGCTAAAATTCAGCCTTCTACAGGAAGCCTTTTCCAATTCCTCTTGAATCTGTGCCTTCCCTCTGTTGATGATTTCCAACTTATTTTGCATATAGCTTGCTTGTTTGCAAGCTGTCACCCCTCTTAAAGAGAATCTTTTACCTTTTCTTTGTATCACTCATGCTTAGCACAGTGCCTGGCACGTGGTGGGTGCTAAATAAATGTTTATTGGCTGACTGACCAACTGGTGAGAGACTGTAGCTCTGAAGAGAGGTTTAGATGGTATAAATAGATCAGAGGTTCATGTGCTTAGAGAAGATAATTAAATCCGTGGGAGTGATGAGACCACTAAGTGATGTAAGATAGAGGGAGAGGAGAACAGGGCCCAGGATAAAGCCTTGGGGTCATCCATGGTTGGCGGGGTGGGGGGGGGTGGTGGTGGTGGTGACCTGGATTAAGAGCCAGCAAAGGTGGTCAGACAGTTTGGATGAGAATCAGAAGAGAATACTGTGAAGACGTCCAAGACAGTCGAGTGGATCCATTTTGGGTAGAGTGGATCCAGAATTTTGTAATGGATCCAGTTAGCACTGTTTTCTGATTGGAGGCAAGATGACGGATGTGATCATTTCTTTGTAATGGAAATGGAGTGGAGGGAACTGGGGAGTCTGGGCATTGGAGGGAGTATCAGTGTGTATGTTGAAGTCCTCTGCAAGTGGTGGTATTGTGTTCTACAGCATTGGTGTCAGATTCAAATAGAAACAGGGGCCGCTAAATAGTATAAAAGGATCCCTGTGGGCTGCATATTGATTTAGAAGACCATATATTAATATCATCTATGTTTTGTTGTATTTTTTTATTTAAAAAATAGTTCCCATTTAAATTTTAATCTGGTTTGGGTGTACTTGGGAGTGCAGCCTCAGAAGTGATGGGGGAGACCTAAGACCTGGTGTTGGGGGAGGCCTGGGTTTAAATCTAGCTTTGGTCACTTACTAGTTGTGGAGCCATAGGCTCTGTGTTTGACATCTCTGCCCCAAAGCAGGCAGGAACAGGTAGAGGTGTGGTCCTGGAGAGTCCAGTTAGGAGGCAGGAGGTAGGAGAGGTGGACCTCTGGAGCATTGCTGAAGGCCCCGGATCACAGAGGTGCGATATGGGTTCTTTGTGAATGGAGATAATTCATCCCTCATGCCACTAGATCATGAAATCAAGCTGGGTGTGGTGGTGCAGGCCTGTAGTTTCTGCTGCTGGGAAGGCTAGGGTTGACGGATGGATGGATTTGGGGAGTTCTAAGCTGTAGTTGAGTTGTAGTTGAGATGATGTCCCCACAGGATCCCTCTGAGGTGAGCGCCTGGGAGCAGAGGGCCACCAGGCTACCTAAGGATGGTTAGATGGGCCTGGGTCAGAAAAAATAGAGCAGGGTTAGCTTCCACAGCTATCAGTAGTGGGATGAATCCCATAAGAGGCTAGTCTAGGTGAGAGAGGGGCACCCAGTCTTCAAAATCCAAAAACAAAGAGAGGAACAAGATGTGTGCTGTCTTATGCAATTACTCCTTTTCATTCTTTGTGGGCTGTGCCCTATAGGTTTCATGATGCCCTGGGAGTAAAAAGAATATGGGTCACACTTCTCTCTACTCCTTTGTAAAGTTGGGCAGGTTTACCAGTGTAGAACACTGCATAGGCTGTCAGATTTTTTTCAAAGTATTGATCAGTTTTGCTGATTTTTTTTTTCTCTTAAAATTTTTTTGTTTGGCTTCATTTTTCAAATATGTAGAGAACTAAGTCAAATTAATAAGAATAGGAATAAGAATCCCCAATTGACTAAATGGTCAAAGGATATGAACAAAGAAATCAAAGCTATCCATAGTCATGTGAAAAAATACTTAAATCACTATTGAGAGAAATGCAAATTAAAACAGCTCTGAGATACCACCTCACAGGAATCAAATTGATTTACAATACCAGTGCTGCTTCAGAAAGGAAACTGAATCGCTTCCATTTGAATTATTTTAGGAGGATTCTGAAGGTCACCTGGCAGGACAAGGTCCTCTCTGGAGCCCAGCTGCCAAGTGTTCACACTCTACTGCAGAGAGCACAATTCTGGTGGCCATATTGTTCCAATGCCAAACATTCGTTTGCCTAAAAGACGTTTTAATGCAGAACTCACATAAGGCAGGTGCTCGCATGGCAGTCAGAAGAAGTGATATAAGGACACTCTCAAGATCTCTCTGAAAAACTTTGGAATCAATTGTGAGACATGGGAAACATTGGCACAGGACCACATTAAGAAAGGCACTGCACTATAAGCAAAGAAAAATTGTAGTAGCTCAAAAGAAATGTGAGATGTGCAAATTTAGAGACATCTCCACTCCAAATGGTCATGTGGACTACTTATGCCTGACCTGTGTTGGAGCCTTCCAAGTTCATATTGATTTGATCAGCCATAGTCGGACACACTGTACCGTGACTCCAACGTAGTAATGTCATCAAGAATGAAGGACAACGAATCAACTATCAGTTTGGCTAATATGACAGAAAAAGAAAATGACAAATGTTGGAAGGGATGTGGAAAAATCGGGACATGCATTGTTGGTGGAGTTGTGAACTGATCCAGCCATTCTGGAGAGCAATTTGGGACTATGGCCAAAGGGCTATAAAACTCTATATACTCTTTGACCTAGCAATACCACTACTCAGTCTGTTTTCCAAAGAGATCATAGAAAAAGGAAAAGTACAAAAATATTTAGAGTAGCTTTTTTTGTGGTGACAAAGAATTGGAAATTGAGGGGATGCCCATCAATTGGGGAATGACTGAACAAGTTGTAGTATATGAATGTAATGGAATACTATTGTGCTAGAAGAAATGACGAGCAGGATGGTTTCAGAAAAAACTGGAAAGACTTACACAAACTGGTGCAAAGTGAAGTGAGTAGAACCAGGAGAACATTGTAAACAGTAACAGCAATATCGTACAACGACCAACTGTGAATGACTTAACTATTCTGAGCAATGCAATGATCCAAGACAATTCCAAAAGACTCACGATGAAAAGTGCTATCTGCCTCCAGAAAAAGAACTGATGGAGCTAAATGCAGATTGAAGTATACTTTTTTACTTTCTTTTAATTTTTTTTGGTCTGTTTTCTTTGCTAACATGGTTAATATGGAAATGTTTTGCATGACTTCACATGTATAATCTATATCAAATTATTTGCCCTTTCAGGGAGGGGGCAGGGAAAGGAGGGAGAGAATTTGGAATTCAAAATTTTTAAATTTAAAAAATTTTTTACATGTAATTGAGAAATATTTAATGAAATAAACTATATTGGGAATTATTTTTGTTGTTTTATGGGGGAGTTCCCTAGGAGGTAGAAGAGGGGAAAGAAATTTTAGCAGTGTAAAAACCAAAGCCACCAATAAAAAATTATTTTTAAGTAAACAGGTCATTTTAAGCAACTTGACCATATATCCTTTGGAATGGAGGGGACATAGTAGGTGCTTAATAAATATTTATTGCATTGGATTATTGAATTGGATCCATTCCCTTGCCTCCATGAAGCCACCAGGATTAGTCATCCTGTACTTATAGGTTTTCAAGTTTTCCTAGCTTTCTGTGGTCACTCATTTTCCAGCTCTGTCCAAAGGTTCTTCCTTAAATCTGACCTACGGAGCAGTTAGGTGGCTAAGTGGATAGAGTTCCAGCCTTGGAGTCAGGAGGACCTGAGTTCAAATGTGACCTCAGAAACTTGACACTTACTAGCCGTGTGACCCTGGGCAAGTCACTTAACCCTGATTGCCTCACCAAAAAGAAAAAAAAAAAATCTGACCTAAAACCTGTGTAGGTCCCTGGGAGAGCAAAACTTCTAAATCTCTCACATACTAAAGGAAGGGCTCCACAATGTTAAGTCACATATATATTTTGTAGAGTGATCCTTCCCCTGTCTTTCCCCCCAGCTTTTTCTCTTTTGCTTCCTTCATTTTAGTTGTGTTTTCCCTTCTTTTTCCAAATTCCCCTTACCTGGTTGATTAGCTTCAAGGCATTTTAACATAAAGCAGCTGCCTAAAGTCATTTTATATTGCACTCTGAGGGGGACATTTGAAAAATTAGGACATATACTGGGGGCACAGCTAGGTGGTACAGTGGATAGAGCACTGGCCCTGAAGTCAGGAGGACCTGAGTTCAAATCCTGACCTCAGACCAAACACTTGACACTTACTAGCTATGTGACCCTGGGCAAGTCACTTAACCCCAATTGCCTAAAAAAAAAAAGACATGTACTGGAGGTGCAATGGGGATGATGAGTTTGGAGGCAAGGTCAGGGAATGGCCACTCTGTTTGAGGACCCCTGGGGCCTGGTAGAAATACTGGATGGTCCTGGAGATCTCAGACCCCCACCAGAAATCAGCAAGAGTTAAAATAAGGGTCTGCAATGTTCGGTGAGGGGCCTAGGGTGGCACTCCCCCCCCCAACAGCCCCTAGGAAATGACTGTTCTGGATCAATCATCCTGCCCCAGGCACCAGAAGGGGACAGCTTGTTCCAGGTTGTCTGGCCAGTGAAAAGGCCCTCTTTAAAAGTGGACCAGGAAAATCCCTAAAGAAAGGCATTCAGGGGAACCCCAGCCACCAGGGGTGGGAAGTCTGGATAGCAGACCTTCCTAGGAGAGGCGGAGTCCCTTAGGGGTCTTAAATGATGAACCACTTTCCCTTTTAACTCCATTCAGTAAATACATGCTAATCTATAATGAGAATATATAATTCTTTTCCATCACCCCAAGTTCGGGGAAGGAGATCAGATTCTCAAATGGGATGGGAGGGTTGGGCTGAGCCATTTCTGATCAATTGCAAATTATTGCTTGGAATGTATTCATGCCCTGAGGTTACAATAGATGGAACTCGGGGCAGAGGCATTAAAAGGAAAACTGAGAGCTGAGGATCCCAGGCAAATCCCAATCAAATGTATGTTAAGAAGGGACTGAAAGGGATAGGGTTTGGAGCACCATCTGGTGGCATACACAGAGATGGCACCTTGAGTAGCTAGCTTGCCTCCATCACCTGGGAGCCCCATAAAGTCCCCTGTGCTGTGCCCCTCTTCCCTTTCCTCAACTCTAGCTATTGGTGTCAAACTCAGATAGAAAGGGGGGGGGGGCTGTGGAACTGTATTTAAAGACCTTGTGGGCTTCATATTGACTTAGACAACCATGTATTATCTGTGTTTTCTTGTATTTTTATTTATTTTGTTGAATTTCCATTTTCACCTAGTTCTGGCTGTCCTCAGGAACCGGTGGGTGGAGGTCCCTACTCTACATTATCCTTTATTCTCCCTCTTGCCCCTTTATAAGAGAGAGTCGGCTGTTCTCCACCATTGTCAGTCCTTATACTTTTGCCCTTAATCCTGTCTTGTGTGTGTATGTGTGTGTGTGTGTGTGTGTGTGTGTGACTGTACATGTGCGTGCTCTTAGACCACTCTTCCATCTTCCATCTTGACCTGCTCCTTTGCTGATTGCAAACAAACATGTTTGGGGCCTCCCCATTGTTGGGAAATTTTCATCTGACCCTGCTATCTTCCCGGGCTATTATCTCTTTCAATTCTTTCTTTCACAACTAACTCCTAGAAAATGGTATCCACAGGAAGGCCCGACCTGTCACCCCTCTGCTGGTGGCTCTGTTCGGTTGTCCAGATCCTCCCCAGCCATGCTGCATGAGAACACCTGGAGCTCGGGTGACTGTTGGCCTTGGAAGCTTGAGGGATTCCTTACCCAAGGAAGCCTATGGGTTGAGGCCTGGTGGTGGAAGGGAGAGGGCCTTGGAGCCTAGAATGCTGACCCCCCCACTCCTCGCCCCCCAGGGCAGCCCTGGAAGTCATTAATCTTCCCATTATAGCAGCAAACAGTGCTAGGAAGTTTCACTGCACTTACCAGTGAGTTCTGATCCTCTGATTGTGCCATTTGGCATTAAATAGCTTGGAAACCGCATCAGACACTTGGTTACAATGGCAGCCAGCTTAGGCCCAGATCAAGGGGCTAGGTTGAGGGACCTGCCCGAGACCTTCAGAGCACTAGAGCTTGGGCTGGGGGTGCCCACAGAAGGCACTTTGGCTATGGCGCTGGCCCCAGCTCCAGTGTGGCCAGGTTTGTCCTGCCCATAAACTCAGTTTCCTGGACAGCTCTGGTTGGCCAAACTCCTGGCCTGGCTCCGGTTGCCATCGGGTGGCTTTAGGCTTGTCCTGCCTTAGCCAGGGTTTGTCTCTGAGGCCTGGTCTCCACCTCAGGCTGCCCTTTTCTCAGTGCTCAACCCATCTGACTGCTCTGAAGCTTCTGATACCATTGGCCACTTCTATTTCAGCAGGAATCTGCCCTCTGGAGGGCACCGAGGCTCACAACCTTGGAATCACCAAGTCTTCCACCTCCCTCCCCCAACACCCCACCTGTCATCCAGTCTTGACTTCCTCCATCTCTTGCAACCATCCCCTTCCCTCCACACCCTCTCCCCTTGTATTTTGGCCGCCTCTCTCCATGTTCCCTCTGTTCCATTATGATCAGAAATAAGAAGCTACTCAAAGGTCTTTTATAGCATTTTGGTGTTTATTGGCACAGAAGTTTTTGTTCAGATACATCATGGCCTCTAGACATGGCTATACTTTATGCTTTGTGCCCTTCCTCTCATATTGACTCATAATTCCCTCCTTGCCTCAGACCTTTCCTCCCTCTGACACCCATCACCATGCCACAGCAATGCCACCTTCTTCTTCACAACGCCTCTGCTCTGACCGCGGACCGCGCAGGTCTCACTGGCAGCTCCCGATCCTGCTCTGTGACTGAGCCGGGGGGGGCAGGGGAGCTCTCCCCCTGGCCTTGAGGGCGGTGACTGACAGCGCAGCGTCCCTGGGCTGGGCCAGGGAGGAGGCACTGGCAGGCTCTTTCTTGGTCCATAGGCCCTCCCTGTAACTGACTGCGCCCAGTGGCCGAGTCTGCCAGGATTGGGCCCACAGGGCTGTTCTTTCACTGGAAAACGTTATGATGAGTTTCTTGGTGAGTTAAGTCAAGACCCGTATTTCTGAAGTTATGGACCGTGGGGCCCCAAAGACCAAGTGCTTTGTTTAGGTGCTGGCGTGTTCCTCTTCACGGTCCTGGGAACCATGTCAAGTCTGGTGTTTCTGACAAAGTCTGTTCTTCAACAGCAGCTCCACAGCCGGCTCAAGCCAACCTTTAATGTACAGCAGTCCTCTTCATTTACATTGCAAACTATCTGACAAGGCTCTCTGGCCAGTGTTGTTTTGTTTTGTGGAAGTGTACATTGGAGGACGAAAGCCTCCACGGGAGAATCTTGGGCATCCTGGGGCCTCCAGCTACCAGAAAGGACACCTGAGAAGACAAAGACCAGCCTTTAATAATGCAGGCTTTTTCAAAATTTAAAGGGAAGAAACTGAAATAAGAAAGATCAAGGTCTGGCAGTCCCTGGGGCACTCCCTGCATTCCCCCATAACTAATAGTGTGGGACATGCCCATCAGCACCAGTCAAGGACTCAGGCCTCCTCTGCATCCCAGAAGAACACTGAACTGTTAGCCCCTTCCTCAATTTCTCGCCTGGAAGCATGCCTGGGGCGATTACCCAGGCACGGTCCTTGAGGTCACAATTACAGATCATAGGCTGCACTTTTCCAGTCTCCCCTCCTGTCATTTCTCTGCTCTCCTCTTCCACCCCTTCTGTCTCCAGTGGATGGTAAAAGGACAACCAATTCCTTCAAACCATTTTTCCCTTTCCTATTTTAACTGTAGGGTTTGCTTTCTCAATTGGCGTTTGTTAGTATTCTGCTTTGTCTATGTGAGCTGAGAAAGTCTAAGTCTGTTGCAATTATGGGGCTTCAAAAAAAGTGAGGATTCAAGGCCCCTGGTGCCTAGATGAATGGGACGGTGTGCACTGACTTTCCCCCGCATTTTTATACCATCCCCAACACTCCCTGGTGCTCTCGTGGGGGGTCGGCACCATCCCCACCCGCCTCCATGCTGCCTCTCCTCCAAGCGGCTCGGGCAGGCTTACCAGCCGATGTAGCACTGGCAGAGGTTCTCATGGGACGTGGCCTGCTTAATCAGTAGCTCGACTTGGGTAGGAACATCCAAAGTTTCGTCATGAGAAAAATCTCGACCTGGGAGAGCAGGAACAAGAAAGCTTTGCTAACACTGGATTAGCAAAGCATCTTAAAGACCTTCCCGTCCCTTGTCTAGCCCTCTTATTTCCTCACCCATAGGAGATCTTTCCTGGGTGGGTGTGAAAGATGCCAGAGCTGGTTATTTTCCAGTTTCCTTGAGAGAACAGTTAGTACAGTCTCACAGCAAGGGGATAAAGCTGACTGTAGGGAGACATCCTTGGTCACCACAGAGTACTTAGTCTTGAACATCCTTAAGGCTCGTGTCATGAATGTGAATCAGTGTGGAGGATCTAGAGCCAGAGCTGATCAGAACTCACATATGATGTAGGAAGTGGCCTGAGGCACACAGAGGTTCAGTGACTTGACCACGGTCACACAACTATTAGGTGTTGGAGGTGGGATCAGATTTTGTTGCTGTTTAGTCATTTTCCAGTCATGTCTGACTCTTTGTGACCCCATTGGGGGTTTTCTTGGCAAAGATACTGGAGTTATTTGCCATTTCCTTCTCTAGCTCATTTTACAGATGAGGAAACTGAGGCAAACAGCATGGAGTGACTTGCCTAGGGTCACCCAGCCAGTAAGTATATGAGGCCAGATTTGAACTCAAGTCCTCCAGACTCCAGGCCCAGCACTCTATACTATGGCACCACCTTGCTGCCCTGGGATCGGAACCTAGGCATTTCTGACTCCAAGCCCAGCACTCTGTCCACTGAGCCATATTTATAGTATATCTTATGGTCATCTATTTTTAGATCTACCAATCTGTAGCCCAGAGATGGGCTAGCATAAGCAAGGAAGTCAAATCTTCTTCTGTTTGAGTCTCCTTGCCTTTTCTCTGTAATCTCAAACAGAATTTACATGGGTAATGAACATATAGGCTGATGGGCTAGCTGCCCTTCATGCTGGTAAAGCTCATGGAAGGAAAACATATTTAACTAAAGTAAAAGAATTTTATATGCCTTAATTAAAGCTATCTTCCTGTGACCTTGACTTGTACTACTGGTACAGGTGATCAACAAGAGAGGCCTGAAAGCCTCCATAAGTGCTGACCTCAGAGAATCAGCACCATCTAATTAATTAGCTAATTGGTAGTAAAAGCCTAGGCCCTAACAACAAGCCTGAAAATCATGCCAACCACCTACTTCAAGAAATGAAATGCATTCTACGAAGTTTATGTTCCTTCCAAGTAAACACGAACGCATACTCACCAGTGAGTTTATCTCGAACCCTGTTAATAATCTGAATAGCCTTCTTATTTAGAGCCTCTGGTTTCACCAAACCATCCCCGACTGAAAAACAAAAAGGAAAAAGAGCAGTGCTCAGAGGCCTGTCAGAAGAGAGTTTTTCATGTGGTTGCGCTGAGTCGGCTTTGTTGTTCACCTCTCTTGGCAGAAGATAGGGAGAAGCTTGAGACGTTCCTCCTCCTCCTCCCCGGGACTGGCCCCCTCTGCTGACCTCCCCAGGCAGCACACACACATGCACTCTTTCCCTTAGACCCCACAATCTAAGACACCATGGTTGGACTTACTAAAAGAATGGATGGATTCGGGCACTGTGGTCCCTGTTTTCTTATGGGCAGTCTCCCCAAGCTCCATGCTGTCCAATAATTCTATGGGAAGAGAAACAGAAAAAAAGAAAATCACGCTCTCTGGATATGGTTGTGTTATAAGGTCCTGACCAAACCCTCCTCAGCTCCAATCAGTTCAACACACATCTATTCAGTTACCTACAGTGCTGGGCTGGGCAGATAGGAAATTTGGATGAGACACGATCCCTACCTACCAGCTGTTACGTCCGCCTTAGGCATGAAAAACAGAACGTTTAGTCAAACAAAAAAGAGGCTAAGAAAGTAGCAGGAGATATACGAGGACAGAAAAACATGAATACCTTTTAGACTGTGGCTAAGAGATGTCACTGATATGACTTATTCAGAAATAGTCTTCATTCCATCAAGCAAAACGAATTTCTCAGAAAGTCTCAAGCTACACAGTGGGGACCGGAGGGATGTGGAGCCAGGAAGGCCCAGGTTCAAATCTGAATGCAGATGTTTGGCCATTTTAACATCGCTGAACCTTACCTTCTTGTCTGTAAAGTGGGGATAAGAACACCTACCTCCTGGGGGTTGCTGTGAGATGTAAAGTATTTTGCCAAACTTCAAGTGTGGCGAGAAATGAGGGCTATTGTCAGGAGCATCCCCTCTAACAGTGCTGCACAGGTCACCTACCACCTGCTTATTTCACTGACTGGGAACCCAGCTTAGAATTCAGAACACTGCATTTCTGTGAGGCAGGAGAGTTCTCAAATTGTGGAGGTCACATCCGAATGATTAAGGTCTCCAGCAGAAAAGAATGTGAATTGTGTGGAATTACCCAAGTAAGATATTATGTCTTAGAGAAGATTTTTTAAAAATTGGGAATAGGGACTAGGCCTGTGATTTCATTGGAAGAAGGAACTCCCAGGTTCCTCTTGTGAGGAACAACTAGGTGAAGCAGTATCTAGAATGCTGGGCCTGGAGTCAGGAAGACCCGAGTTCAAATCCTGCCTCAGACACTTACTAGGTGTGTGACCCTGAGCAAGTCAATAACCTCTTCATTTACATTGCAAACTATCTGACAAGGCTCTCTGGTCTTGCCTCAGCTTCCTCATCTGTAAAATGGAGATGATAATGGCACCTACCTGCCAAGGTTGCTGTGAGGATTAAAGGAGATAAAAGTTGTCAAGTGTTGAGCACAGTGCCTGGCACAGGGGAGGTACCTTGGAAATGCTTATCCCTTTCTCTGTCCCCTGGCTGCTGCCATCACCGGCACTCTGTGGGATGTCACAGTGCCAGGGCCAACCGAAGGAGGACTTCTCAGGAAGAAAATGCCCTCTGTCAATCTGCTTCAGAAAAGATACCAAGCCCCCTGGATGTGCAGGGTGCTGGGGAGCCCCCAAAGAGCTTCGAAATTAACAGGGAAAGAGGGCATGGCCACAAGGCAGAATAAGCCAGGTTCAGAGAGGTCCAGATGAGATGCTACAACAGACTGGAGGAGGTGCTTTGGTTTGGGAGAACACGGAAGGCATCAAGGAGAAGGGTGCACCTGAGCTCTGCCTTGAAGGGAGGGAGGAACTTCAATATGTGGAGATGGACACAGAAGGAGGCTGGTGTGAGGAAAAGCATGGAAAGGACAGGGCAGGAACAGGGAAAAGGAAGCGGTCTAGTTTGGGTGAAAAGAAGCTTACAGGAAAGGAAATACAAAGGTGGGCCTGAGATAAATTGTGGAGGGCCCTGAAGGTCAATCAATAAGTACATATCAGGTACCTACTGTATACTGGGCACTGTGTTCAACACTAGCAACATAAATACAAAAGCAAAAAGTCCCTGCCCTTGAGGAGCTTATATTCGGTTAGGAATGTGGGGAAAGGAGTTTATATTTTATTCATTAGGTGGGGGTGGGATGGGGGGGAGGGCCAAGGAAGACGTGTTAGTAGAGCAGAGCCTTGATCAGAGCAGGGCCCCAGGAAGGCACCATGCAGGTTTCTGTACTGTGAAGGATAACCTGGGGAGGGAACGGGATGGAGGGAGACTGGCGAGGTGATCAAAGCGAAGAGGGCATGGGTGAGACACAGAGGAGAAAGAGTCTGAGAGCCATAGCAGCTGTTCAGTGTTGGGAAGAGTCAAGCCTCTCCACGTACGCTCACCGGGAAGACGGTGACCCCATCGTGAGAGGAAGAGTACATTCTGGGGAGACGAGGTCAGCGTTAGACACATTTAGTCTGAAGGGCCAGGAATGTGTGGGCATGCTGGAGAGCCTGGCAGCAGATCCTAAGCACTGGCTGTTACTCAGGTTTATTATTATCAATCATCTTTTAGGGAACAGAGTGGGTCATGGCAGAAAATCTGAGGTTGGAATGCTCCATTATAAGCAACTTCAAGTTTTCAGTGCTGGGCACAAGAGCATTCAATAAATACTTGTTCATTCAGTCAACCAAAAGCCATTTATTAAGCACCTACTATGTTCCACAACTGCTGACTATGTGTGATGAGGGCCTCATCACCTCCAGAGGAATGTCATTTTAAATGATTCTTGGGGGAGGGGGGAGAGAGAAGAGAGCCCAGATGTAAAAGCAGGGACCTGCTTGAGATCTCCCAAATTCCCCTCCTAACAACTCAGCCTCAAAATGAATCTTGGAGTGGCAGAACCAACAAAAGGACGAATGGAAATGGGGTGAAACAATCTTCCAGCCCAAGACAACTTAGTCTGTCTCACTGGGGTGAGAGTGGAGCACAGTCCAGCGCAGGCACAGGCTGAATCCCAGCATGCCAGCAGCAGGCCTTGAGGGCAACGGATTGGCAGTCGGGGCTTCCAAAGCTCTCATCCCACGGATGGTAAGGGGATCAGACAAGCAGTAAGAAGGACATTTCTGGGGACCCCCTGCTGGCACCGGGTGCAGGACTCAGTTGAACTGCCCCTACACAGGTCCAGGTCACAGTTTCAGGGTGAGGAGGAGCATTAGCACATTAGAGCCTGTGGCTGCAGGGGAGCGGGAAGGACCCTGGTCACAGTTCCAGGGATGGAAAGAGTGCTTGTGGTTGCTCACAGACCACAGCACAAGCCAGGAGAGCAGTGACCACACCTCTCCTCAGATTATACCACATTGGAAGAACCTTACACACCCTCCAGAACTAGCTCTGAAAACAGCAACATGAAAAACCTGAAGTTTGGGACAGTGCCCCCTCCACCCTGAGAGCAGAGCCCAACTTTAACATAAAATCAAAAGTCAAGAAATAGGCTGGAAAAATGAACAACAAAAAAAAGACTAAAGATGTACAGAAATTACTGAAGAGAACTCCTTAAAAAGCAGAAATGGCCAAGGAAAAAGATGTACAAAAATTTATGAAAGAAAAGAACTCCTTAAAAATTAGAATTGGCCAAATGGAAAAGGAGGTATAAAAGCTCACTAACATAAAAATAATTCCCTAAAAATTAGAATTGGGCAAGTGGAAGCTAATGACTTTATGAGACATTAAGAAATGATTAAAAAAATCAAAACAATGAAAAAAGAGAAGAAAATGTGAAGTATCTCGTTGGAAAAACAACTGTCCTGAAAACAGACTGAAGAGAGATAATTTAAGAATTACTGGACTACCTGAAAGCCATGATAAAAGAGTCGAGACATCATATTTCAAGAAATTATCAAGGAAAACTCCCCTGATATCTTAGAGCCAGAGGGTAAAATAGAAATTGAAAGAATCCACCAATCATCTCCTGAAAGAGATCCCAAGATGAAAACGCACATGAATATTATAGCCAAATTCCAGAGTTCTCGGGTTAAGGAGAAGAAATTGTAAGCAGCCAGAAAGAAATAATTCAAAAATCATGGACCACACTCGGGATTATATAAGATTTAGTAGCTTTTATATGAATGGATCAGAGGGTTTGGAATATGATACTGTAGATGGCAAAGGAGCTAGGAATTCCAACTAAGGATCACCTACCCAGCAAAACTGAGTATAATCTTCAGGAGAAAACAATGGATATTCAATGAAATAGAGGACTTTTAAGCATTCCTGTTGAAAAGACCAGATCTGAATAGGAAATCTGACTTTCAAATACAAGACTCAAGAAAAGCATAAAAAGATAAATAGGAAAAGAGAAATCCTAAGGGATTCAATAATGTTAAACTGTTTAAATTGAGATTGTGACTCCTAAGAATTTCATCATTATTAAGGCAATTAGAAGGAGTATACACAGACAGAGGGCACAGGTGTAAGTTGACTATGATGCAATGTTATAAAAAAAAATAAAGTTAAGGGGTGAGAAAGAGGGATGCACTAGGAGAAAGGGGAAGGGAGAGATAAAATATCTCACATGGAAGAGGCACAAAAGAACTTTTACAGTGGAGGGGAAGATGGGGGCAGATGGGTTGGTGAACCTTACTCTCATCAGAATTAGCTCAAAGAAAGAATAACACACATACTCAGACAAGGTATAGAGATCTATCTTGTCCTACAGGGAAGTAGCAGGGAAAGGGGATATGAGAGGAGAGGTACTGATAGAAGGGAGAGTGGATTGGGGGAGGCAGTGGTTGGAAGCAAAACACTTCTGAGGAGGGACAGGGTGAAAGAAGAGAGAGAGAGAGAAAAGGATAAACAGGGGAAAAACAGGATGGAGGAAAACTCACAGTAATCATAATTGTGAAAAAATTTTTACAGCAAGTTTCTCTGATACAGGCCTCCTTTTTCAAATATGTAGAGAACTAAGTCAAATTTATAATACAAGTCATTCCCCAATTGATAAATGGTCAAAGGATATGAACAGGCAGTTTTCAGATGAAGAAATCAAAGGTATTTATAGTCACATGAAAAAATGCTCTAAGTCAGTATTAATTAGAGAAATACAAATTAAAACAACTCTGAGATACCACCTCACACCTATCAGATTGGCCAACGTGACAGAACAGACAGAAAAGAAAATGAAAGATGTTGGGAGGGAATATGAGCAAACTGGGATGCTACAAAACTGTTGGTGGAGTTGTGAACAGATCCAACCATTCTGGAGAATAATTTAGAACTATGCCCAAAGGGTTATCTAACTGTGCATACCCTTTGACCCAGCAATACCACTACTAGGTCTGTATCCCAAAGAGATGAAGAAAAAAAAAAAAGGAAAAGGACCTACATGTACAAAAACATTTATAGCAGCTCTTTTTGTTGTGGCAAAGAACTGAAAATTGAGGGGATATCCATCATTTGGGGAATGGCTAGGCAAACTGTGGTAAATGATTGTGATGGAATACCATTGTGCTATAAGAAATGATGAGCAGGATGGTTTCAGAAAAACCTGGAGAGATGTACATGAACTGATGCAAAGTAAAGTGAGCAGAACCAGGAGAACACTATACACAGTAACAGCAATACTGTATGATGATCAACTGTGAGTGATGTAGCTATTCTCAGCAATACAATGATCCAAGACAATTCTGAAGAACTTATGATAAAAAACGCTATCCACCTCCAGAAAAAAAAATAAACAAAAAACTGATGGAGTCTGAATGCAGATCTAAGCATACTTATTTATTTTCTTTTTGTCTGTGTTTTCTTTCAACATGACTAATGTGGAAATATGTTTTGTGTGACTACACATGTATAACCTTTATCAAATTGCTTGCTGTCTCAAGGAGTGGGATGGGAAGGGAGAGGAGAGAATTTGGAACTCAAAATTTTAAAAAACAAATGTTAAAAATTGTTTTTACATGCAATTGGAAAAAAAAAAACATTCAATAGAGGAAGGTAAAAAAAAAAATAAATGGTCCTTTCTTCCTGTGCCTGCCATAATTTCTACTTCACCAATCACTTGTTGCCCCTTCTTTTCCAGAATCAAGTCCAGCAGACACTTGCTTCTCATTTCCTCCACCTCTGTTTTAAAGTTCTAGGTTTTCAATGAGCAGAAATCCCTGTTCTCTCTCTTTCCCTCCCTCCCTCCTCTCTCTCAATCTTTCTCTTTCCTCACTACCACCACACTGAAGAAAAAAGAACTACGCACGGTTAGGCAAGGCCAAGTTCCTCACTGGCCATGCTCAAACACACAGATGTTTGATTCTGCACCTAAATGTACCACCTCTGTCAAAAGGTAGAGAGGATGTGTGCTTCAGCATCAGTCCCCCAGAATCATAGATGGTCATTGATTTGATCATAGTTTTTTGTTGTTTTTTTTTTGGTGAGGCAATTGGGGTTAAATGACTTGCCCAGAGTCACACAGCTAGTGAGTGTTACGTGTCTGAGGCCGGATTTGAATTCAGGTCCTCCTAACTCCAGGGCCGGTGCTCTATCTACTGTCCCTTGATCACAGTTCTTACAGTTTGCAGTGTGGCTTGTCTTTACAATGTTGTTATATATTTTTTGTTCTATTATTATATAACTATAAAATTATCATATTTTTAAAAAAAGGTGGTGACCTTCAGATTCTGTGTTGGCACATGACATGGAGGCGACAAGGACCTTTGCTAAGTGTGGGAAGAAAAGACTATCTGGCCCCTGCATATCCCAAGGTCAACTAGAACCCCACCCCACTCTTCCTATGGATACACCCACCTACAGACTGGCCGGCAGAGTAGGAGTCTGTCCGCGTTCGTGATCGCTTAGTGCCTTTCGTATTTGCTGGGGAAAGAAATAAAACTAACATTGAAGAGGGTTTTATGCTTTCATCTGAGATTAAGGAAAGTGGGTGGACATTCTCTTAGAATCCTGAAGCCCTGATCCTTTCTCAACCAGCAATACTCAGAAACAGACAGTTATCCCTCATTTGCATAGGAGGATATAATGAGGACATGCAGTATTAGTTCTCCACTTAATTCATCCACTGCCATGTTTGGACTCAGAGAAGGTGTGAGAGAGGAAATAGTAGGAACAGGATCTGATAGTAATGAATTTTACAGGGAAAATTTCCATCAACAGGCAGAAAAAAATAATTGAATATTGTTCCCCTAAGACACAACTCTATTTCCTACCCAAACTTAGTTTTCTGCCTTGTAGCCCAAACCAGAGGAAGATCAAGCATTATTAAGGGAGTGTCTATGGTGAGAAAGAAAGAAATCCAAAGTGATTTAGGGCAGCCCTTAAATGGTTAATGAGCAATTCTTTAGACTATGTAGTTAAGGACGTAAGGGGAGGTTTTACAAAAGTGGAACACTTTGTTGTACACCTAAAAGCATAATTTTAGCAACTACTCCATGCTCTTAGGGAAGGAGGGGGGATGGCCAAGAAGCTACATGAGGTTCTCAACTTACAAATGGCCTGCATCTCGAGGGCTGGGAATGCACCGTCCCCTGCCCCAGCCACCCTGGAAGAGGGGGATATACCTTCCTCTCTAGGGCTCTGGGAGGGAACTTCCCACTGCCCAGCTGAGGTGGGGGAGGGGCTCCAGTCTGGTGAGTGGGGCTTTCTGTTCTCCTGCATTCTCGAGCACTTACTGTCCATAAGCCTCCAGTTCAATAAGGGGTCGTAGACAAAGGCTTCCAGCACGGCCATCACGCTGTCCTTGTGCTCCCGAAGCACCTCCATCACTGTGTGGCAGGTGATCCTGTAGTTACCATCAAGGCCTGTCACCTGAAGCAGAGACCCAGACCTTGTTTAGCAGGGCCGCAGGTTCCAGGTGTACTCGCTTCCACCCCAACGGATTCTACTGCATTCCTCATGGAAGAGAAGTCAGCCATGTCTTTACTGACATGCAGCAGCGGAGGGGAGCTAGGAGTGAGGGCCAGAAAGACCGCTGACTGTCTGACGCTCCCAACTAGACAAAGGCACTGGCCTAAAATGTGCTGAAGAGTTAGGGGAACGTCACTGCCTCACACCTCGGCAGAGCGACGAGAGGGACTGGACCCGTGATTTGACTAATATAAGGAACTTGCAGGTGAGGGAGCTCTCTCTACTTTTCTTTTCTTGTTTTGGGGTTAAGTGACTTGCCCAGGGTCACACAGCTAGGAAGTATTGTGTCTGGTCTGAGGTCGGATTTGAACTCAGGTCCTCCTGACTCCAGGGCGGCGCTCTATCCATTGTGCCGCCTAGCTGCCCCCAGCTGTCTCTATGGAGCCCGGGGCCCAGAGAGAAGTGACTTGGATAGCGACCCCCCTGAGCCCTCCCTGGGTACAGGGTGGGAGGCTCTGCTACCTACACAAGCCAGTGAGCTCAGGGAATGCGTCTCGTGTCTCATCCCAGCTCCATTCTGAAGCTGCCCACTCCTGATCCCACTCACCTCCATGGCATTGGTCAACATTCTTGTCAGTCTAAATGGAATCTTCTCAGGGAACTTCTCTCGAGTCATCGCCACCTAGCGCGGGACAAACAGAGTCACAAAACCACTTTTGGTTCGCTTTCTCAAGCTGAAACCAGGCCAAGAGAAGTACCTCCCCCAGAATCATCCTGAATTAACCGACAGAAATTTCAATCAACCAGCAGTTATCATGTGCCTACTGTGTGCCAGGCCCTGCGCTAAGCGCCGGGGACAGGAAAAGCTCCACACGGATTACACAAAGAGCACGGAAAGCCATGTCACTGAACTTCAATCTACAGAAATTATATCAACAAAATCTGAGTGTGTCCTCTGTGCACGCCACTGTGCTACGTGCTGAGGGGGCTGCCAAGAGTGGGCTCTGTCCTCCAGGGGTTTGCAACGAAGGACGGTGGGAAGAAGGTGAGGAAGAGGACAAGGTGAAGGAGGGATGGGGCGCCTCAGACCCCACCCCGCCTGGTGGGCCTAGGGAGAGGCGTTCATTCTTGGGTTAGAGCCATTCTAAACTACACAAGAAGGAAGGACTGCAAAGGGGAAAATCTCCCTCTATGTGCTTCGGGGCCAGCAGAATTAAGGCCATCTCCTCACCTCAAAGCAATCCCCAAAGTCGATGTGCAGGATCTTCCCGCTGAGTCTGTCCAGCATCAGGTTGGATGGGTGTCTTCATTCCAAGGAGAGACCAGAGGCACAAATTATTAGAGCAGCCCAGATGGATCCATTGACTCGCAGGCCACAGCACAGGCCTTGAATGAGAGCGTATCTGGGCAAGCCAGAAGTGGCCCCGACCACGCGCTTCCCCTGGCTCCTGGCTGCCTGACAGGCAGAACAGTTCGGAGCAGCCGTGCTGTGCGAGAAAGGCCCTTCTCTCCGAGCTCTGCAGCACCGTCTGACCAGAGAACGGGGGTCTGCACCATAGTCAGGGCTATGTGTGTTTAAACACTTACTACTGATTTGAGGATAAGGTTATTTGTAGCCTAGAAGGAGGGGGCAAAGCGAATAATACCAAGAGAGGATATGTAAATGTACGTGCAGGGGACACAAGACCAGAAGAGAAATTTGGGGTGACAGGAGTAATGCCTTCAGCTGTTGAATATCTATTACAAACATTTTCAGATTCCTTTTCTCGCCAAGAGAGTTGGATAACTTTATAGTACAGAAGTATAGAAAAATTCTAGTTTGGTTGGTTCTAATTGTAGAAGGCCACATCTAAAAGTAAAAAGGACAGATTTTAAAGCGTGTTTTTGAATCAGTTATGTCAGCCTATTACACCGAGAGGCAGTAGGAAGGTGTAGCTAGTGTGCTCGGCTTAGGAGTCAGCAAGGCCTGAGTTTTAATCCTGCCACTTCCTGCAATGGCTCGTCGGAGTCCCCTGGACAAGTCACTCAGCCCCTATGACTACACAGAGAGAACTATCCAGGACTTGTCACTAAATCATACATGGGTTTCCCATCCTAATAAAGTCACTCTAGGGCAAGGGGTTTGCCACTAACCTAGACATTTTTCTTCTCTTGAGCTGACTTCACAGCCTATGACAGCCAAGTCTGACACTGGCCAAGACCCCATATACAGGATCACAGCATTTACAGAAACTGCAAGGCAGGTGCACACTACCTACTTCCACGGTGGCAGGACCTACATCATATCAAGAGGCACCATTCAAAAAAAGGCCTAAGGAAGGATGCTCCCTGCAAACATCTGGATGAGGCACCAGCAGCTGTGGGAGTTCCTGAGGAGGGGGCTGCCAAATCAGAGCCTTCTTTGCAGTTTTCTGGTTGGGTCCAGAGTCACAGCCTAGGCAGTTCAGAGGCTGGCAGCATGGGTACCCTCAGATGTGGAGAATGTAGTAAGCCAAGAGTAGGGGTCTTGAGAACACACCACACTGGGGTCAGCTGAGGGAACTGGGGAGATTAGCCTCAGAAGAAAGACCTGGGAGGCTTGAGAGTGGAGGTAAAGTGCAACATGACAATACTCTTCCAGTAAAGGAAGGGCGATGCCTTAGAAAAGAGATCAGCCTTGCTCTTCTCAAGCCCCGGGGGCAGTCCCAGTAGTAATGACCAGACAGAAGCTGGAAAGAAGCAGATTTAGACTGGGTTTAAGGGGAAAGTTCACAGAGCTGCCCAAGGGAGGAGGATGGCCACTGTGTGGGATGGTTCTCGAGGCTCAGGAGTTCTTGTTCATGTATGGGCCAGACTACATGACTCTGAGGTCCTTTCCAACCCCGTGACTCTGTAGGGGCCCAGAATGGCTACGTAACTCGTCTTGAGTTACACAGTGAGTAAAGGAGCAATGTGAGGGTCCCAAGCGAGGGTTTCTGATTCCAATGCAGTGCTCTTCCCCCATTCCATGTCACTTTTTGTAAACTATGGAATCTCTAGATTCAAACCAACCTTAAACAGCAAATAATAATGAAACTGAAATACCCAAGTATGTCCCTTCGTCAGAAGTCCTTAACAGGTTCATTAATAAGTCACTCTTCTCACACTTTGAGGATTAAAAGCAAAAAATACCATTCTCTACACAAAAATGCTCAGTTAAGGTAGCAGGTAGCAGAGGTTTTCTGACTCCAAATCCAACCCTGGCTTATTGGAAAGTACAGTAGGATACATGGCAAAAAAGGTCAAATGGAAATATTTATTCATTAACCAGCCACCAAATCTCACCAAAAAGCCAAAGAGTGATGGTTAAATGGTTAAAAATGCAAGGGAAAAAAGATGACAGGAAGGAAGGAGAATGAAAGTCACTCACCTGTCTCCCAGGCCCAAAATATACCCAACCATGGACATGACTGCTAAAGAACGGGTATAATTGGTTCTTCGGTCAAACCACACCTAGAATACAGCACACAGAGAGAGAAAGAGTGACCCAAACTGGCCTCAGGAAGGCTACACCCAATGCAGTGCCCAGAGACAAAGCAAGTTCAAACTGCTGAGCCATCACAAGGCTTTAAAGGCAATCCTGGGACTGCTGATTACGAGTGAGCCACAGTCAGTGACTCCACGTGGGGAGGGCAACGTGAGCACGCAGCAGCGGCAGTGGTGTGAGTACCTCGGAGCTGGGGCTCTTCAGCCACAGCAGTTTGGCCAGATCGTCCCCAGCGGTGTTATTGACAGCATGCTCAAACACTTCCACCTTCTGCATCAGAGTCAAGTGGTCGTAATCTGGAGCCATCTGAAACGAGACACATCCCACTCAGTGAAAAGTGTGCATTTCTGCCACTGCCCCAAGGAGACAGGGCCATGGCTTGGATGAGGACTCAGTGAAATGAGAAACTGTGAGGTCACCAAGCCTGGTGGACTACCAGTCTAAGGAATCACCAGAGAAATGGTGTCAAAAACGAGGACCTCGCCTGCAATTTGAGGCCTCCTGGAATGGATGTGAGATGCCAGTAGAGACTGTGGTGCTGACAGCCATGTCTGGGGGGAGCTGATCAGAAGCCCTGCCTGCCTCCCCGGGGTGGGGTGATCAGAGTCCATCTCCTCCGGCAGGGAGAGCTCCCCATCAGGCTGCCTTCCTATGGCACCTTGGTCCTCCAAGGGCCCTCTCACAGCCTAGCTTGGGTTGGAGTCTGAGATGTGCTAGACTGTAAGCCCCAGGAGGGCAGGGACCACATCTTTTTAAAATCTTGTATCTTCTAGACTAAGAGCAATGTGATAGAGTGGACAGAGAGCAGGAAGACCTGGCTTGATGTCCGCGCAGCTCTGGGTAAGTCACCTAACCTCAGTGCCCCCAGCAACTCTCTGCAACGTAAGTGCTGATGGTGCCAATCTGCTTTGGTGGAGAGAAGTTCTCACAAGGAACTCCCTACATTTATGAAATCGCAGATTGGGTCCAATAAAAAAAGAAATCCTCCAGTGTCTCACATATAACAGTTGCCCCATTTCTAGGTCCTTTTGGCTCTCCATGAAGGAAGCTGGTTTAGGTTTAAAATAGTCATTGGACACTTAGGCCATAATAATAATCTCGGAGTGAACCAGAGGCAGGAAAGGCCCTCCAGAGCCACCTAGTACCACGCAGAGTAACCCGTACCTGGAAAAGAAGGAATGCCCTCTACTCCCTCTCGGCCAGGGCCACCCAAGCTGTGCCTGCCCAACGTCCCGAGACTCTAGGAAGGGCACCCGCTATTCTCCTCCCCCCACCCCTGTCCCCACTGCCCTCAGGATTTCTAGAAGAAGAGAACCAAGGTCACCTCAAGCCTTGACTTGTGGGGTGAGTGTGTCAGACCAGGCACCTGCCACTTACCCGTAACATGATTCGATGCTCAATGTTGAGAAGGATCTTCTTTTTCTCCCGGTAGTCTCGGATGAGTGCATGCAGCGTGTCACAGTGGGGAACCCAGCCAATCAGGCCTGAGTTAGTGGACAAGGGAATGACGGCGTATCTCTGGATGCTGGAGGGGATGGAGCCAATGCATGTTTGTCAACAGGACACAATGTAAGCAGCCTAAGTACATCTTCCTTAAACAGGTTCATCCCCCGCACCCCGAGGGGCTCACATTGGTGCTAACATGACTGATCTCCGGCCCCTCCCACCAGGAGGTCATCAATGACTAGACTTGGCTGAGTAGGCATGGGCCACCTTCAAGGCCGTCAGGATGCTCTCTATATTCATAACTGGAAGCAGAGTGATACTGAACTGGGGCTCAAGAGGGAGTCTCTGGCTATAGTTTCTCAAGGTCTGGCTGCTCCTTCAGTCCCGAGGTGTCACATACATGGTCCACATGGTCCCGTTTCTAAACCACTGTTCTAAGCTAATGACAACACTGTTCCATTGTGGACACTCCAAAGGAGAGTGAGGATAACTTAGAAACAAAAATCCAGCACATGAAAATCTTTCAGAACATTACTAGACTCGATGTCTTGGCTTCCTGTGACCTTTCTGCCAGGTTCGTAGCTTTACAACTTCATTCTCAAAGGAGATGTGGCATCACAGATCCTCACATGGGAGCACCCTGGGTGGCGACTCACTTGCCCCCTGCATTTCCTCCTTTCCACTGGCCCCACATACCTGAGGTTTTTCCGAAGGGATGTTGGATCATTGGCCAGCAACGTGTTGACGAGGCCAAAGAGCTGCATGACTCTCTCGTCCTGCCTTAGGTCCTCATGGCCTTTCAGAAGGAACACGAACTCATGACCATTGCTGCCTGGAAGCAAAGGGGCAGATGAGAGTTCAGGTGAGGGCTTCTCAGGCTGTTCTGGGAGGGCAAAGGTTCTCCCAGATCAATGACCACTTCTACTTGCTCTCCCCCAACCCCACCAAATTTAGTTCCCTAGAAGCCCACTGGTTTTGATGACATTCCAGTGAAGGAATGTTGATTCAAAAAAATTTTATTAAATAAGAACTGATTCCAGAAATTTTAAAAAGAGATAAAGAGACTCGTATTATCAGAGGCCAGCCCATAGACCACTAGAAGTGATCATGTTTGGTAGGTGGTCATTCAGTTGCATAATGAGGGCATAGCCATCTCCATTGGCCTAGAACATCAGGTTGGGAAGTGAGATCGAGAATAAAACCAAGCCCCATGCCTTCAGACATGATCACCCCTGAGGTGTCTCAGACAGGTAAAAATCTACCCTGTTTTTCTTTTTCTTTTTTTTTTTGAGTGAACCTGTGATTTAATTGGTATAGTAAACTCCAGTGGGGCAGGTAGGCAGCACAGTCCATAGAGTGCTGGGCCTGGAGTCAGGAAGACTTCAAACCCTGATTGCCTCAGTTTCCTCATTTGTAAAATGAGCTGGAGAAGAAATAGTGAACCACCCCAGGATCTTGGTCAAAAAAACCCCAAACAGGATCACAAAGAGTCAGATACGACTGAAAAACGACCGAACAACAAAATTCCAGGGGCAACAAGCGGTTAAGTGTCTTGTGTCCAAGGTGGACACAGTCAGGGTGGTCAGTGGTCAGTCAGGGTGTGTCAGAAGCAAGACTCGAAAGCAGCTCTCCTGAACACGGAGGGAAGCTCTCTATCCTACCTTGGAGGCTGCACAGCCTCTAGCTACCTGCAGAGGGAAGGTCAGAGTCCTTGTTGAACCAAGTTCATCGTAAAAACCTTATAACCTTCACACCATAGTTTAAGTTAATCTTGTAACACAACTTTCCACAAAAAGGAAACAGCCCTGAGCAGCTCTGGCCACATTCTAGAAGCATCTCACAGGCTCGCCTCTCCTTTCCAAAGCCTCCTCCTCTGGGAAGCCCTCCCTGCTCCTTTGGGCTGGAGATGACTTTTCTTCCCAGACTGCTCATAGCACCTGTTCTGTACAATGCTCTGCACACAGCAGGTGCTTAACAAACAGATGCCTTTGCCAATGTTTGAGGCCTCCTTTTCCCTTCCCCACGTGTACCTTGCCATTTCCCTGATGCTATCAGCCCCACCCTGCCCCCAGCACTGCTATGTACCCAGTGCCTAGCCCTTCCTCCTGTGTTGCTAGGATTTACACTGCTCACTGCTGCTGAGCTCGGTGGGTTGGAGGACTCAGGTCCCAGGATCAGTAAGGAGTCAGAAATAGAGAGACGGAGTCCAGAGAAGATCGTCCTGACACCAACCCTCCTGGCCCTCCGTCACTGCCAGCCAGGACCCGGCGCCTGGTCCCTGTGGATGCCATCTGAGGCACCACTTTGGAGGAGGGAACAGACAGCCTCCGAGAGCTGCTCTGGCCGGCCTGGGGACAGCCTCTCTGGCCTCCTCCTCCCAGTATCCTCTCCAGCTTGGCAAGCCCTGGCAGGGCTGCTGCTCCACTGCCCTAAGAGCCTTGGAGACCCCACAAGGAGGCCTCAAGAAGAGCAGAAGCTCTGGGGGCAGGGCACAGCCAGTCGAGGGGAAGATTCTTACCCATTAATGTCAACTTCCTGGGCCTCTGCTTGGATGTAATGACCTGGAGAGAAGGTGCTATGGACTGAATTCGGATGACGGGCTGGTTGGGGTCATAGGTGCCTGGCACCGCCAATTCTAGGTCCCGGCACATCAGGAGTTTGGGCGAGACGTACTGCAGCTCCAATGAAGTGAGCTGGGAAGAAGCAGCACAAAACATCATTTTCTGCCGCCTGAGAGGAATGCAGATAGAACTGTCGGCATTCCCCAACTCCCCGTACTGATGGCAACATAGAGGGCCACCTGCACTTTTCTTGGGCACGAGTACAAGCACAGGGCTTGGCATCCAGTAGGCACTTCATAAATGCTTCTTCATCCTTTCTGAGGCTGCAGGGTTTTCTCAGGGTCTGCAAAGATGGGGGCAGAGATGGGAACATGGCCCTCGGGGGCTCTGGAGGTCCCTACCTGAGGCAGCTGCTTGGAGATCCGTCTGAACACATGATAGTAGAGGTCCCACGCCTGGGTCAGGTCCTTGACATTGCCCGACTTCATGTACTTTCGGCACCACTCCTGGGCCTCCATCAAATCTCGGCCATAGGCCTGGGAAGAAAGAAGGGGAAAGAAGCTGGTTTCAAGCTGGGGTGCTTTCTAAGCTGACTCATGGCCAGAGCCCCAGAAATGCAGAAGCAGCTCTGCTGTGGAGCATGAGAAGGCTTGTTTGATAAGGGGTGGGGTGTCCTGGAGCCAGCTCCAAATCCAGGCAAGTCACCAAGTCTCTCTGGGTCTCAGGCTCCTCATTTGTAAATTATGTCACCAAAAGACTGGTGCCCCTTTCCTTGCATCACACTCATTCTCGTAACAGAGACAACCCCAGGGGGCTCTGAAGAGCATCTGTGGCTCCCGCTGCCTTGAGCACAGAAAACCGGCCACACCGCTGGGCATCTGGACTTCTTTGTGAGCCAGCTCCATCTAGTCTTTCAAGCCAATCACCCATCACTCTCCTCCCCAACCCCCAACTAGGCCTGAGGCACGCTGGCCAACAGGACTTGCTGGCTTCTGTCTAGGACACGCATCTCCTGGCTGGCACCCCGGTTGCCTTTGAGGCTAAGCTCAAGGATTGCCCCCTGACCCCCGGCGGTGAGCTGCCCCCTACTCCCTACCCCGGCACTGCAGACTATTCTGTGAATGTTTCTTATCCCACGGCAGAACATAAGCTCCCTGAAGACAGGGACAATCTCTAGGGGCAGCTAGGTGGCGCAGTGGATAGAGCACTGGCCCTGGAGTCAGGAGGACCTGAGTTCAAATCCAGCCTCAGACACATGATACTCAACAGCTGTGTGACCCTTGGCAAGTCACTTAACCCTGACTGCTTCAACAGAAAAAACAAAAAACAAACAAACAAAAAGAAGGGACAATCTCGCTTTTTGTCTGCATTCCTAACACCGTTCCTGGCACACAACCGGTGCCTGCTAAGTGCTTGTTGACTGAGAGTCACCTGAAGCATGTTTTCAGACAGTCACTTGCAATTCTTCTTGGGAAATCTGTTCATGACTTAGGTCATTCCTCTACCGACAAACGGCTCTTAGTGTTGTGTTTTTGTCAGGTCACTATACAATCTCTGTTAGGATTGCGGATCTGCAAGGAGCCATCAGACCAAACAAACCCCCCATTTCACTGGGGACAAAGCTGGCCCGGGCCTGCGTGAGTCACAAAGGGCGTGTCAGAGGCAGGCGCTGAATCCAGAAGCTGCCTGGAACAGCACTGCTCTGTTCCGATACTCTTCCCCAACAGACTGTTCTTGGTATCATTCTATCTTCCCTGCTGCTGTTTATCTAAAAGCCTAATTTTACGTAAACAAGACCCGTCTATTTTTGTTATTCAGGATCACAAACACCCCCCACCTTGGGAAAAGCACCTTCTCTGTTTCCCTCTCACTTTATCAAAATGTGACTTTTTGCAGTCACAGTGTGTATCCCATGTGAAGTTTACTGGCATAAATGCTACTTTTTGCTAAGTTACTTTCCAGTTTTACCAGTAATTAATTTATTCCTTATTAAAAAGGAAATCTTTTCAGAAGTAACTTACGTGCTTGGGTTTATCAACAATGGGCTACTGTTGGGTTTTTATTTCTCTGTTTCTGTTCCTGGGACTTAGTTTTCTGTTTTTTGGAACCGTCTGGTACTGGTTAAAAGTCCTGACGACCGCTACTTTATAGTAGAGTCTGCTGTGCTCCTTCATTTGCACTCCTCATCACTTTCCAGATCTTTTGGCTCTTCCAAATGAATTTTGGCTATTCTTTTATTTAATTTCACAGAGCATCCCCTTGGCAATATGAGGTAGAATTAAACCGGAAGATTCAGATAGCACTGCCATTTTTATTATGTCATCATGGCCCAACCGTGAGCACTAATTATCTCTAATGATTTAATAAGTCTTTCTTCTGTAAAGAGTGCTTTGTAGTTGCGTTGACCTCTTGCATGTGTCTTGGTAGGCTAACTTTCAGATATTTTATACATTTTGTAGTTATTCTGAACGGCATTTCTCTCATTTTCATTTTGTCTTGTTTTTGTTAATACAGTATATAAAATGCTACTGTTTAATGTAGCTGTATTTTTCTGAATCTAGTAATCATTTCCATCAGAATTTTCACTGATTCTCTCAGGTTTCCCAACAGTGTCATGTTATCTGCAAGTAGTAAGGATTTTGCTGCCTTCTTGCTAAATCTGTTGTGCAGTACTGGTATAGAGAGCATTTCTAGAAATGGGCCAAGTGGGGAGAATGAGCAGCCTTGCTTTCCTTATGTTTATACTGGGACATTTTCTAGTGTTTCTCCATCACAAAGAATGCTACTTCTTGCTTTTAGAGAAATACTTTTGATTGTACTAAAGAAAGGGCCTTTTATGCCTATAGCTTTTTTTTTTCTTTCTTTAAAGCATAAATGAAAGCTGTATTTTGTCAAAGGCTTTTCCTGTATCTGTTAAAAAAATTACATGGTTTTTGTTGTTTATAAGATAAATGACGCTGACAGTTTTCGTAATTTTGAACCACACCATTCCTGGTATAGATCTAACACAGCCACAGTTAATAATTTCCTAGATACATTTCTATAGTCTTCTTGGAAGGACTTTATTTACATTTTGGGGTGTAGGAAAGTGTAGGACTGCAGGCCAACCTCCCTTATGAATTAATATTATTAGTTAATATTAATATTATATGAATATTAATTCATAAGGGAGGTTGGCCTGCAGTCCTATGCTTTCTCTCTTCCTGGCTTGGGTATCAGGACATTATTTGTCTCACAAAATGAATCTGGTGGAGGGCCTTCTAGCTCTGTGTTAGCCAATCATTTTTGTAGGACAGATAAGAATTACTCTTTAAATGTCTGGTAGAATTCACTTGTCAGTCCATTTGGCCTGTTTTCTCCCCTCTTTGTCAATTCCTCCATAATGTCTTCAATCCCTTTTTCTCAGATTGTGGTTGTCTTTGTGATTTCCATTTCTTGTTAGCTGGGGTTAGCTTGGTTAGATGGTAGTTTCTATTTTTGCAGAGACACACTTCTTCTGAATTCTCAGTTTTACTGGCCTAAAGCACCTTCTGATAATGATCTCTATTTCCTCTATGTTTGTGGTGGCTTCAGCTTGTTAATATTTTATCTTCCTTTCTTTTTCTCCTGGAGATTATAATGATTTATATGGTTGCTCAGTTTTGTGATTTAGCAATATGCTTTATTTCCAGTCTTATAGTTTTGGGGCCCCAGTACTTCTGTGCATTACCTACTTCACAGGATGGTTGCGAGGATGGCCTTAGGCAAACCATAAAATACTAGAGAAATGTGAATTCTTACGAGGGCTGTTTAGGCAGCCTGTGGAGCTCCTTTCTAGCTAAGGCACTGATGAATTCTGACCAGCATGCTGATGAGGCAAAAATTACCTAAAGATTGTCAGATGCATAACATAACCTCAAAGGCCCCATAAGAGCCCCTGGCATTAGAGTTTGGGAAGGGTGAAGACCTAAGGTTGGAAGCGACCAACTGGTCCAAGCCCCTCACTCTGAAGCCAGACAAGAAGTGACTTACCCAACATTACACACTAGGATTTCATGACAGGTCCCCCGGGATCCCTGGGACCCCATGGGGTGGGCCCAAGTCCAATGTCCTTCTAGCTGACTTCCTTCAACCTTTCTTATGTTTCAGCATTCTTAGTGACCTTTGCCCAAGGGCATGTGGATAAAACAGGCATCCTAGGCAAGGGAGGATGGGAAGGGGGTCTCAGGTTTACTCCTTTCATGCCCTCTTGTCCCCACCTGATTGAAGGATGTTTCTTTCAGAGTCTGGGGTCCCCGTTCCATCATCGCGTGCAGGGGTTCGAGCACCTCAAACATCCCTTTCACGTTCCTCTCCCCAAAGTACAAACGAGAAGCTTCCTCCAGACCTTCGTGCCACATCTCATGCCACAGGATGGCCACTCGGATCAGCTCCTCACTCACCTGGACCCAAGACAGGGACAAGGAGGCAGCAAGAAGTCAGTCTAGGCATTCACTGGGAAGAACAGGAGAGATGCTCTTTCTGGACACTAGAGGGCACACTGAGCCTTTCCCTGAGGAGATGGGAGATGCTGCGGAGGCTACTCAGGTGCCAGGTGAGTGAGCCCATGCTGCAGTTAGCGGCCATGTCTGAGGAGTTGCCTAAGACTCACCATCATGGCCTGCTGGACCAGGGTGTTGCTGTGTTCACACATGTTCTTCAGAATTTTGTTGGCTGCGTTGTGGCGGGCCGTGGTGGTGGACTTGGAGGCCACGGTCAGCGGGTAAATCAGAGCCTGAAACAAATCGAGAGGGAAAGTGGGTGCACGTGCCCAAGCTACGGCCAACATGGCCTACGTGGGTGAAGAAAGAGGAAGGCGTGAGCTGGTCCAGCTAAGCTATTAAGAATCATTTCAACAGTCAGGAAGACAGATAATAAACTTTAGTGGAAATCGCCTCTCCTCAGGTAGGGGTGCTCGTGGCTACAGGAGGAGTGACCACCCCTCTCACAACCACCTCAAGCCCCCATCCCAAGGCAAAATCACCTAAGTAAGACTCTTAGGCAGCCAAGAGCAGGGTGCCTGTCCCAGCATACCTGGGGGTGGTATCGACCGATGTCTGTGAGAAGCTGGTGAATGAGGCGTCCTACCAAGGGCCGGGGAGTATCGATTCTTGCAATGAGCTGCGGGATGACCTGGGATTCAACAGGAGACACAGAAGCGATGCTAGTTACTCTTCTGGGGGGGAGCAGTGACTGTCACTGACTTGGCTCAACATGGCCAAGTCCTTCTGAGGCACCTCATTGTGGTGTAAAGGCACCCCTGGGCTTCTGGAGGCTGTGTCTATCATGCCAAAAGCTGGGAGGAGGTAGGCAACAGCGGCTATCGGAGCGCCAGACCTGCTGTATGGCACGAGGTTTGTGCCTAGCTCAGGCACAGGGTGAGGAGCTGTGCAGCCACAGCAAACACACAAGGACAGGCTGAGGTACACTGGTGGGGAGAGTGACCCTATCTACAATGGATCGCCAAAGAAATGCTGTGAAACTGTGAAATAATCCATTGTTTTCCCTGCTCCAACAGCTTCCTGGGAAAGTGTAGCCTCAAACTCAGAACCAGAGTCTAATGGGTAAAGACTTTCTGTTTCCTTCCCTGAAGGGCAGGTGGGCTACTGGCTCCTGCATAAGGCTTGATTCCAGGTGTGACATGATTCCAAGAGAAGGCTGCAGAGGAGATGGAAATCAGCCCAGCCTCACCTGTAACCAGGTATCAATCTGGATCGCCTTCACCCCTTCCACAAGAGCTTCATTTACATCTGGCCAGTGTCCATAGTCAAACCACAAGGTGAGGACTCTGGTGAAGGAAAATGAGGAGATGATGAGCTCTTTCTTCAGGGCATACCTGCCCCTCCCTTGCTGTGGATACCGAGGAGAGACGGAGTCTACTGAACCACGACAGTGGCTCTCAGATGCTGAGATGGCTGGACTGCTTTAGGAGGGCGACAGGCCCTAGGGACCAACTACTGCCCTCAGTTCTCCATGGACAGAACAAGAACCCCATGTCAAATGAATGGCAATGACGGGTGCTGCTCTTGATTAAACACCAATGAGGAACACGATAAATCCATTACCCCAGGATTACCCCAGAGACCCAAGCAGGCGCCCCCCTCTTAGATATATGTATCCGTGAGAGATGAGCCCAGGGAAAAATCAGCTAGTGGACCTTCCTGCTCGATGGCTCTAAGCAAGGAGGGACAGGGAATCCACCGGGGCTTGGAGACAACAGGAGAAGTGGCTCGCTATGGTTAGAAATCCCAGATAAGAGGCAGAAGCCGTCCCAATCATCTGCAGCCCCCGGACTAGTTTTCTCCGGTTACCCAGTGCTCTCAACAGCTCGGGGGCCCAGAGGAAAGGGTTTCAGAAGCACCGTTGCTCCTCCTGGGCCCCCTCTGCTCATCCACCCTGGGTGTCTGGGGTGTGCTTCAAGGCCCCTCCCTTCACTTTTGCATTAGGACACACAGAGGACTACCTATCACGGGTCAACTCTGTGTGTCCAAACGCATGCCCAAGGGCCACTGCACACGTGAATCCTGTGACAGTGAGCAGGGCAGGGGCGAAGCGGGGAACGTGCTCAGCTGCTGCTGCTGCTGCTGCTGTCTCAGCCACTGAAGGCTTTACATTCTCTCCCCTTGTTGCTGGGTACCTGAGGGTGTCCTGAAGGTTGTTGCCCCGAGACAGAGAGATGGAGCGGAAGAAGCCCTGGACAGCAGGCACCGTGTACATCAGAAGTGTCTTGGACAGATCCTGCTGGAATACACAGGTGTTAGATACATTTTAGGCTACGAGAAATCCCCCCTCAACTGAGAGGCTGGAGAAGGGTTAAAACTTAGGGACACGTTGTTCTGAGGGTCTGCCAGCTGCCCCCGATGCGGTCTGAAGTGAGATCAGGAAAGGCAGGGGAGCAGGAGCATGAATCATGCCAGACCACGTTCTCTGAGCGGAACTGCAGACACAAGCCCACCCACACGTGCAGGTGCATTCAGACAATATGCTCATTCACTCAGGACGGAGTTCAAGGACTTTGTTTCTCAGCTCTGGGGCTGGGCCTCAGCCAGCCCTCTCCCACGCACACATTCTGATGGATGGATGGATCTCGAATCACCAACGTGCTCTGGGACCTCTGGCTGCACGGTAAGGGGAGGGGGCTGTTCTAGCATGCGCGCACACATGCATGTGGGCACGCCTACACACATGTGCGTGTGTCTTGGTGACACAGGTTGGGAGAAGGGACTATCCTCTTCCACCATACCCACCCTCACGCACCTCGGTGACCTTTTTCTGCACAGGCGAGGGGACGGGGCTGTTGTCCGCACTCTCAGCCTCGCTCTCGCTGTTGCTGCCCTCTGTGTGGGCGCTCGTGACGCTGGCCCCGCTGGCGTGACGGAGCTTCTTCTTCTCGTCTCGGGCCTGGTTCTGGTGCTTGTAGTGCAGCACGGCTTCAAAGTTCATGACTGCCCAGGCATGCCAGGCCTGTGGTGAGGAGATATGGGACAAGGTACAGAGCCCTGACGTGGGACTGCGGGGGGCAACGCCGGTTTTCGAGGCTCAAGAAGGTCCCAGAATGGAGAGGGACCTCAGATGCCACCTTGTCTAACTGGCACCTAATCCAGCATCCCTTCTGCAATACCTGGACAAATGGTCAGGCAGCACCTGCTTCTGGATAGCTTTCGCTGTTCACAGGCAGGAAAATAAATAGATAAAGAGGCAACAGAGAGCTCTGGTCTGGTCAGAACCCTCCACCCCTGGCTGCCTGAGTGAAGAAGGATGCTGATAAGGAGAAGAAAGTCCAGAGGAGGGCAACTAGGCAACAAGGCGAAGGGCTGTGGTCCGTGGCGTAGGACTGGGGATGGGAATCTGGAGAAGAGAAACTTCCGGGGGGGCCTCCACAGCTGTTCTCAGGTGTGGGAAGGGCTCCTTGGAGGAGGGGCCAGACTGTTGGGTCTGGCCTCAGAGGGCAGGACCAGGAGCCAAGGGTGACAGTTACCAAGAGGTCAACTTAGACTCCTGACCACCTTGAGTGCTCTGAGAACAGGATGGGCTGCCCTGAGAGGCGGTGGGCTCTTCCTCCTTGGAGGTGTTCCAGAAGAGGTTAGTAGAGTATGTTAGAATGGGGAGTCCTGTTAGATGTGGGCTGGATTAGCTGGTCACCCAAGAAGGTCCTTCTAACTCTGAATTCTGTGCTTCCTAAGTCTTTGTTTTTCCAGGCTAAATACACCTGGATCCTCCAACTGAACCTCTCCTATGGCACGGCATCCAGTCCTTTACCATGCTAGTCCATTCCAGGGTTGTTACTGCCCTCTCTACAATGTAGTACTCCAAACCAAATACAATGAGGAATGCAGACGCCTCCAGATTCACAGAGTACAGCCGGCCCATCCCCCCCACACTTTGGACACAATGGAAATGCATCGGTTCTTTTGACCACCATGTCATAGTGAGTCATGTTGAGCTTGCAGGCCCCTCAGAATCCTAGGTTTTTTTCCCACGGACCATTGTTTAGTCAGGACTAGATCCTGAGGTTCAAAACAATCTACCATATGATGAAACTGACCAACCTTTATTTTCTTCCTTTTTAAATTGCTCACATTCTCCTACTCCACTCCAGGATGGTCAATATATTTATCTTTATCTATTTTTTATCTATTTTTATTATCATTCTCCCACTACTCACTGTTTCTTGAATATATCCCACCTGGTCCCACTCACATTTCTTTGTGCATGCAGTTCCCACATCTGAAATAAATCTTTCCGTCTCTTGTTCTACCTGTTGGAACTCTTCTCTAATGTCTGAGGCCTAGACCTGCTGTGACCTTCTCCAGCAGACCTTCCCTGATGCCCACTGCAGGAAGTGACCTCTCCCTCTTCCAATCGGTCCCGGTGCTCTGCCTATAACCTTCTTGCACCTCTAGAACATCTTACTTAGCCTTTCAGTTATCTGGGCCCCTCCCATCTCACCTGCTGGACAGTAACCTCCTGAGTTGTACTCATCTCACTATCCTTATGCTGCCCACACTAAAGTTTTACTACCTGTGTGCAGGAGCTAATGAACTGAATTTCTTTGATAACTGAAAATGTGCTTACCCATCACCAGTCAAAGCTATGGATGCGGATGGTATGGGGCGCTGGACTGCACTTGTGCTGACTTAAAGATGTGCCTGGAAGCTCAAGAAAATTGCCAGCAAACCCTATCCCTGATTTCAGTTTGCGTTCTTGGGCTCTCTCGCTGGTGCTTGCGGAGCCGTTTTGTACTTGGTGGCGGGACCTTCCTTACTACGCCAGGGAAATCACAGATGGCCCAGTCACAGAATCCTGGACCTAGAGCTGCGGAGAGGGCCTTGGAGGGCAGCGAGTTCAATCCTCTCACTTTAGGGGCCCCAGGAAAGTGAAGTGACTTTGCAAGGTCACAAGAGCACGTCAGAGGGGGAACCTGAATCCCGGTCTTCTGACCGGGGAGTTAGTGATTCTTCCACTGTCCACGCAGCCTCCCAGAAAGGCGTGAAGATGTCTGTCTGGGCTACGTTTGTTTGGCATGTCAAAGCTGAGCCAGCATGACTTTCAATGACTCTGTGGCCTTGCTTATTTCAGTCTGTTCCAGCTGCTGTACACCTTCCTGTGTTTCTCTGTATCTGCGACATTCACCATTTCTTACCTGGCACAGTACGATCCACTACATTCCTATGCCACAATCCCACTGACGAGCTTCTCTTTTATTTCTACATCTTTGCTACTCCCCAATGGGCTTTTATAAATATTTGGGTGTATACGGGACCTTCCTTTTTGTCACTGATTTCCTTGTATTTTATACCTAGTACCAGAGTCTCTGGGTCAAAGTGTACGGGCATTTTACTTGCAAAAATTCCAAACTGCTTTCCAGAATACTTGGGTTCAACCGCAGCTCCACCAACAAAGCATGAGTGTGCCCATCTTTCCACAAGGCCTCCAGTACGGAATACTCCCGTCGTTTGTCATCACTGCCCGTTTGCTGGGTATAAGAGGAAAGCTTAGGGCTGTTTTCCTATGCAAGTCTCCCATTATTAGTGACTCGGAGCATTCATTCATGCAGTTACTTAGTTACTAACGATGTGTAATCCTTTTGAAAACTGTTCAAGTCCTCTGACTACTGCAATGAAGCACGCTCCGAACAAAGAGTGTTCTCTTCATAGATTTTAGACCTAGAAGGGTATCAGAGGCCATCTATTGCAACCCCCGAGTCTTACATGAGGAAATATGGGCCCTCTGAGGCTAAATGAAGCATCTTGTTAATTAGCGGCAAAGCTGGGGCTTGACTCTAAATCCACCAGGCTCTGGTGCCTTACCCACAAGGCCTTAACAGAAAGAGTGTACTGGGCAGCTAAGTGGAGCAGTGGATAGAGCACCTGAGTTCAAATCCGGCCTCAGACATGTGACACTTACTAGCTGGGTGACCCTGGGCAAGTCACTTAACCTAGCAAAACAAACAAACAAACAAACAAAAAACCCAGAAAGAGCGTACGCAGATTTGTTTTTGCCCGTACAGGGAATGAGGAATTTCCCAGATGGGGAAACTTCCTAAAGTAATGTTGGTATTGTTTTATGGGAACTGAACGGACCCCTGAGAAGTTGGTGCCTTGCTTTGGGTCACCCAGCCAGAATATAGTAGAGGTGGGACATGAACCCAGGTCATCCATTCCAAGGCCTCTTCCTCCTCACACACTAAGTGCATTTCGTCAGCATTTCTCTACTACTTTAAAAAGTCTACAAAGTGCTCATCAGATCTGCTCCTGGCATCACAAGGGTCTGGGATGAGACAGCCTTGCCTAAAGAGATTCCTAAAGGAGAAATTGGTGTCTTACTAAACACACCGCCAAGAACCAGCTCTTCATTACTGAATAACATCTTTCATATGTTTCCTAAATCTTGTTGTTTGTTTTTTGAGACATTTCCTGTGACCTAACAGGATGCTTTTCAGAATCTTCCAACATAAACAGAAAACCCTGCTCAACAGGGTTGAGCACAAGGTAGGACTGAAAAATCCAAGATTAGGGGGAGAGAAGAGTCGGCCTACAGGAAGCTGAGGTCCTCGGAGTTCACTCTGGATCCCTTGAGGAGAACAGGCAGCCAGAAATGACTTCTCTCTTCCTCCCCCAGCGAGGTCCTTCCTGCCACCCACATACGATCTAGCTCAAGTGACCCCGGGGAGCAACCGAACCCAAGGTGGCCGGCTATCTCCTGTGACATTAGTAACACAGTGACCTGTGGTCACGAGTGCCCTTCGCTAGGTCTATCAATGGCCACATCACAGGCATCTCTGAGGCCCGCCAGGCCAGGCGCCTACCTACCTTGTACCAGCTGCGGTCGTGCTCCGTGGAGGCGCTATAGTACTGCAGGACCTTGGGGATGGTGCTCTCATTGATGCCCTGGAGATTCAGCTGCCACTCGCCCAGCTTCAAGAAGCACCTAGCCAAGCCAAGACACGACGAAAGGAGTCCTTTGTCAGGACAAGAGGCCCGGGCTCGGCGATGGGGCGGGTTCTTTATCTAAAGGGCCGAGATCTGTCTGGCCACGCATAAACCAGCAGGGTCACCTCTCACTTTCTAGAGGTCCAGAGACTCGCCAGAGGCCGCCCGCTTGGTGACGTGGCCTAGAACTAGAACTGAGGCCGCTGGGCTTAGGACCGCAGGCTGGAATTCCCCAGAGCGGCTGGGACGTCTAGAGAACATGGGGGTGTAACAGAGGCTTGGGGAGGGGGCTTCAGGTCGATGATCCCTTCCCTCTCCTTCACCTAAACTGAGAGCATACGTCGCGTAGAAGCTGATGATAACTTGTCACACAGAAATAGCTGGCCTGCCGACTCACCCTCCTTTGCTGCTTTGCTTCCCCTTTATTCCTAGCCCCATGGCTGAGGGCGGCCTAGGCATCTACAGAGGTTCAAGCCAACAGACCTTGGGGCGGGGGCAGGGGCAAGATCAAGGGCCTTGGAGGCCCCCGAAGGGCAAGCCCTTCTCTTCATTTTACAAATGAGAAACCAAGACCGAGAGAGGTCACAAAGCACTAAGAGGCCAAGGTGACACTCAAACCCAGAGCCAACCTCCAAATCCGGGGTCCTCCCTTTGCACCATAGGGGAGTACACAGGGGAGTAGTGTGACTGAACAGGCCACAGCAGAGAAAAGCCGAGGGCCTAGCTGCAGGGGGCCCAGCCGCAGGGGAGCAGGGGAGGGAACAGCAACGCACCGGGCCATGAGCTTGTGGAGCTCATGCTTGCGCTGCTGGTCCTCAGCGGCGATGGCGTGCTGTGCCTGCTGCTGCGCGGTCTGCACAAAGTGCTGCATGTGCTGGAAGGCATCAATCTGGAACAGAGCAGAGCGTCAGCGACGACAGCAGCACGGGCAGGCCCCGGCCACCTCTGAGGCCACCCTCCCCCTCCGCGCCTCCCCCCCAGGCTCAGGAGTCTGCGCAGTGAAACCAGCGGCCAGGCTGGACGAGAAGTCTGACAACTCGGCACGATCCCCGAACCCGGCTGTCGGCGCGCTGAGTCGGTCTGGGAGAGGGCATGTACGCTTAGGGAGAGCAACAGTGCATGAAGAGGGAAGGAAGGGCAGATGGAAGTGGGGTGGGCGGGCAGGGTCTCTGGGCTTTTTCACAAGGTTGGACTGTCCTAGACACCCAAGCAGGGAAGTGAAAAAGAGCTTCCGTATCGGGCTAAACTGGGCGTGCTTGAGAGGAAATGAGGCAGGTGAAGTAAGTCCCTCATTGTAGAGGCAGCTTGTGAGACGGTGAAGGAAAGGAAGGACTGGCTAAGGAGATGTCCAACAGCTTGAGGACCAGGGGTCAAGAAGCAAAGAGCTCTACTATTTCTCAAGACAGCGTGGCCTCGGTGCCAACCCCGAAGTGAGACATGATGCAAACGAAGGCTGAAGTTTGTCTGACTGTGCTATTTTGGCTTTTGTTCTGAGGCAGGGAGAGAGAAGGGAGGAGAGGTGTGCAGCAGGTGCCTTGCCTACAGAAAGGCTCAGAATTGCAGTCAGAGACAGAAGGGACTTGATGAGGTTGTCCGGCCAAGCCTCATGCCTCTAGACAAATAAACTGCTAAACTACCCATGACGATGTATGTCAAAATACTCATGACAGATGGTGTCTATTCCATTTTGAGAGATCTCCAGAGGCTAAGATGAACAGAATGTGCAAGTGTGGAACACACAAAAGGGAGACAACATAATCCAAATTCACTGATATGGAGAACGGGTAGTGGCAGTGGTAACAATCATGTGCAAAAAGGGGAAAATTTCTAATAGAAACCACTTATGCCTCCTTCCTCGGAGAAGAGAAGGGAGAAAAAACCAACCACTGAAATAAACCCAATCATGAGATCCATCGCCATCATTAAGTGGCCAAGCTGTTTTCTATAAAAAATGGCCCCCAAAGAAGTCTTTAAGGAGACTAAGAGATCTCTTAACCAGAAATAACTTGTGCCTTTTTTGGGGGGATGAGGAGGTGGGGAAGGCAACCTCAATTACTTTCCAACATGATGAATTAATTCATATCCAGAAACAGATCCAGAACACCGTGGCAGGCATTTCATCAGGTGGTGAATCCACACATGGGGATGGAGTTGAAACACAGGGGTTAACAAGACACCCGTCTTCAAAAGGAGGCACAGGCACCCTGCCCCACAGGTAGCAAGAGGGGTTTTGAAAAAGCACTGCATTAACGTCCTAGGCCTGTGACAGGACAAGGGAGTCTTTCTCTTTAAAGAGAGCAGCGTGAGGAGAGCTGAAATGCTGGGGTTTGTTGGTCAGATGTGATTCTGTTTATTTGTAAGGTGCTCAGCGCAGGGCCTGGCACAAGGAGGAGCTACACAAATGCTAATTAGCATTATCACCACTAGTAGAATGAAGGGTCAGCACAGGGCGGTTTAAAACCTGGAAGTAAGCGTAGATTTCTAAGTCCATGTGTGTGGGGCTGTATGGGTCAGGGAAAGGTCTTTGACTCCAGCTGCATTTCCTAGCTGAGAAGAACGCCTGTCTTCCACAGACCTGCCAAGACATTCGGTGAAGAACAGATGGCTGAGGACCCCCCTCGCAGGGGCAGGGAGGAGATCGGATCTCTTCCTTCCTTAGAGCGCGGAGGCTAGCTACTGCATCTTAGAAGAGGGGGCTAGCCCCCAGCAAAGCATGGGCGTCTGTTCTCTTGGGATTCCTCAAGGGATCAAGATAAGATTATCTGTACCTTTCTAGATCTAAATCAAGGATAGATGGTTAAAGTCAGGTATGGCGAAGACTTGGGAGGTAAGACAACACTGTCCATCAAGGAATGACAAATGCTTATTTGATGGCTTCCTTTTCCAAGGTCCCTGTGAAGCAGGATGGGGGTAGGGGCGGGAGAGATGACTGTAGCTGGAGAAGCTGACACTTGGGAGCAGACTGGGCAGAGCATGCACTTTTCCTCATTTTCTGGGTAAACACGGTACTGCTCAGGTCAGATTTAGCAAGTCTGTAGCGTGAAGGTAGCGTGGGTGGGGACTGAAAAGAGCATAGACCAGCTCTAAAGAGCGGGGTTCATTTAAGGCACAGCACTGTTGCCTCTTAGCCTCTCTGAGTCTCAATTTCTTCATCTATAGGACAGAAGTAATAACCCTAAACCCAGCTACTCACGGGGTGGGTATAAGCATCAAGTGAGACCACATATGTTAAAGTACTTTGAAAACTCTATGGAGGTACACAAAGAGATGACCATGGACTACTGGCTGTATGCAGCCAGGTTCCTCATGATGGTTCCTACAACAGGCTAATGTGGCCTTTCTAGGCCCAAAGCTTTAAACCTCAGCACCATGAGTTTTAAACAGGCTTCTTGATTTTTAATCTGGGTGGTTTAAACTTTTCTTGAGCCCAGAACTTAGGCTCACCCTCATGAGCCACACTGTATGGTACTGGTCACATTCCTGAAAGGTTATCCAGAAATCCCATGGTTAAATCTGGGCAAGAAACCAGACTGCACTCATATCTAAACTGGCCAAAATGGGTCCTTCTGTTTTTTCCATTTGACTGCATCACAAATTTGTGGGCATGCAAACTCAGCAGAAGTGAGGAGAAAAAACACTAGCCTCTCTCAGACAGCAACCTCAACAAAGTCTTCACTCTTTGGAGAAAGAACCTTGGGTCACTGGTAGATGAAAATCTCAGGAGAGGACCAAGGGACTGGGGTCCAGGACTAGTGGCTAACACTCTGGGTGGCATTCTAAGGAATACTGAGCCAACCAACCCCGCCTCCCCCGCCAGCTGAGTCTCCACCCAAACAGATCAGCAGTGACATGCAGAAGTGCCTTGTCCCCATGCTGAAGAAGAAAAAGGTCTGCAGCAAAACGTGGTTCCACACTCCAGTTGTAACTGCTGATCATCCCCCTTTCTCTGCCATGGGGTAATCACAGTGGAGAGGGAAGGGTGATGGTGGTGGTGGCATCATTGTCTTCCTCCTCTTGACCAAGAAAATGGCCAAAGCAGGTGCCAGTTTTGGCCAGTTCTATCTGAATTGTTCGCTGGTCAGGCTCCAGGGCAAAGACTGGTCTCACGTGGGGCCATTTATTTTTCGTTAACATGAACATGGTCTAGTGCGATTTTAAAAAACAAACCAGGGGCAGCCCCATTTCCAAAGGGCTTCTCTTTAAAGGGAACAGGAGGAATGTGACCCTGGCTCCCAGCGTGACTTTCCCCCTGGTTCTGGCATCACTACACCCTGGGTGTTGTTGCTTGTGAATTCCAATTTGATGACAGAAAGAAAGAGAACAGTGAAATCCTGAACAAACTAAATTGGTCTTGGGAAGGTCTCCAGGAGACAGCTTCAGAGCTTGTACTTTTCAAAATAGATGATCTGAACATCCAGCCACTTCATTTGTTCAGAAAGAGCAAGGATTGGGCCTTCTCTGTGGCTTACCGCACTTTGGATGTGCAAGCAGCATCACTCAGCGAGGATGCCCAGAAAGCCTACGAAGTGTGGATAATTTCTTCAGACATGTATGCTAACTTGTCTTCTGAAATCTGTCACCTGCCTAGATATCAGGAGCAAAGTCCTGATGGCCTAGTACTCACTTTCCTTCTTTAAAAAAGGAGGTGATGAGAAGTCGGTCAGGTGGGAATGTTAAGAGGGCAGTGATCAGGAGCCAGCTCTGTGATCAATGACCCACGGTAATGGAGAGCAGAGCCAGACCATGAAGTCACAGATCATTCTAACGATCAAAACTGGTCAGGTGACCTCATGGACCTGGTTAAGGGAGAGAGTCCTGGGGAAGGGAAGGCAAAGGGGGATACAGACCTTTCGTGCACTCTTCCACATGTGCTTCATGTAGGCATAAGTCACCTGAGGATGGACGGTTGGCAGTGGATGGTCTAGCTGTCGAGAAGGGTCGACTCCCAGGAGCAGCACTAAAGTTTTATGAGCAAGTGCCTTAAAAATAAGATGAAGAGAATAGGGTATAAGTGGTTTGGAATAAGAGCATCATCCACTCTTCCCCAGACTTCCCCCGATACCAGCCTTGCAGGAGGCAGTTGGGTAGATGGTACTCACCAATCTTCCACTCTTGCCACATAAACTCGCATATTTAAGCCAAGTTCTCATGTCCTCATGGGGGTTGACCACAAGAGACCGTACCATGAGGATTCTCTGCCAGTCTTCAACAATCCGCTGGCAGCCCTGAGTGATGGCAGGTTTAGAAGAATGAATTAGCTTCTTCCCAGGGTCTCACATCAATATTCTACCCTGCCCCTCTGCCTTCAATCCCCAAATAACAAAGAAAATCCTTTATTAAATAGATTTCATTTTGCTACTTTCAGTTTTCTCAGTCTTGTAAGATTGAAAAAGCATACCATCTAGTAATTCCCTTATGTGCAGTAGAAAAATGACTATATAGTGCTAAAACACACACACACACACACACACACACGACTGAAATTCAATTGAAGAAAAAGTGCCACATTCATGCACACATGCAAACTATTTTTCAATTTAAAAAGGCAAAAAAGCCCCCAAAACCCTATTAAGGAAGCTAAGTTCTTTTCATCACTTGGATCACACAATCAACAAGCATTTATGAAGGGCCTACTATGATGTGCCAGGTTCTGTGTTAGTCGCTGGAGATAAAGTACAAGAAAAGTGAAAAAATCCCTATTTGTAGGGAACTTACATTCCCCCAGGGAAGAAAACCAGCATGTACATAAAGAATAAATACGTGAAAACAAACACAAATAAATATGAGGAGTTAAATAGAAGAGAGAGCTCTTATCAGTTGGGGATATTAGGGGAGAAGTGACTCAGTAAAAGCTTCACGTAGAAGGTGAGGCCTGAGAGGAACAGAGAGAAGGCCAGATTGACTGGATCCCAGAGCGAGGGAGCAAGAGGAAGGCTGGAGTCAGGTTGTAAAGGGCTAAACAGAGGAGTTTTCTACTTTATCCTAGAGGCACTGAGTTGATTGAGTAGGGCAGTCACATGGTTGTATCTCTGGTTAAGGAAAATCACTCTGCTGTCAGTGTTTAGGATGAACTGGAGGCAGGAAGATCAACCAGGAGGCTGTTGCCATAATCTAGGTGAAAGGTGATGAGGGATTGAACTGAGGTGGTAGATACGGGGGAAGAAAGAGAAGTACTTATTAAGTGTCTACTGTGTGCCAGCTGGGGAGGAGAGAGAGGTGTAGGAAACTTGAAAGGGAAAGAGGAGGTTTGAACTAGTGCCTGTAGGGAATGAGAAAGGGAGTCAACTAGGGTGGAACAAAAGGACTGTTTCGGTGCAGTGAAGCCCCTGTCCAAGTGGGACAGAATGAACTGGGAATGTATTCAGTCAGCATGGCTGGGAGTGGAGGAGGTGGATGGTGGGAATATTTCAGGATGGGCTTTGTCATAAGATGAGTGGAGACAGGACAAGGGTGTGAAGGAATCAAGGGCACAGGGAGTAGTGTGGAGTTGAAATGGCTAACTATAAAGGTAGAGATTGGAAAGTGCAGAAAGCCCCGTCACAGGACCACGGCTCTGAAGTGGGAAGGGACCTCTGAAGTCACTAAGTCCAACCCTCTCGTTTCACAGTTGAGAAAATGGAGGCCAAGAGATAGTAAGTGACTGCCAGCGTCACATAGTTAGTTAGCATCTAAGGCAGGACTGAAACCCAGGTCCTGACTCTCGGTCCCTGTCCAAGTGCTCTGCCTTCTCCTGCTGGGGACAGGATGACCAATGCCTTAATGACTCCTTCTGTCTGTCCCAATTACTGGAAGAGTAACGACATGAGCAGAAGACCTGAATCTTAGGGACTGGGCACATCACTTCCCCTTGGGGCCTCAATGTCCTCCTCTGGAGAACGAGGGAACAGAAACTGATGGTCTTTAGAACTTATTTCAGTTCTAGAATTCCATCAATTTGTCAACTTTTGACTTCAAGGACCAGAGCCCTAAACGGCAGCTTCCTAGCCACAACAGCTCCTTTCCATTTCCATAGCATCCCATCAACGAAAGCCACATTTTCACACCATATGTCATGTTTTATTTTGGGGCCTGGGTCACAGTGTCCTTTCAACCCAAGAAGTACAAAAACGACAATGGTTTATAAAGTTAGAAAAACAGAAAGTACAAAGAGCTAGTTGTTTATTGTTATCGAATCCCACTTTTTGTCAGTTTCTTCCAGATGCTAAAATAATTTGGCCCCTTCTAATGATGGCTTAGGGAGACCATGTTGGAGTAAGGCATGAGTTCCACCCAGCACTGGCCCAGTCAGTGCTTTAACTTCTGAGTCTGTCCTGGGACAAAGTTTTGCTTATTATACCATGAGGAAAATCATTATATTTCTGATTTGGACACAGTAGCACCCTAATCATTAGTGGCACTTAAAAGTGAGGGTGCATGTAAGTCAGAAAGGAAATATTTGCTTCATGGAACCTTTTTTCCAGTGCTCAAAAACTTTCCACCAAAACATTCAGCAGGCATTTCATAATTACTAATAAAACGCTATAAAAAACGTAAAAGAATTGTATGTGCTTTTTTTCAGGACCATAAACAGCTGTATTCATAGACGTCTCTTTGCCCAGGGCTGCCCTCCCGTTCCAGTGGAATGTGCTGGGAAGCCTGCTTGGAGTCAGGAAGCTCCGTCCAGCTTCCTGCGTGGCCCAGAAAGCTCGGAGCCGCCTCTGGTAAGCAGTCTGCAGACACAATGGGAATGAGTAGCAGGAGAGAAACTCTGGGGTGGGGGTGGGCACTGGAGACTAAGAGCCCAGGGCATGCTCAGTTCCCAAAGAAGGTAAGAGGTTTCAGGACGTAAATGTTTTATCTTGGTATGCTCATTCACTGCCCGCCTTTAGCCAAGCAATGGAAGGGACCTGCACTGAAATGTATAAACTAGGGAATTCAAGGAGCTTGACTTGGCAACCTGTGCTCATTCAGAGGGTCTAAGTGATGCAATGGACATGAGGAAAAGCCCCTTCTAAGCGAGAGACCTCTCAGTGAAAGTCGTGGTGGTGGCCGGGGGCATTTTCAGCTAGTTGGCTGCTCATCAGGGGCAGCACCCCACAAGAGAGCTTGGGGAGCGGCATGAAGGTGGCCAGCTCAGGGAATGAACCTCTCCTATGTACTGGGGGCCAAGGATCCTAAGTTCAGGTCTAACTGCCATCTGCAGTTTCTCCCCTAATAGCCAGCCAGATGGAGAAAATTTTGTCTTAGGTCCATAGGACTGTTAACAAGAGGAGGCTAGACGGAGGCTAGGGCCTCAGTCCTTAGAAGGCCTCTGAGGAATGTCGCTTTGAATCTACTAGAGTGTAAGTACCATGACCTGTCTGAGCTAAACTGTACTTCCTCCAGCCCTTGGCCAAGTGTTTGTATATGCCACGTGTTGAACTGACATTTATTGCCTTAAATGTAAGTTAAACATTTTGTAGCTACGGCGAGGGTAAGCGTTCAAGCAACAACACGAGAGAGGGCAGAGGGGACCTAGGGGGTCCCACTGCAGCGGACAAGCTCACGTACTCCTCACAGGCTTTCTTACCTGCAGCCTCTCCCACCAGATCTGCCGGATGATCTCGCGCCGTTCGGGGACAAGTTTATACTGGATAACTTCCTCCAGCTCGGAGAGCATATGGCAGGAAACCATTGCCTGAAGGAAGCAAACCACATTCCATCCTAATCACTGTATGAAGAATCCAGAACAGAGGATTATCTTAAACCAACCCTTCTGATGTCAGGTTATCTGCTGACCAGACCAGGCGCAGGCATGCTTCCAAGGCCCATAAGCCCAAACAGCCCATTTTGTGGAAACATTGCAAATGGACCAAGGAAAGAAAGTTAGCTCGAGGGTCTCACGCTCACCCCATAGGCCCGGCTGTAGCTTTCTCCTGCCATGGCCGTTAGCTCGGCATCCAGAAGGTCCCTGGCTTTGTCGATGCACTGGAAGAAAAGGAGAAATAAACTCACTGAAATGGGGCTCTGGATTCAGGTTGCCTGAGTCACTGCTGTTATTTCAGGGCTCCCCAACGAAGTGCAGAGACAACCCCCTCCCATTTCATCACGGGAAACTGGAAGACAAAGGACAGAACTGACCTAAGAGGTAAAGAAACCTCTTCTCAGGTCTGAATGCCTTGAAAAACAAGTCAGCTCTCCACCAAAGAGGGACATGTGAGATGAATACCATGAGACACGAGGAATCCTTCCCAGCTGGAGAGGACCATAATGACGGGGCAGCGGAAGCACCACAGCGCTATGGGAGAGTCCTTGATCAATGCTTCCAGGTCTGGTGCTTTCCCTAAAGTTGCTATTCCCTGCACAGCCACGGAGCACACTCTTTAGGACTTGGCAGGAGCTCCTGGAGAGCTGCCACAATCACGTGAGGGGCGAGCTTCTCTAGACTCAACCAGGCTGGTCCCTGAATGACAGATGCTCATCTGACCTGGCTCACCAGGACCAGCCAGAGTCTGCCTTCAGTACAACAGCATTTAGGAACTAAGGGTCACCCTTGGGCCATGGTGCCGTAGGAGCTGCTCTTCAGGAGGGGCCACAGGAGGATCGAGGTCCTCCACTGTCTCTGGATTACAGCTTAGCCATGCCATTTCCTGGTTGTGCATATTTATGAAACAGAAAAGGGTTTAAATGGGCTGAAGCCCTGCTCAATACAGGAGTCACCCTTCACTTGGCTTTCAGAAGTCCTCAGCACTCATGCCTGCACGCCTCTGCAATGGACAACGTGGGCCCCAGACTCCTCCACAGACGTAGGCCCCTCCGCCTCTGTAATGGACAACGTGGGCCCCAGACTCCTCCACAGATGTAGGCCCCTCCACCTCTGTAATGTACATTGTGGGTCCCAGACTCCTCCACAGACGTAGGCCCCTCCGCCTCTGTAACGGACAACACGGGCCCCAGACTCTTCCACAGATGTGGGCACTTCCCAGAGGCGGCCTCTCCGACTCTTGTTTTTTGTTTTTGGTTTGTTTTGCTAGGCAATGGGGTTAAGTGACTTGTCCAGGGTCACACAGCTAGTAAGTGTCCACCTAACTGCCCCTCGCTCTGCCTCTTGAAATGGGCACCATGGGCCCCATGGGGCCCAGACTTGTCCACGGACGTGGGCACCTCCCAGAGGTGGTCTCTCCACCTCTGTAATGGACAACACAGTCTCTACTAGTTCTTCCTGTACACAGGAGTCCTGGGTACAGCTATGGGACTGCAGCTACATCTTAGTCTGTGCCATCAATTTAAAACCTCTCATCCATAGCTTTACCTTTTTTAAATGTTTAAGGTTAATTACCAAACCCTTATCCCTTAAGTGCTCAGATCATTTATCCATCAACCTCATCCAAAGCACGTCTGGGGCCTGACAGGGCTGATTTGATTACTCCATTATCTAATTCTGCAAGTCAGCACAGAATTTTCAAATAAAGTGTCAGCTTCCCTGGAAAGTAATCAACGCATGAGACAAGTGCATGGCCAAAAAAGGACCTGGAGATTGATATTTGCCACAGTGTGAAACTATCCATTCGCTCCCTGAATTCTACTCAGATAAACTAACAGGGTTTCTTTTCTCTCCAAGAAAAGCGAGGACAAGGAAGATTAAAAACAGAGAGGCAACAATGAATAGGGACACCAAGCAGTGGACCTGGTCCCTCTCTGTCTCTCCTAGAGCAGAGGCCCAAGGATAAAAAAGGCCGTGGGTGCTTCTGGGCCCACAGTGAGCAGCACCCGTGAAGCATAAAGGCTCAGCAGGCCCAGGGGAGCGGTCAGTTTGCTTTCTCTCCTGGCATCTGAACTCACTGGGTCCCCATTGGCTTCAGGTGTGGGACCCAGAAGACAGGCCATTGGAAAAGAAACCCTAAAAGGGGGCTTGGAGAAGAGAACATCTGGACTTAGGGGGAAGACTGAGTCAGAAGGAACGCGAGGGTTACGAATTTGCTTCTGAGAACACAAACTCCTCCCTCAGCCTCCTGGACTTCTTATCTTGAAGGGATGGTTCTTTATTAGCACACCCTGCTCTAAACTGGGTGGGAAGGGGAGATGAGGAAGGTGAGCTCAGCTGACCTGTGTTGGGGGGTGGGTTTGTACCTGTTGAGCCAGTGAGAAGAGGTCCTGATGCAGGGCCAGCACGGCTCTGTAAAAAGCCCCATCGTGGGTGTCCCGGGGGATCATGCAGGTGTACTCCTCCATGCTGTCCCACTGACCTGCACCAACAGCAGAGGAAGAAACTGAACTACACCTTCTCCCTAGGCCCAGGTCTCACAAATGAGTGAACCTGATGGGACCTGATGGGTCCTGATAGGCCAAGTGTCCAAATACTCCTTGACTCTAAGGACTGAGGAGGCATATTTCCGACACTATCAATAACAGGATGGGAAAGCTTTTCTCCTCACAATTAAGGGGTGTATGATGGCTCTGGGGAGCCAGGGAAAACTCAGCTGTACCCAAACGCACTTGTTACATGGATGAAACACTGGACTAGACAAAGAGCCTGCCCACAATGCCTGGGCTATCTCTTTGCCCCACTGGAGGCTCTCAGAAGGCAATGTGACAGGCCAGGCCTGAGCACAGAGGGCCCTATGTCACGCCAGGCACTTGATGGCCGGGGAAAAGCCTGTAGCCAGGAAGAGTTATTCACTTCCCCGAGGGGAATGAATAGACATTAGACTCCAGTATTTCAAAAGCCATCTGCAGAAGAGATATCAGCTTCATTAGCTGCAGAGTGCAGGGCTACTGACTTTTACAAGGCATTTCCCTGACTCTTACTCAGGAACATTGGCTCATTCATTCTCCCTGCCCCTGGGCAAAAGCAAATAGTGAATGATGACTCATCAGGAAGCAATTTGTTTTTGAAAAATGTTTTGGATAGATCCCGGTTCTCACTAAAGGAAAGGGACAAGCTTTGTGACCAAGTGAGGCTGAAGAGAGGTGGAGGTGAAGCAAAAAAGCGCTTTGCCTATGACCTACTATCCCCCTTCTCCCCTCCCTACCTCCCCAAGCTTCTTTGGACTGGACACTGCTAATCGTCATCCGTCTGGGGTCGAGTGATTGCTGATTACAGTGAAGGTTCAATCTAGACCCAATCCTCCTGACACGTCCACTCTGCCATTTGGTCATTTCACCGAGGTCATATTAGTTACTTGAAATGACCCAGCACAGAGAGTTCCGACTCTCGGCAGAGCAGGCATTTGCCCGTAGTGCCACGGTGCCCTCCAACCACCCACTTGGGCCCAGACAGAATGCTTACCTAAGCCCCAAGCAGCTGCAGCAGCCATCCGGGCCATTCTTGCCTGTATCTCATCATTGACCAGGGTCCACTTTTCGCAGCACTGCTGGTGGAGCTGCCCCCTGAAAGAAGAGAAAGCCTCAGCTGAGGCCAACAAAAGCCACGGCGGGGACTGCCAGTCTGCCTTTCTAACCACTCGGTTGTGGGTGAAGGATTAATAACCTTAACAGAGGGATTGGGCTGGGGCTTGACTAGCCCTGGGAATCCCACAACAAGAGCAGGTTCTTGTGGGCCCATTTCACAGAGGAAGTAAATCACCTCTTTACTGTTGAATGATGTCATTTGTTCTGAGGGTGAGCTCACGTTCTCCATGAAGCTTCCTGACTCTCCAGCTGCTAGTATCCTTCCCCCACCAACATTCCTTTGTACCTGTTTTGCATAGCTGCCAATACATATACATGGAGTCTCCCTTGATAGAATGTAAGCTCTTTGAGGGCAGGGACTGTTTGGTTTTTGTCTCTGTCTGTTTGGCAGTTGGCACACAGTAGATACTTAATGCGAACTTGCTGATAATGCACTGTCTTTGACAGCTGGGTCCCTTCTTAAATGTGAAAAGCACCATGCCAGCAGACAAAGAACACTGGGATTTCTTCCCTTCTGGTGGGCCTGCAAGCCTGCATTCTAAGGAGGTACACTTGAACATGTTTATCCATGGCTCAAGGCCATGACTCTGAGGGGCAAATTCTAGAGAGGTCCAGGTCAAGGAAATAACCTCTAAACTGAAATCAGTACTGAGGTATGGAGTAACTTAATGAAAGCCTACATTTACAAGTCCATCAATGTTGCTTACTCCCAAGGCCTTTGAATACTAAGAATAAGACTGAAACAGGACAGAAATGGTTAGATGCAAGGTCTTCACTCATCACCCAATGAGCCTGTGACTAATTACTTAATTAAATAAAATCAGATCATCCAAAAATCAGACAGTAGAAAGCACACTCAAGAGTGAGGACCATATTACAGAATCTCAGACTTGTACTTGGACAGGACCCCAGATCACTGAGGTTCTATGGAACAGTAAAAAGAACGCTGATTGGGAGTTCAAACCCCAGCTGGGCCATTAACCACCTGGATAACTGGGTAAGTGACTTAACTGATCTGGGCCTCAGTTTCCTCATCTGTGAAGTGAGAGGGTTTGACTAGTCAGTGTCTGAGGTCCCTTTGGTAACACAGCTCTGGTCGTCAGATTCGAGGATGGGCAAGGTTCCTCCTAGCTACTATGTCAATGATTCTGACCCTCCAAAGAGGAAGCTCAGGTCTGGACGGGCAAGGTCACCTGGCCAGGCTCTCCCTGTGGCACAGCCAGCACTAGGCCTCGAGTCTCCCAATGCCAGTTTAGCAACTTTTCATTACACCACACTGCCTCCCAATTACTCTTGGTTACCCTTCTGTAGGATGTCTGTTAAAACCATCCACCTTGAATTTTCTGCTTCTGAACAGAAATAAATGAAATCTGTTACAGTCTAGTTGGGATAAACAATTTTCATATTATCATCCAGAAGTGCCCAGAACAGGAGATCCATGAACCTCCAAGGGGGTCTGTGAATAGATGTCTGGGAGTCTGTGAAATAGGACAGGGAAAAAATTATGTCTCTTTCAATATGATGTTTCCTTGCGATTGTATGTATTTCATTTTGTGCATTTAAAAACAATATTCTTACTGGCTAAGAAATAAGAGTGGTGGATCAGTGGAAAAGGTTAGGTGTGTAAGACACCATAGTCAATGACGATAGAAATCTACTACTTGATAAACCCAAAGACTCCAGCTTCTGGGATAAGAACTCACTATTTGACAGAAACTGCTGGGAAAACTGGAAAAGAGTATGGCAGAAACTAGGCATAGACCAAAATCTTACACCATATACCAAAATAAAGTCAGAATGGGTTCATGATTTAGATATAAAGGCTGATACCATAAGCAAATTGGGAGAGCAAGAAATAGTTCACCTGTCAGATTTATAGAGAACAGAAGAATTTATGACCAAATAGGAGATAGAGAACATTATGAAATGCGAATTGGATAATTTTGATTATATCAAATTGAAAAGTTTTTGCACAAACAAAGCCAATGCAACCAAGATTAGGAGGGAAGCAGAAAACTGGGAAAGAATTTTTATAACCAGTCTTTGATAAGGGCCTCATTTCTAAAATATATAGAGAACTATGTCAAATTTATAAGATTACAAGTCATTCCCCAATTGATAACTGGTCAAAGGATATGAACAGGCAGTTTTCAGATGAAGAAATTAAAGCTATCTATAGTCATATGAAAAAATGCTCTAAATCACTATTGACTAGAGAAATGCAAATCAAGACAACTCTGAGGTACACACCTATCAGATTGGCCAACATGACAAAACAGGAAACGATAAATGCTGGAAAAGATGTGGGAAAATTGGAACACTAATGCATTGTTGGTGGAGTTGTGAAATAATCCAACCATTTTGGAGAGCAATTTGGAACTATGCCCAAAGGGCTATAAAAATGAGCATAGCCTTTGACCCAACTATAGCACTTCTAGGGCTGTATCCCAAAGAGATCATAAAAACGGGAAAAGGATCCACATGTACAAAAATACTTACAGCAGCTCTTACTGTGGTGGTAAAGAATTGGAAATTGATGTCCATCAGTTGGGGAATGGCTGAACAAGTTGTGGTATATGAATGTAATGGAATACTATTGCGCTATAAGAAATGATGAGCAAGTGGACTTCAGAAAAACTTGGAAAGACTTGTATGGTCTGATGCTGAGTGAAGTGAGCAGAACCAGGACAATGTTGTACACAGTAACAGCCACATTGTGTGATGACTGACTTTGATAGACTTAGCCCTTCTCTGCAATGCAAGGATCTAAAGACATCTCCAAAAGTCTCATGATGGAAAATGCTGTCCACATCCAAAGAAAGAACTATTGAGTTTGAATGCAGATCGAAGCATACTAGTTACTCTTTTTTTTCTTCTGTTTTGTTTTGTTTCCTTTTTCTTGTGATTCCTCCTATTGGTTTTAATTCTTTGTTACAACATGACTAATGTGAAAATATGTTTTAATAGGAATTCATATGTAGAGCCTATATCAGATTGCACACCATCTTGGGGAAGGAGGAGGAAAAAAATTTAAAATTCAAAAGTGTATGGAAGTGATTGTTGTAAATTAATTTAAAAAAAAAAAGAAAAATCAAAAAAATAAACACAAAAACAGTATTCTGAGAAGGTGCCCACAGTCTTCACCAGACTTCTAGGTGGTCTGGTGGAAAGGATGCTAAGTTTGGGAGTCAGGAAGACCTGAGTTAAAATCCTGCCTCAGACACTTACTAGCTGTGTGATTCTGGGCAAGTTATTTCACCTCTGTTTGCCTCAGCGTCCTCATCTGTAAAATGGGGATTAGTAATAGCACCACCTCTCAGGACTGTTGTAAGGATCAAATGAAGCACTTTACAGACCTTGAAGTGCAGTATAAATGTTAGCTATCATTATTATTGTTACCAGACTTCACTGACACAAAAAAAAGGAAGAATTCCTCATCTGGGAGATGTCATTCCTTCCCCCGGGAGGTGATCAGCTCAGGGACCTCTTGAGATCAGAGTAGCAGCCCATCACAAACGGCTAGGTGGCTGCTTCTTGACATCCCTCTCCACTGGACAGTGCACACTGGGAAAAGCTGTGTCGTGACAGCCAAGACAGAAAGCACTGGGCTCAGGCACAGCGCTGGCTGCCACTGCCAGCTTGGGCTTCCCGGGAGGAAGAGTGACCAACAAATAATGCAGAGTCACAGTGGCTGAACCAAGAGAACCATCCACACGATGGCTCCAACAATGTTAATGAGAAGATCCCCGAAAGGAAGCCTAATGCCAGACAACAGGAAAACGGACAACGGTCCTGGAGAGGAGGAGGAAACAGCTTTGCCCTTAGCCGGGGACGACTAGGGCAGACTGCCAGATACATTTTATCTGGTGTTTCTGTACTGGGGGCTTTTTGCAGAATAGTTTCAGAGACTTTTTGTCCTAAGGAAGAGTTCAGTTTAGAGCAGAAAATGATGTGATATAGAGACAAAAGACTTCAATAAAACGTCTCTTTAAGAAACTGGACTTCTCCCAGAGATAGACAGTTCACTAGTGAGGGGCCAACACTCTTGTGACCATACCCAAGAAGCATCAAAATCCATCAATCAGTCAATCAATAAACATTTATTAAGCACCTACTATGTGCCAGACCCTCTGCCAAGCACTGGAAAGCAGTGGTTCCAGTCTCTTTGAAATAAGATCAAAGGAAAGGCAGGGATACAAATATTCTTGTTCAATACAGAAGTGAGAAAAAAAAAGCAACAAAGAGAAGAAACTCAATCACCTCACGTGTCTTGAGCATGTTAAGTGTGAGGAAGCAAGATAAACTTTGATTACAGTACTTATCTTTTGGTTTGTTGAAACTTTAAGAAAAAGGAGTAAACCCCAAACTATTCAAATAGACGACCATGGTCAGTTTTGCTCAGGCCTGGGCCCTGGTGGGCTGGCTTTAAGAAAAGGACCTAATCTATCTGGCTGGTTCATCTTTGGTACCCCCTCTACCTGGAGACAGAGGCCAGGGCTGGGTGGCACAGGAAAATCTGATCTGGATGCTAGGAGGGACTGACCAACCCTCATTCCTCCTGGAAGTCACACCAGTCTCTATCTCTTCCAAACAGGCCCAGGCTAGAAAATTGAGCCATTCTCCTTCCAGATGTGAGGGCTAAGTTCAGAGGTTGAACAACACAAATTAGAGCTGAGGAAAGACACAGGAAAAAGTCTGGGGACACTAGGCTGCAGAAAGGGAGCCTCAAGTTAAGAGAAACAATGCCTTTAAGAGAAGGGTCTTGGGGTTGTTAGATGGCGCAGTGGATAGAGCTATGGCCTTGGAGTCAGGAGGACCTGAATTCAAATCCGGCCTCAGATACTTGACACTTACTAACTGTGTGACCCTGGGCAAGTCACTTAACCCTGACTGCCTCATAAAAAAACAAAAAAAACAAAAAAAACAAAAAAAAAATAAAGAGAAGGGTCTTCTCTGGGCCCAACAAGTGCAGGCAAAGACTTGGAAGGTGGACAGTAAGTCAAAGGAAGAGAACAGGGTACAACACAACACAATCTGAGCCGTGCAGTTCTAACAGCAAAACCAATGAGACGCAAAGAATTCCACTCATGATGGGGACAACAAGGCCAGGGTGTCTCCTCGTAGAGGCTAAGCTGTCCAATTCAACAGGCAGTGAGCCTGCTTGTTTGACTCAGAGCTTCTCCAGTGGCTCCATGCCCCTCCTGGCATGGAGCGCTGCTATTCGCTCCCCGAGCTGGGCCCTGTCTCTGGCTAAGCTTCTTGGATACGAGATGACTATGGGAAGGGTACAGAGCCTTGGCCAACAGCACAGGGAGAACCCGCAGGAGGCACCTGTCTCAGTCGGCACTGTACACGCTGAAGATAATGACATGACATGTCAAAAGGGACAATATTTTGTACTCCTAGCTGAAGAAAAATTACTTTCTGGGTAGCATCTTAAAGAGATAGTGAAAGAAATGTACTTGCTGGCTGCTGGGAGGGTGAAGGTGGCCCAGTACCCTCAGGGGCAGGTCCGAATGGGGCACAAATCACAGGTCAGACTCAGTGTGTCCAAAATAGAATTCTTCCCCTCCAGACTCATGCATTGTTTCTGCTGAGGGCACCACTCTGCTTCCTATCTCCCAAGTGTGAAACCTCAGAAGCACCAACTCCTCATTTTCCCTCATGCCATCCAACCCACAGTAGCCAAATCCTGTCACTTCTACCATGTCTCCTGCATATGTCCCCTTCTCCCCACTCATGTCACCCCTCCATTCCAGGCCTTTATCTCCTCTTGCCTCCACTACTGTAATAGCAGCCTTCTAGCCTGAAGTCCCTGCCCACTTCAGTCCATCCTCCATACACATGCCAAAGCCCAGGGCTGACCACATCCCTCTCCCGCTCAGAAAGCTCCCGTGGTTTCCTTTTGCCCCTCAGCCCCACTGTTGGCTTTTAAAGCCCTCGCCAGCTGGCCCGTCTCCCCGTTCAGGCTTATTCTGCATCACTCCTATTCACGTGGTCCATGATCCGGCCCAAGAGGCCCTCTCGCTGTTCCTCCTCTATGACACCGCATGTCCCACCTCCTTGCCTATGCACAGACTATTCCCCAGGCCCAGAACGCATGCGATCCTCCCCCGGCTTCTCAGAATCGCCACCTTCCTTCAGGCTCAGCTCAAGAGCTGACTCCCATGTTTAGCCCTGATCCCCCAGTTGGACTCTGCCAGAATTTATCTTGTATTTACTTTGTACCTACTGATATGTGTATATGTCATCTCCCTCTATAGAACAGAAGCTTCCTCGGGGGGGGGGGGGGGGGGGCATGTTTTATTTTTTTGTCTTAACAGTGCCCAGCACAGGTGCATGATAAATGCATGGTAACTGACTGACCGACTTGGCAGATGACATACCCCTGCCACTAAAATGCCTGTGTGAGAACGAAAGAATAACTAGAGCAAACAGGATGCACTTCTAGGAATCAGTTTCTTTCACAGCATTAAAGGGACACTGCAGGACACATGTGGTTCTGGGCTGGCCTTTGACTATCTCTACATGGGCACATCAGTTTTTGTACTTTCTTTCAAAGATTAAAAACTGAACGCCAGGCCTTGAAATTTAACTTTTCTCTACAGATGACAGCCTGTTTGAAGGTCTTTAAAAAAATCCTCTTATGCTCCATGACTGTGAGCACATTTACAAATATAAAAACAGCCGATTGACAGACGAATCTTTGGGACATACTTAGTCAATAAACTTCTCACCCTTTGACCCAATAATACCACTACTCGGCATTTAGCACAAAGGTAAAAAATATAGGAAAAGAGTCCCATATATGTCAAAATATTTATAGCTGTACTTTTTGTGGTATCAAGAAATTGGTAACACACAGGTACTTAGTGGGTAATGGCTAAACAAACTGTGGCATGTGAACATAATGGAATTTTATTATGCCATAAGAAATGACAGCTATGATGCTTTCTGAGAAACTTGGGAAGATTTGTATGAAATGATGCAGAGTGAAGAAAGAAGAACCACAGGGACAGTTCACAGTAAAGAAGAACACCTGTTGAAGCCTTCAGAACTCCAACCCAAGCCTTGAACGGGCATCACTCCAAAAGACTGATGGTGATGAGGACTACTGCTAAACGGCAGACAGGTGGTGGACCACAGGTTTGGAATGAGTCCAATACGGTCCATCAGTGTCACTTCATTTTGTTAAAATGCAGTTATGAGACAGGGGTCTATGGGGTGGGGGTCAGGGGGGTTCTGGTTTTGGGAAACGATAGTGATGTTATGTAGAAGACCAAGTCAAATAAAGTTGAGATGGGGATTAAAAGGTAAATCTCAAACAGACCGTTCTTATGATCTTGTAAGCTTACCATTCTCCCAAGGCCTCCAGGCAGCGCATTCGGCCCAGCATTAGCTCAGGGTCATCTTTGTTTGTGTCCATCTTTTTATCATAGGCGACCAGGGCATCTTCCCATTCGTGGAGTTTTTCATACCAGGTAGCCTGGATCTCCTGTCAGATGAGGAAGACAGAGAGGAGTTTTAGCTGCCCCTTATGTGCTGGGGAATTTGTGGTGCAGCTGGGACACACTGTAGGCCTGATCTCTTTGAAGGCACTGGACTCTGGACTTGATTTGAAAAGCATATTGTGGATGCCATTTAATTTCCTGGTTTATTCAAGTCTGTTTGGGCAAAGAGTTTCAACATACTTGGAGGCATCTGATTTGGTACAGGCCTGAAACGCTAGTGCCTCTGCACAACGTCAGAAATGATGCCAGGACATTCTGAGAGCAAATGCTGGCCTTTGTTTCTTCTCCCCACACCTCCCTTCCTCACTCAGGAGCTCAAGTCAGCAGAGCAGTAGGATACGGGGCCTGAGGCAGCTGAGGGGCAGAAGGGCAGCCCTTCTAGGGGACAGCAGACACCTGGCAATGCTGCCAGGGCCTCGCTGGTACCAGTGCTACAGCTAGGTCAGGTAGCAGGAGTGGCAGCTACTTTCTGGGGGTTGTGGCTTAACCTCACAACTCTAGGAAGACAGGCTGTGGTTTGCACAATCTCTGGCCATAAATGAGCACACATTTGTTGGAGCAGAAGCCTGACTCTTTTTAGCTCTTTAATCTCTGGGTTTCTCCTTAATGGATTATAACTTTGAGGAAATAAAAAAAGTCTGCCTGGAAGTCTTTGAAGATTTTTCCCCCTGTCTCTGGATGCTCCACCAATGTTCCCTCTTGCTGAGTCCTTGGCAGCTCTGCTGGCGGCAGGGACCAGAGGAGGAATTCCATGATGGTCCTGTGGGTCCTGGGCAGTGCTGGTGCCACGCTGAAGCTCACAGCCCTCCACGTGAGCAGCTCTGAGTCAAGTGGAGTCTTAAAGCAACAGAACCTGACTCTCAAGGGGCAGTTCCAAAATTCAGTAGGAGACTGGATTGTTTTTATGGGCTTTCTCTGCCTATTCCCCACCCTGTCCCCCTTTCATATTCCCATCTGAGTTTATCTTTTGGGCTTTAGTACCACCAGCTGAAGAGCTTCTGCCAAGAGATGGCAGATGCTGCCCAGAGACTTACTTTTAAATGATATGGTTCTGTATGGACAATGTAATCCTGGCCTGGCTTGGGAAACAGAAGCACCAACAGATGCTGAAACGTCTCAAAAAGTTTTTAGCTTTTTGAACTCTTCATAGTATTAAGTCCCTTGCCATCCCCAGGCTTGACCCTGAAGAAGAGATGAGAAAAGGTACCTCTTTCTCTTTGGTGAAGAGGTGGGGGACTATGGGTGCGGAACACCAAACTCAGCTGATGTGTGGGTCTGTTTTGCTGAACCCTCCCTCCCGCCTCTTTTCTTTCCTTTACATTATTTATCATAAGGGATGGTTTTCTGGGAAGGGGAAGATGTGGGAGGGATAGATTTTGAAATGAAGGGGGTATAAAAACAAAAGATGACAAAAACTAAAACTCCAATTCAAATGCCTTCTTCCTCTAGGAAAGGTTCCCTGAATCCTTGACTAGGAATCCTGACCTTCATGGCCAAAGACTCCTCCTCTGGAACCTTGTTTGTATCCTTCTTCCTATGGGGCAGAAGGCAAGGTATTTGTGGTTTTCTTGTGAGGTGAAGTAGAGTGGAAGTTCTCTCAAAAAACTATCTTACACACCAAAAAACAAAAAAATAAAAACAAAAACTATCTTACTTTTTTCAAACGCAGTTGTCATTGTATACAAACTAGGTCTGCACGTTTACAAATCAACTAAACACATTTCTGGAGCCACTAACCTGCCTCCGTGGCACCCAAGGAGTGGAATATTGCACCAAGCATTTCTTAGCGCCTCTCCTCCTTCCACACAGGCCGCCTTTTGGGCATTCAGGGCTATGTCACTGTGAGGGGCTTGGAGAAGCGGCTGAGAAACGGGTGTATTTTTTTTTTCCTGAGGTTCAACAATGGTGTTTAGTTTTCACCAGTGCCCTTCTAACAAATTATCAGGTGTTCTAGCTCTGTGTTGGTGTCCCAGCCTTCTGCTAGCCTGGGAGCTCCTTGAGCACACGGCTGATGCCTTATCTAATCTTTGTATTTCCTTCGCTCACACCAGGCACTTATTAAGTTTTTGTTCTGACTATCTGTTGTTCAGAGAGTTCACTTTCACGTTAAATTGTCCATGGGCTCTCTCACTTGTGGCAAAACTCTAGCTGAACCAGTCCTGTCCCCTGCTGTCCCTGGACTAATCTTGTAGCCATTTTACTTTACCAACATTTGTTGGAACTGGGCAAAACCATGTGCGGCTGCCTGCATTCCCCACAGCATGGGTCTAATTGGCACAAAAGAGAGAGAGAAGACTGACTGCAGGAAGACAACTTAAGCATTTAAATGACAGAGAACAATGTTCAGAAGACTGTTTAAATTTCTTTCCCAAGGTGGATGAGTGACATCGTGCTCTGCCAACATCCCTGAATTTCTGGTACACTTCTGCATGCTGCTGAGCTCTGCAGGAGTGGGTGGGCAGCAGGGGAGCACAGATCCCTGATCAGGTCAGGGGCCACAGGGAGAAGGAGAGCAGGATTTTGAAACTGCAGAAGACTGCAAAAATGGCAAGGTTTATGTGGTGGACCACACTGAGATCTAATGAGAAGGCGCTTAGATCAGTTGTGCCAATGGAGGAATGCAGTAGGAGGTGCTACACACAACACATAAAAAGTAAAAGGGGCTTCTTCTCGGCAATTTTCCTTGAGGTAACAGCTTCCTCTGGACCCTGAAGACTGAGCAACCTTTCACTTGAAGCTGACACGTGGGCCACCACGGTGGATCTCTGGTGGACCAGCTTTCTGTAGGGACCTTCTTTCAACTAACACTTCCTAGTCTAGGCTAGCCTTTGAGAATGCCAGGGGAAAGCACAATCTATCCAGGTGGAGAGCTGAACATCTTCTTAGCCTCGTCTCTTCCTTCCACAAAACGATCTGTGATCAAGATGAATGTCAGATGGCCTTGTGAGCACTTCAGCACCTGCAGTCGTGCTTTCTGAGTCTAGTTACACAAAGAAATGGGCTGAAGACACGATGGATGAGGGAGCCCTGGATTAGGGCTTGTCATCTCGGGAAGCTTATCAGACGTGTGGTGTTGGTCTCTGCCCTCTCCCAATGTCCGAATCTCCTTGACGCCCAAAGAATTCCATACAAAGTCGATGGAGTCCATATTACAGGAGGTATCACCAATCCAAAAGATAAGATCATGCAGACTAATGAAAAAAACTTATGGACAGTAATAACTACATTTTTACATTAGACTAGAAGCTCCTCGAGGGCAGGGAATGACTTTCTTTTTTCATATTTGTATTCTCAGCACTTGGCACAGTGCCTGTCTTGTTTACAGAATCATTGGCTAAAAAATGGTGGTGGTGAGGGGAAGGCAGAGAGCATATAAATAATGGAAAAAACAAAACCAAGAATATTTAAAATCTGAACTGTTCTTTTTTCTGGTGAGTTTGACCTATGGCATTTTAAAGACATAGTGCTTCATTACTCCAGTCAAATAATGTTAGACCTGGGAGAGAACTCAGAGGTCATCTAGTCCTACCCCATCATTTTACAGATGAAGAGACTGAGACCCAGAGAAGGGAAATGACTTATTCAAGGTCCAGCTGCCAATAAATGGGACTGGAACCCAAGTCAGAAAGACTCCAAGTTCTAATCTTGTCTAAAGTACTTACAAGTTGTGTGATCTAGAGCAAATCATCTCAAGTCTCTTTGCCTCAGTTTGCTATCTATAAAATGGGGACAACAGTACCTATCTCATAGACAGTTGTGTCTCAAATGAGACAAAAATATAAAGTGCTTTACAAACCTTGAAGGGCCATGTAAATGCTGGCTATGACCATTTTCATTATTTCACAATGCCACGCTTATCCTGGTTCTCTCTCCTAAGAGGTGGAAAGTGATGCCCAGTGACTGGTATGAGGTCATTTGGAAAGAAGTACCTGAGATTAGCTCCCAAATGCCCTGAGCCCCAGGCCAGGGCTCTGTTCACTCACTAACTTCTGCTCGTCTGCACTCACCAGCTCTCCAAAGTGCTTCATGGCGTACTCCAGCACGCCGGCAGCCGCCTCTGGCTGCTGCAGCTTATTGTTGATGCTAGGAGAACAAAGAGAAGGTGGTTAAACTCCCAGGGCAGGGAGCTCCCCCAGAACCCCACTTGCCCTCTGGGCACTAATTCCAGTAGAAGGGGGAGAGAACGTCAATGATTTCCTCCTGTCTGGAGAAGTCAGCTTGAATGATCTCAGCTGGGGAGTGTTTTGGTCTCACTCAGTTTGGGGTGATGCAATCCAGGAGGCGCTCGGTAGACTTGCACCCGGACACTCCCAAGAGCCTCCTTCCTTAACCACGCCCATCAGCCTGGCCTCCAGGATGCCCGCCACAGGTCAGAGACCACCTAGTCTTCACAAAACAGAAACCGGGGCTCTAGAACTTTCCCAGTGCTACAGTGAGTCTGCATAAGCGCCCTCCTCTGTGGCTTCACACGCCCGAGGGATGCTGATAATCCAACTCATCAATTGCTTTCGGTAATCAGAGCAGATGAAAATCCAAAGCAGCCAAGTGTGTAAGTGACCTGAGCGTGTGCACTGGACAGTGACACAGCCACCTGGAGGCTCTCTCCTCTCTCTGTGGCCAGGGGGCTCTGAGGATGCTCTCCTAGCAGGGCCTCTTGGAGATTCTGGTCATTATCTTTCCCAAATGCAGACTCCACCTCTTCATTAGAGGCATCCCTCTCCCCCCACCTCGTTGCCTTTTCTTGTGGATCAGGGTGGGGGGGGAGGGCTCTTCTGCACTATGTTGCCAAGGCCTGGCACACAGTAGGCACTGACTGATTATTTGTTGAACTGAGTTACAGAGACCATATCCGCAATTGGGTTCAGATGGCAATGTACAAGGACCAGAGCTTTGGGCCTTGGTGCTGGAGGCCCTGGTTTGGAGTCTCGCCTCTGCTACCTAACATTCAAATAACGCTGAGCAATATCTACCAACTGCTGGGCCGCAGTTTTCTCTGCTGTAAAATAAGGGAGCTGGACCAGAGGCTCTACAAGGTGCTCTCGTGTTCTAGGACTCAGTTCTCCTTGGAGTTCCCTGCCTTTTTTCCTAGTACCTTTCACTTCCAATAGAGAGTTATGCTGCCTCACCGGCTTCCGACACACGCCTATTGGAGCCAGAAGAATGTGGCTAATTGAGCAACTAGTGTCTCCAATGAAGAAATGGGCCAGGGCCTTGGGAGAATGGATGCTGCAGAAGGGGCTGCTAAAGCAGGAAGGCCTTAAGGATTACAAGTGCCTGCACTGGAAAGTGAGAAGCTCTTAAAGCCAAGCACTAGCCAGAAGCCTGCGTTCCAGAGGGAAGAGGGAGAAGGAAGACTGACAGTCTTGTGATAAGTGTTTTCTAGGTGGGGAAGAATGGGTCAAGCATCAATTAAGTAGTAAAATACAGTTCATTCTGATAGCTAGGAGGCACAGTGGCTAGTACTGGACTTGGAGTCAAAAGACCAGAGTTCAAATCCTTACTAGCTAGGTGACCCTGGGCAAGTCACTTCACCTCTCTTAGTCTTAGTTTCCTCTTCTGTAAAACAGGGATATTTGTGGCTACTTCACAGGGTTGTTACAAAGATGGAAGGAGCTTACCTATGCAAAAGCACTATAAAACACAAAGCCCACTATGGATCCCAGGACAAGTAAACAGTTTTTTGGCTCCCAGACACCCAAAATGTCAGCAAGATTAAAATAAGTTAATATTCTTAAATGGTGTCAGAAAAGCAAGTCCTCTGGACTAGCTCGAGGGAAGAGGCGGATGACTGAGGGCCAGGGCTACCTCAGTCCCCTGGCAGTTGCTCCAGCTCCCGCTGGAATTGGGGTCGGTCTTGCAGCGCTGGAGCAGGAGTGCCTCAGGGCTTGACTTGAAGGTGCAGATGACACGTGTAGGCCATCGGGAACAGCCACAAGCCCCGCCAGCTCTCTAGTGTTCTCAGGTGGACCCAGCACCTTCCTCCCCAATTCCAGGGAAGCTCCTTCTCCCCACTGTACAGCTGATGAGACAGAGGCTCAGCAAGAAAATGCCAGACAGGCTTGAGTGAGGGGCTAATCTAAAGAGGAAGGTCAATCAGGAAAATTTAAAGTCCTGAATTTATTTTAGGAAAAACCTCAACAGGACAAGCACAGGATGATCATAGCAGCCCACGCTTCTAGGGTGAATGAACATTACAAAGCACTCTCCTCATGGCAGTTCTCTGAGGAAGTGTTTTCACCCACATCTTGCAGAAGAGAAAACTGAGGTCCAAAGGGGGTCTGGGTGACTAAGAAATATCCGAGTTGGGATTTGAACTCGGGACTCCAGTTTTAAATGAGGCAGACTCTGGGGCTCTAGCTAGCTGTTTTCTCAAGGCAGAAATAATGGAAGGGGAGTACCCAGAACAAAGGAGGTGATGATCCCATTGTATTTTGCAATGAAAGGCAACACGGTGTAGAAGACAGAGACCTGGCCTTGGCATCCAGAAGACAGGGGTTCAAGTCCCACCTTGGATTGAGAATGGCAATACGATGCTGGGCAGATCACTCAATGCTCCAGGCAACTCCCTGGGACCATAAATTGCAGAAGAGGCACAGGGGCAAAGAGTGTCACACTCAGATAAATGTTCAAGGCCAGATTTGAATTCAGGTCTTCCTGACTCCAGGGCAGTACATCTGGTTATGGAGGCAGCAGTGGCATGAGTGGTAATCAGGGAATAGGTGTGGTATAATTCTGAGCCAAGTGGACTAAACTGATGGTCAGAGAGCCCGGTGATCACAGACAATTCAGAAACAATTAGTGAAAGATGAAAGCCCTGTGGACTCCCTGGCAAAAGAAACTTAGATCAGCTCCTGGGGTCAAGAGCAAAAGGCTTCTGGACCAGCTCCATGGGATGACTGAAATGCCTGGGAAACCAGTTCAGACAGTAAGGCATAAGAACGAGGGCTGTATGCTTTACAAGTTGAAAATAGGCTCTAAAGGCTATAGCAAATGTGCTACCCACCCTTCTCCCCTCGTCATCTTATCCAGTACTGAGGACAATGGAAAAAAAATCCCATCTCTAGTTAAATGGCCTAATGATTCTCTGGTGGAGGGCTGTGGTCACACCAGAAGGTTCATTCCAAGCATCCAGTTCCCTGACCTCTCTCATCGTCCCTCAACTGTCAGCTGAGGTGAGAATTAGAAGGAGATTAGACATAGTCATTGTATTTTTTCAGAGAGAGAGAAAGCTTGAGCGAGTGAGTGCTGGGGCATTAAGCAGCCCAGATGCCATGGGTCTCTTTTATTGCTTTAATTTCCTCCAGAACACATCTCTTTAAGCTGTATTTTCCCTCTGGCCTTTTACCTTTGTGAGCTGTCCATGTGTACAAGACTACTGGAGAATCTTAAGAGAAGCTGTTGAAGTTTCAACAGATTTTAACCGGATCAAGTTATGAACATAGTGATGAACTGAGGCAGACGTTTTCCATTCTGCTTCGCCCCCTGCCCCCCCTTGACCTCTTCCTCCTGTCTCTTTTCTGAGCTGGGCACTGTACTGATAACACAGAGAACAGCAAAGATGCAATCTTCACATTTAAGGAACTTATAACCTATTGGGCTCTCACATATACTATATGTGAACATATATAATGTTTATACAGTTGACATTTTACGTCTATATAGTAAATATATTTTTGACGTATTTATGGGTTGGATGTTGTAAATTAGCTAACAGTGCTGTAAATTAGAACTGTGTGGGAGTGTGGGGAGGGCTGGGGAGAAGTCATCCAGCTTCTCTTTTCACTCATTTACTCCCGAATCAATAAGGCCGGCCGTTTCCACCTGTCTCACCTCCAACCCACACTTCTTGATTTCTCATTTTTATCTCATAGGAACTACTGATACATATCCTAAAAGCCTTTCTTTTTGACAGTAAATCAGGCTACTGAGGCAGGGATTTCTATGGGCAAAGGGAAAAAGAACAGAGAGGCTCACACCAGATTCATCTGGCCCACAGAGAGTCCAGAGGGTTCTCTCTCCTCTGAATTGTGGGGGTGAATGTTGCGGGGGTGGGTGGGTCAACAAGTCCTTTTAGAACTCAGGAGTCCATGGCTTCTAATTCACTCTGTCTCCTGCTTGGGAGACACATGGGTGTCCTTTGAAATATGCCTGTTTCAAACCCAAAAGGAGTTTCATGAGATTAAGTGGAGGAGCCAAAGACTTGGCTCAAGAGACCCCTTCATGAGGACCTGCCATTTTATGGGGCAGCTGGAACTTTATAAAGCTCATTGCATATAAGCTCTCCTGTGGGCTTCCCTGCTAACAGCGGAGGACTTCTAAAAGGGCGACTGTTCAAAGCAGCAAAGGAGTGTTTCATAACACAAACCAGACCCACACGAGCAGTGGACCAGCAAAAAGAACCTGAGAAAAACAAACTGGCCAGGGAGACAGGAGGGGGAAGGACAGAGGGGGTGGGGGAGAGGGAGAGAGGAAGGAAAAGAGGAGAAAGGCAGGGAGGGGGTGGGGACAGATACAGAGACAAAGAAAAAGAGAGAGGAAGGGAGGGAGAGACAGAGAAAGGGAGAGAGATACATTGAGAGGAAGAAAGGGAAAGGGAGAGAAGGGGAGAGGTAGGAAAGAGGGAGAGAGAGGGAGAGGGAGAGATTCTAGCAACATCCTCAGGGCTTCAGGGTTTAGAAAAAATGACAGGCAGACCACATTTTCCAAGCTCCCTGTTGTGCGTACACCTCCCAGGGGCCAGAAAAGCAGCAGATTCCTCCCAAGGACTTTCTGTGTTAGGAGATAATGAGGCTAGAGAGGCGAGGATTCCACTAGCAAGAGCCAACGAGAAGCAGCGGGCTCCGAGGACCCGGTGCTGACTCTTGCTGCTGATTCAGGACAGGCGTCCTGTGTTTGCTGCAGGGTGCTACTAGTTGAGACTCAAATGGGTTCTCAATCTACATACAGAGAAGACAAGTGCCCAGGGAAGAATGTCCCCAGAGCATGGCCCAGACAGAGGTGGCAAATGTCATGCCTGAAGACAGCAAGAGACTGAACACAAAGAAAAAGAGGGTTCGTGTGAACCTTCCCCTGGGATGCCAGAA